GCGGGCCAGTCGCAGGCCAACAGTCGCCACAACGACATTGCCGCGATTCTCGAAGCGCAAATCCTGCCGCCGGAGCGAGATCCTAGCGCTCGACTCGATAGCTACGTCGGCGGAGGAGACGGCACCATGATCTTGGACCACGAGCTGTGTCTGCTCAACGGCGACCTGAACTACCGCATCGACACCATGTCGCGCGACACGGTCGTCATCGCAGTGAAGCAGAACAATCTCGCCAAGCTTCTCGAGCGAGACCAACTTTTGGTGGCCAGACGGCGCAACCCTGCCTTTAAGCTGCGTGCGTTTGAAGAAATGCCCATCACCTTTGCGCCGACGTACAAGTACGACGTCGGCACGGATAATTACGACACGAGCGAGAAGAAGCGCTCGCCGGCGTGGTGCGACCGGCTGCTCTACCGCGGCGGCGGCAGGATCAAGCAGGTGGATTACAAACGACACGAAGTGCGCGTCTCCGACCACCGACCCGTCACGGGCAGATTCAAGTTTACGGTCAAGAAGATCCAACCCAAGGCGCGGGCAATGGCGTGGATGGACTGCCAGCAGAGATTTGAGGACCTCAAATGGACCGAGGTTGACAATGACAAGTGAGTTTCCAGAAGCTGCGGGATGAGACGACGTACTGACTAGGTCTAGGATGGCATACCTGACAAATGTCATTGGTTATGACGAAGCCACGGCGCGGAGCATCATCCATCCTGAAGCGGCCGCGTGAGCTGCTGCGGACCACACACACGAACGTACAGACGACTACTCTGGGCCAAAGGGGGGTTAATTTAGATGACGGGATCAGCATGAAGTCGGATGATGCACAATGGTTCATGATGAATGGTTGGCGGGGGGTTTAGAGGATTATCTCTTAACGTAACGAATTTGGCCTGGAGGCCGGAAAAAAGGGAATCACGAAAGGGGGGGAGCGGACGGAATGCATGATTGCAAAACAACAAAAAACCTAACTCTTGAAAGCGTCTCACGACTTTTTTATTTTAATTTTGGCATTTAATGGCGCAGCTTAGACAGAGACAGGGAGAGCAAGAGAAGCTTTTGGGGAGTTTCCATGGCACTTATCAATGGCTCAATCACGATACGAACGTATGCAAGCTGGCAACTGAAGAGGCTATCATGGAGAGTCAGAGCCCTCTTTTTTGATGCGGATTTGTTGCGTTGCGTGTGCTGGCCACCGAGTAGAAAAGGGGGGGGGTAGGGGAGGAGATTCAACCGGCGACGGACATGGAATAAGTTGAAAAGGGGTAATGAGAAAAGAAGAAAAAGATTGATCCAAGATTGTGTGATTGATGATGATGGTGTAGATTGTGACTTGTGGCCAAGACATTTGGGGGCCGCGACTCCCTCCCCTCCCCCCATGCATATTTAGACCCGATCACTGCTGCAGCCTGCAGCTGAGGTACGAGCAAAAGTGACAGTGGTGTTTCCGTACCTTGCATGAAGGGTGAACCCCCTCGATCCTTCGTCCTGGACGTCGAAGTTGCATGAGTGCTGCACGAGTGCTGTTCGTGGGCGTGGCGGAACGAGTCAGGGGCTTTCGGATTGTATTGCCGGTCACGACGTTCAACTTCAGTAACACATGGACGAGTGACACAGACACATGGCACAGAGAGGGATAGCTTGCAGCGGATTTTGGCCCTTGAATACTGTATTATTTCCAATCATGTTTTCTATCAAGCTGAAGACGAGGACTACCTCTGATAGCAACCTCTGAAGTGAATGACTACATTTCTACAATGCGTGCTGTTGGGCCGGAGTTCTTTTTTCCCTCCATGTCTATGAAAATTTTTTGTTCCCTTTTTCTCACCCCCTTTTTCCAAATGTCCCCAGTCTCGAAATTCCAAAATGAAGTAGACGACAAAATATTGAAGATGCACCACGCAAGGTTCACATGTTGAGCAGGGCCTTGGCGCCAGGCTCGCTGCAGACGTACAGAACGTCGTGCGAGTCGGGGAAGCCGTTGAACTTGGTAGCGGAGCACTTTGTGTAGGCGCCCATGTCCTCAAAGTAGAGCCAGTCGCCGACGTCGAGCTCGTGCTCAAACGAGATGGTCTCGGTGATGCGGTCGATGCCGTCGCAGGTGGGGCCCCAGACGGAGTAGCGGATACCCTCGCCGTCCGGGCAGGCGTTGGCGGCGCTGGTGTCGTACATGGTCAGGGACCCGGTGCGGAGGACCTTGGCGACGGGGTGCTGGTGGTCAAACATGATGCTGGAAAAGTTGCCGTACAGGCCGTCGTTGACGTAGACCATGTAGCGCTTCTCGCCGAGGTTGGGGTCGTCGACGGTGCGGCGGGCAATGATGTTGCAGGCAATGGTGAAGGCGGCCGAGACGTAGTAGCGGCCCGGCTCGGCAATGATGTTGACGTTGCTGCTGGCGGGGAAGTACTCGTCGAGGGCGCCGCGCAGGACGGCGGCCATGTCCTCAAAGGTGTCGCCGCAGAAGCCGCCGCCGATATCGAGCGTCTTCATCTCGAAGCCGTAGGCGCGGGCCTGCTCAAAGACCTCGTAGGCGTCGTAGACGGCCTTGTAAAAGGCCATGGGGTCGGAGGCGCCCGAGCCGACGTGGAAGCTGACGCCGACGACGTTGAGGCCGAGGTCCTTTGCGACGCCGAGGAGCTCGTTGGTGGCCTCCTTTGCGGCGCCGAACTTCATGCTCAGGCGGCACAGGCTCGACTCGTCGTCGGTCATGATGCGGAGGTACAGCTCGGCCTCGGGGAAGAGCTTGGCGATCTTGCGGAGCTCGTCGGCGTTGTCGAACGTCATTTGCTTGACGCCCATGGCCTTGACGTGGCGGACGTACGAGCTGGTCTTGCAGGGCTGGGCGTAGATGATGCGCTCGGGGGCGGTGCCCATGTCGAGGACCTGGTCAATCTCCGTCTTGGAGGCGCAGTCGAAGCCGGTGCCGAGGGCAGCGAGGAGCTGCAGGACCTTGGGGTCCGGGTTGCACTTGACGGCTGGGCGGGGTTAGTGAAGACTCCTCAGGCAGCTTGTATGGGAACTCACCATAAAAGGGCTTGACGCGCGGCAGGTTGAGCTTCCAGCGCATGTGCTGGCGGTAGACCTCGCCGAGATCACCGACGAAGAAGGTGTCTTCGTCGCCTGGTTCACAAATCTCATGGTCGATGCTCTCGACACGCTGGCGGAGAGCATCGCTAATCAGCTGCTTGGGGTTGATCACGCCATGTTTGACGTGGTGATTGGCAAAGTGCGATGTTTTGAGGATCGGTTGGTGGTAGGTACTAGCATAATTGATAGTAGCTGGTACAAAGTGCTCGATCGCGGCTGTTGCCATAACCATATCCAAGCGGTTGACGGCGTGATGGTGGTGGTGGTGTGAAGAGATGGAGATTTGTGGGGTGGTGGTCGGTCTGGTGTTTCGACGCGTGGGCAGAAGTAAGTTGTCTTGATGCTGTCTGTCACTAGTGGGTTGATGAATGGAAAAAAGCTAGAACACGAGAGTTCTAGGGTGGTCGAAAGCGGTAGCAGACAGATCCCTCAGTGATCTGACGAGGTCTTCTCGACTCCCCCTCGGCGAGAGGAAGAGCTGCAGAGCCCGTCTTATGCGGCAGCTGGTTGGGGGTGGGGTTGGACGGGGGCGTCTGGTGAAGCAAACCGTCGAGAAGAAAGAACTCGAGCTTCTGCTTAGACGACTGCAGGCGGTGGAGGGGGGATGGCGTTGACGATGTGTCGAGTCTTTCGTACGCTGAAATCTTGGTCACTGACGAAGCTCACGGCCAGAGAAGCCGTGTTGGGCTGTGGTGCCTTTGAGTTGACCAAAGGCTAAGTCTGGCGGTGAAAGGGGGGGGGGGTTGATCTTTATAAAGATCTACCAAAGTAGAGACAACGGGTTAGCAAAGGATTCCTTGTATAAGCGGTTTATGCGGTATGCGGGCGTGGTGGTTGTGATGCTGAAAGGGGGAAAAGGAACAAGTGGTTTGTTGCGAGAGCGGTTTTATTTTTTTGTGGTGGTTTGGGCCAAATGCGTGTAGGTTACAAAAAAGCTGGCGGTGCAAAAGCTGGCGATGATGATGCCATGTGATTGCTCGGGAGGATGCGCCACCAGCGTGTGGTTCCGTTTAAAACAGTCGGGAGTTGACTCACCAAGAGACAAATGATACCGGACGAAAGGGTCGAAACCAAAAGGTCCAGGCAGCTGTATCTGGATAACAATTGCAATGTTGCGAGTAGCGGGAGCTGTTGCGTGTTGCGGGTTGACGATGAACCTTTGAGTTGGTGTTCCGGGAGGTAAGTGTGTGGCGGGGGGGACTTGTTTTTTATTGTGACGGCGTGGAGGTCCCGGAGGAGGGTTCAGGTTTCGTCTGTCTTCCAGGTTCTTTTTGGTACCTTAATAGTGGATCCCGGGATGCCACACACAACCACAACCTGCCATGCTGCCCACAAATTTTCAAAATTTTCCCCTACCCGGCTTCATCAGTGCACTCACACAGCCATGCTGTCTGGAAAGTCCCAGTGCTGATATGCTGATGTAAGGCAAGGTACCTCGCGGCAAGGTTCAAGCCGTCTCCATAATGATGCTCGCCCGCCAAGTACCCGTCGTACCCAGTTTCAATATCGCCTGAAGCCTGAAGCTGGCAATCTCAAGTCTCTCTCTCCGTACCCAACAATTGGCAAACAACGGTCCGAGAAAGTCAAGTCTCAACTTCCAAGCACCGCAGTACGAAGTAGAGGCTCTGGTTCCAACTTGTACCCGGCCCACCCGAGTCCAACTGTCCAGGGGATAGGAATCAGCAGGAGAGGCCCGGTATGGATGCTGTCCGCCTTTGAAGCTCCAGCCCTCCAGAGTCTGGATACTTTGTTTCCAGCCTCTGTTTGCCTATTCTTCAGCGTGAGGTCATGTATGGAGTACATCGGTCTGTCACCCCTGCAGCTCAGACACCGGAACATGCAGAATGAGGTACCGCAGTGGATGTCTCTCTCTCCCTGTGAAGGGCAAGCCCATCGCTCTGCAGTGCCTCCATCGGGGGAGACTACAAAGTACAAAGTCAATGGATCCCTCCCCAGCGGGTGTGGATGTGGAAGGCCTCAACTTGGAGGGTTGGCTATGGCTGGGAAATTCATCCACCATTACGAATCGTCCAGTCGCGAGACCTGGTACTTCCTAGACCTACAACTGCTGCTTGCTTGCCGTCTGTGCTTGCTTGCAGCTCCATCTGCCATGCATCACGATTCACCGCAGCCCCCCCCCCATGTGCCATATCCCATGTGCCAAATGGCTCAGTGCCTGTTTGACCGTCTCTGATCTTCTTCTCTCCCCGTCAATCTCATGCAGGACCGCGTTGCAACTTCCAAACTTGCTTCCAGCCACCACTTCTCGCGTGCTCCTACCGTGTAGGTGCCGTATGCTATGGAGTGTACAATGCCCCTCGATTGCCCATCACGATCGCGCTGCCCCATCGGTAAACTTCCCAGACCGCAACTTTACGCGTCTTCCCAGCTCCAATTCCAATTTGGCAGTCCCAGTCTTCCAGAAGCACTGGTCTTGCTGTCATCCTCGCCCGCCCCTCCGGTTCCATTTTCCCTTGCCCCAGCTTTTCACTAGCTTTTTAGCCTTTGACGCTGCTGTCAAACTTGACGGATCTAGTTCGCTAGGTACCCGGTGTTTCTTCCAAGTTTCCCGGAGCGTTGAACACCTCGGAGTTGGTTGTGGTTGTGGGTTGTGATGGAGAATGTCCAACCCTAACTGTCCGTTTCAAACGCCGCGTTCTCCATCGCAGAGTCCAACATTGAAAAGGACAACGACGCCGGTTGGCAGTTTCCGTGACAAACGGAACATCTCACCCGTGTTGGCAAAAGCAACGAGACCTGTGCTGCCGCCGTCGCCTACTGTATACCTCGCTTGTGTCCTCACAGAGGGGAAGAAAAATTCCCTCAACGCAATGTTCCACTCGGACAGTTACCACAATTAGCCTGGTTTTTCCCATGCCACTTGACCTCGTTCAAAGGCAACCAGCTCAACTGGGAAGCTTCTGCGTGGTATCCGTACGCTCTCCGTGATGGATGGGATGGGATGGCTCTAGCTTCTGTCACAAATCGCTGACTGTCGATGGCACTCTGTCCGTCTCCCAACGGCCGCATCACTTAAGACGAAGGACGTGAAAGACGGCCCAGTCGGCAACGTTGGCCCAGGTAGAAGAAGCATGTGCCTTTCTCACCACACCACCACATTCTAGATCTCACCGCGCATACGGATAGTCACGGCACTGCTCTCCCCTTGCCCAGAAACCCCCCAAATCCCGAGTTGTCTCTGGGCTGCCTCCCATCAAACATCCACTCGGGATGCCCTCGCGGCGTCCCCAAGTTCCCAAGGCCCCAAGCCTCTTCACAAGCCGCCTTGAGCCCGCCGCCCAGAACCTCAACTTTGCAAGAATAACAAGTTGTGGCGCTGTGTCTTAAGGGTGACGTATGCGGGGCATTGTTCTCTGGAGCCAATTGGCTTCTCTTCTATTCTTCTGCCTCGTTTTTTTTTTCCACATTCCATCCGAGCATCTCCCTTTCAGGTCACCCAGCCAAGATTTGCCGACTTGTAATTGGCCGCACCTGATTGGCTTTCTGTTCCGTCTCCCGCTTCTCACCCGTCCACCACCGGCCTTCACCAGCACGTCAAGTCAACGTCGCATGTACTCTGCGCCTTAGTCCAACGATCCAAAGCTGAGGATGTCGGGTCTGATAGCACGAGCCTCTGGCCGGTTATCCCGTCTACAACAAAGTTGCAAACAGGCTACCCTGGCTCAATCTTTCTTCATCTTGCGTTGTCTAGTGGTCTCCAAGCCATTGAGAGTGGCAGGAAGACGTATCGTATCTGAACGCGGTCTCAAAGTATAGCAGAACAAAGACCCAAAAGAAGAAAGGACCTCATGCAGTTGGCTTCTATTCAGGAGGTGGGTATAATGTTACACATGGGTGCTGTACAGATATGGTTACAGATCTTGACCGGAAAGTACACCTTCCTGCGGTCGTTATTATACAAGCCGGCGGGCCTCGTGGCTTACTCGGAACCAATGTCCATCTCGTGAATCTTCCAGGCGCCGTCCACCCACGGGCGCTTCTCGCCCAAGAAGGCGACTCTCTCCTCCTCCTTGGCGAGAGCGTCGACAATGTACTTTTGAGCCACCTCGCGCACCTGGTCCTTGGACACGTCGAGCAGCTGCTCGCGGCGCGTCTGCTTCATCTCCTCCGTGATGCCGGACAGGAACCGGCCCATGCCCTCCGAGTTGACCGACTGAGGCGCGTCGACGCCCTGGAACACGGAGATCTTGGCCTCCTCGAGGTCGCGGTCCGCCCACGCCTTGTCCGTGGCCCACTGGCCGGCATTGCGCATGATGGAGAGCGTGTTTTGCGGGTTGGGGTCACGGTACGAGTAGAACCCAAAGAGGCCGTCTAATCCCCTCGAGTACGCTCCGCCGCCGTAGGCACCCCCCTTTTCGCGAATCTCGTGGTGGAGGTGCTTGTGGGTGAGGAGCTGCGCCAGGATCTGCAGCGGCGCGCCGTCCGCAGACGTGTACGAAGCGGTGGGTACCGCCAACGAACCGTAATAGACCTGGTACGGCAACGGGAAGAAGGACTTGATGTTCTTCTGCAGCGTCGCGGGCTGGGAGGTCGACGGCAGGGGCAGATCCTTGGGGAGAGTTGACATGAAGCTAGTCAGGGCGTTGAGGTTGGCGCCCGTGCTCTCTGCCCCGCAGGTGAGAGCGGTGCGGAAGTTACCACCGGCGAGCGCGATTTTCTGGATTTGCTTGAGCTTGTCAATGACGTCCACCAGACCATCCGTTTCGGGCCGATTGGCAAGCGACGTGACGAGCTTGACCTGCGAGAGGCCGCCAATCTGCTGTCTGAACCAGGCGCTCCGGGTAAGCCCAGCTTCCGCGAAGCCGCGGGCGTACTGGTGGCCCGATGAGGCAATATCGTTGACCACGCCGTCGGCAGACGCCTGGAGGAGCTGTCTGATGCGCAGGGCGGCCTCCGGGCTGTCGAAATCCGTGTCTTGCACGAGCTTGCGCAGAATGTCAAACATGACGGGGACGTTTCTGTCCAGCGCCATGCCCGTAAACATTAAACCCTCACTCGCTTGGTGGAAGTCGGTGGGCGAGGGCGTCGAGTGGTACCCCACAGACACGCCCCCCGTCTTGAGCTTGATCAGGTCCTCGAGCTGCTCCATGGACATGTCCTTGGTGCCGAGGCGCATGATGCTGTCGGAGAAGAGGGGGATCAACTCTCTCAGCTCATCCGGCAGATTCTCTAGGGTGTTGATGGCCCTGAAGTAGGTCAGGCCGTTGGTCGGGGCCTCGCGCCACTGGATCTTGACGCCGTTGGCCGTCTCGTCGCGGACAACCACGGGCTCCTTGCTCCGGGGAATGTCCTTGACGTGAACCGTCGGCAGGCAGCTCAGGTCTTCCGTGTTCGACTTGCCCTGCTCGACGAGAAGGTCCAGCTCGCGCTGCTCAAACTTCTTGCGGGCCGCCTCGTCACCGCCGGCGTCCTGAGATGCCTGCTTGATCTTGGAGGCTAGCCTCTCCTTTTCCTCGCGAGCGAGGTCTTCGCTAAAGGTGGTTGACGGCGACATGGTGAAGGACAGAGTGTTGTCGTTCAACAGGTACTTGTCAATCAGGCTTTCCAAGTACCCTCCCTTGGCGAGCGCGGTCTCAAAGGCCGAGATGGTGTCGTTCCACGCCAGCGAGTCAAAGGGGTCGACACCCGTGAACCACTTGGGCTTGAGTCTGTGGAGCATGGACATGCCAAAGTTGGCCGTCTTGTGCTTCAGCGCCAGCTCCAGCTGGTGAAGGGATCCGTCAATCTTTGTTCTGTCGAACCCCTTTTGCCGGACCTCCTGAAGGATGCGCTGGACCTCGGACTTGAGCAAGGGCACGTCGGCCTCCTGGACGCCAGTCAAACCGATGGAGAAGATGCCCAGCTTTGCAGAACTGTCGTAGCCGGCGTTGGGGCTAAAGTCTGTTCCAAGACCGGCCTCGATCAGCCCGCGGTACAAAGGAGATCCGTAGCCGTCCATCAACAGAGTAGAGAGCAGCGCCAGGGAAAAGGACTCGACGACGTCGGAGGAGTCTCCCATGATCCAGGAGACGGACGTCTTGTACTGCCTGTCGGGGTCCACCAAGGGATCGAGGGGGCCCTCCACGCTGACCTCTCTGGGCCCAGAAGCCAGGTTGATCGGCTGGTGAATCGTCTTGTCCTCTTGTATCCTCTCGAACGCGCTGAGCTGGGCGTTGACCTCCTGCAGGTGGTCCGACAGGGGCATGTCTCCGTACGTGAAGAGCTTTGCGTTGCTCGGGTGGTAGTGCTCCGCGTGGAACTTGCGCAGCTGCTCGTACGTCAGGTCGGTGATCTTTTGCGGGTCACCGCCAGAGTTGTTGATGTCGGGGAAGATGTGGTCCTGGAACCGAATGTAGAAGAGGTAGCCGGCGTCCGACATTTGGCCCTTCATCTCGTTGTACACGACGCCCTTGAAGACCAGGTCGCTCTCCTCGCCGTTGGCCGCCTGCGGGTTCTCCGGTCCGATGCGCCATCCCTCCTGGGTATAGTCGGACTCCTTGAGCAGAGGGTGCAGCGTCGCATCCATGTATACCGACATGAGGTTCTTGAAGTCCTGGGAGTTGGTCGTCGCAAATGGGTAAAAGGTGTGGTCCGATGCCGTGAAGGCGTTCATAAAGTTGGACAGCGTTCTCGGCAGCATCTTGAAGAAGGGGTCGCGGATGGGGTATCTGGATGGTCAGTATGGCATGCAAAGCATGGGGACCACGGAACGCACCTCTGACTACCACACAGCGTGGTGTGCTCCAGGATATGGGGCACACCCGTGTCGTCGGGGGGATTCGTCTTGAAGCCGATGGAGAAGACATTGTTGCTGTCGTCGCGGGCAATGTGTAGGTAGTCTGCGCCGGTCTTGTCGTGTTGCAGGTGAAGAGCAGTCAGTTCCAGCTCGGGCACGTGCTTCGTCCTCAGCAGTGTGAAGCCATGGAGCTTGTCGCCAGGCTTGGGATACTGAGAGAGCTCAGTCACGGCTTTCTTGGCCGTGTTGACGGCGTTGCGCAACATGTTGGACGGGTGTGAGTTGAATGCAGAGGGTCAGAGCCTCATGGTCCAGAGGGAGAGGCGGAAGAGAAGGAAGCTTCGTTCTGAGAGTGACTGGCCGGCCTACGGATACAACAGGAACCACTGTGGAGCGCAGGAGGCGATTCGCAGCTCCCGGCTGACTTGTGCTGGAAATTTTTAGGCGTGGTCGGCGCTGGTCCGCCGCTATTCGTCATCACACAGGGCATGTGGGGTCCCATATTCATCAAAACGCTCTCTGAGGCACTACCGGGTCAGTGGGCCTGGGCCTGCGTAACGCATTAACGAGCAGCTAACACGGTGCAACCAACAACAGCGACGCCGCCCGGTAGATTGGGACGCTGTCCGCTAGGCAAGTACCTTCGTTCGCCCTTCTCCAGCTGCACTTTATTCTCCTCCCTTCCACGCTGCCAACGGACGGAAATCGGGAAATCGCGAAACCAAAGGCGACCAGTGGGATCGTGGGCAATTGGTCATTTTTACCCTACTCAATATCGTCATCCGTATCGATTATTCGCTAGGCATACCAAAGTGAGTCTGCTTGGCTTGGTCGGCCCGGACCCAAAGAAGTACTCGACAAGTTCGGGTACGAGGCCCTGCAGCAAGTCTCTCCTCCACCCGTTTTTCTCGAGTACAGTGGCATTTCTAATGCGCACGCCTGAACCACGCAGACACACGCAGACACACGCAGACACACGCAGACACACGCTACACCTCACCCTAGCCCGTCGTTCCTCGTCCCGTGCCAACGTCGAAAATCTGCAAAGGAGGTCAATGAGGGGGAAAGCGACGAGAGCACACGAACCGACTGCTGCCTCCGAACATCGCGGTTGAGACTACCGCGGGGAAACAGGGACTCGACGCCCGCTCGATTTTGCGACACACACCGACCCGCTCGATCGATCGAACACGGATGCGAATTCGTCGGTGACGACAAGGCTGCAAGGAACATACACCCACACACAACCACTGCCCCTCTTGCCCGCCGAGTAGATGCCCCTCAGCCAGGCCGACGCCGACATGTCCAACGGTCAAGATGGTCACGCCCACCCGCCGGCGGCGTCTCTGAAGAAGGGAAAGCAGAAGAAGGCTGTCGACTCGAATGAGTCTGCAAAGCTACTCGCGCAACGCATCTCGCAGCTAGAGCAAGAATCAGCTGGAGAGAAGGATCAGGAAGCTGAGATTGGTGCGTACCGCCTCCCATCCTTACCCCTCCCGGAGGGGCCGAATCATGTCGCGTGCGTTTGTGCAATGGTTATTGCCCAAGCCTGCGAGGGTTGTGGTGATGACTAGACGCAGGGCAGGAGCCTCTCCGTGCTGGGGATTCGTTCGGGTCCATGTCTTGGGCGACAGGGCTAACGGCAACAGAGCGCGAGGTCAAGCGTGCGAACCGCGATTTGGCCCAACAGGTGGCAAAGATGAGCGATCTGCAAAAGATTGAGCACCTCACCCGTCGGTCCAGCGAACTGTTAGCCGACATGCGCCGTGTTGAGCGAGAGAACCAGAAGAACAAGAAACGCGGGGATGCCCTGCAAAAGGAAAAGGATGCGAATCGCACCGAGCTCAGCAAAACGGTCGGCCTGAAGGAGAAGCTTGAGAAGCTCTGCCGCGAACTGCAACGGGACAACAACAAGTACAAGGTTTGCGGTCCCCTGACCGGCAGACGGGGCACGGCTGACCTTGTGTAGAACGAGAACAAGACCCTCCAGGACAACCTGAAGCACAACAGCTCAGCATACGACGAGAAGCATGCGGCCCTGCTTGCCAAGCTGGAGGGGATCCAAGAAGAAAAGGACCATCCGCGGAAGCAGGTTGTGGACATGAGCGTCGACACCTTGTATGTTTTTGTCTGCAGTCACAGTCACACGTCTAACACCCTGCAGATTCAAGAACCGGTTCAAGTCGTTCATTGAGCAGTACGAGTTGCGTGAGTTGCACTTCCACTCCACGATGCGCACCAAGGAGCTGGAGGTGCAATACAACATGGCGCGCTACGAACGAGAGAAGAAGCTCGCGGAAGCCGAGTCGACGAGAGCGCGGAATCTTCAGGCGCAGGTCCAGACCTTTACCAAGACGGAGACGGAGCTTCGGAATCAGCTCAACGTCTACGTTGATAAGTTCAAGCAGGTATGATGACTAACAAAACGCTGGTTGCAGAGGTTAGGCTGAGCTTTTTTTGCTGACAGATCAAGGTTGAGGACACGCTCAACAACAGCAACGACCTCTTTTTGACGTTTCGGAAGGAGATGGAGGACATGTCCAAGAAGACGAAGCGTCTGGAGAAGGAGAACGAGACAATGAAGCGCAAGCACGAGGCGACGAATGCCAACATCATTCGCATGGCCGAGGAGCGCGAGGACTGGCGCAAGAAGGCTGCCGAGGCGACCAAGAGAGCCGAGAAGCTTAGGAGTATCATCGAGCAGATGCAGCAGCAGGGCCGCAAGGTTCCGCCTGGAATGGCGGCGACGCTGGAGAGCTGCTACTCGGACAGCAACGGCCACATGGACGGCGACGGCAGCGACTACTCGGACGAGGAGGAGGGCGAAGAGGATCCGAGCGAGTTTGACGACGACACGGAGGAGGAGCCCCAACCTGGAGAGCCAGAACCACCCAGGCCCTACGGTCCAGAGAGGCCACCAGTACCCCAAGCTGCAACAAACGGCCATTAGGAATCCGGACGGAGCAATTCGGGGGCTACGCCTGCATACGATGCAGATGATGCTCAGTCCACCAGCGAGACGGCTGCCATCTTGCCCATGTGGCATCATAGGAAGAAGAAGAAGAAGCAGGTGACGCTCAAGCAGAAGACTGGCCGTGTTCTTTCACGTGTTGGGAAGTTCTGTCAGGCAAAGTTGAATGCGCTGGTGTGGGCATTCACTTAGGACACCTTTGTGCGACTTCACGCATTCTTTGGCCACGGCCTGGCACTCATTGACTTCTCTCGATGGGTACACGGGATTGTTGCAGGCATGAGGAAATGAGCATTGCCGTCATGATTTCTACGAGCGAACAAGCACAGGGGTTGAGATGATCATGGTCCTTGGCAAGCTCTGTCTAGAGTAGCAGCGTTTTGGCGTCTGTAGTGGTTCGGAATATAACATCTCCACGTGCCTTCTCTGTCCCGTGTTTCGTAAAGTTTACCGAGTCTCGGGAACTGTACCCAAAGTCAAAACATAGATGGACGTTGCGAGAACCAAAGTTTATAAATGACGATGCATTCCGATACCTTGAAGGAGTGACGTCGATCTCCAGGGGTTCGCTCCAGAGGCTAAGCCACAGTTGGTCAGCAACCTGGCGGGATGTCTGCAATTTCCCCGGATCCACAAAGTCAATGCCACCTAAAGGTGCCTTATCCGTCCCGAAGGTCCTGAGATAAGGCGCCACCAGCCACAGACAGTGCCGACGCACGTGCCTTGGACCTTGACAATCCGAAAGTCCAACTCGCATCAGCACCCGCACCCGCACCCGCACCCGCAGCTGCAGCGAACCCCCAAGGGCCCCCCCAAAGGGATGGAGTGCCGCCTGCCTGCCACCCACCAACACCCTGACACCCTGACTGCCTGCGCCTGCCTGCCTGCTGCAACCAGTGGAATGTTGAGCCCAACTTTTGACAGCTGAGGTGAGGCTGCGTTTGTTTCCGGCGCACTTGAAACCAACCGTTACTCGCCCAATCCACGTCCCATGGCTCCCTTCACCTTTGGACTTTTCGCCCGCCCTTGATTGTATTTTTCCATCACCGGCCATTCGATACGAGGGCCTCGACAATTTTCCCTTTTGCTGCAGCCCTAGGTCGAGGCCGCCACCGATCGGTTTGAAAACAATCCCCAACTTCACTCCTCCCTCCCTTCTTGATGCCCGCGACGTCATCCCTCAAGACCCTGCAGCAGCGCCATCACCCAATATGGCCTTCTTGGAGGACCCGCGGCTGCGCCAGCGATGGAACCAAATCTCACACAACGCCGGCGAGGTGACGGAGAACGCGGCCGCCGGCATCTGGAGCTTCCAGCACCACTACATCAATCCGTGTCTCGCCTCCCTCGCCGCCTCGCTCGAGCAATGCGCCAACCCGTGTCTCGGCGACCGCGAGGAGCGGGCGAGAAGGCGACGAGAACGAGATCGCGCGGGCGGACGGGCGGAATACAGCTTCGACTTTTACGACGATTGGTACGCCGAGGACGAGGGCGGAGGGTTCCTGGGTGGCTGGGGCAACGACGACTGGGACCGCCTGCTCGCGGGCACAGGGTCGCAACATCAAAAGAACAACACGGGGAGCGGAGGCGGCGAGGTGCAGCAGGACCAGCCCAAGAGGAAACGCGGCATGAGTTACGGCACGCGGGGCAGAGGGAGCAAGGCGCTCGAGTCGGATCCGACCGTCATCCCCAGCACGCAACCGATTGGGTTCCTGGGTAAGCTGCCGTGGAAGCTGGGCAAGACGCTCCGCTACAAGCCGAGCGCGGCGGACTTGCAGGATCACCCGCGACAGCACGGCGAGATGGGCATGGGCGAGACGGAGCCTCTGCTTACACACGACTCGGACGACGGCGATGACGATGATGTCTTTCAGAGCCGGACCGCCAAGACTAGAAATCGCAGCGGGACGACGGGGTCCGGGGTCTCGTCGGATTCATACCGGTCTCGGGGCGACTTGTTTCCCAGCGACGGCGAAGGCGAAGAAGACGCCGTGCCGTTTGATGACGAGTTTATGGTCCTGGACAAGGTCCGGGACGATCGCAGCAGCAGCAGGACAAAGGCGAGCAAGAGTAAACGGCGGGCCGACGGACGGCCCATGTCTCGAACGGTGTCGAGAGCGACGATTGATTCTAGCCATTCCATGCTCAGTCCCAGCGTACGGAGGAGCTCAACGAGCGGGCCCACGACGCCGGATACACCAGTTGCACCATCAATGGAGGAGGCCTCGATGGAGGAACTACAGATGGAAGAGGAGCGCATCAGGAGGGAGGAAGACGACGAGGTCGAACGCAAGCGACAGGCGGCGCTGCAGCTCGCGTCGGAACGGGGCCTGCACGATGCCGGCTCCGAGGGGCCAACAACGTCCGAGGCGGACTCAGACGCCAAAGCCGACGAGGTGGATTACGTGTCAGACTCGCCGAGTCAAAGATCGCCGCCGAGGTCTACGCACGGCGACGACGCGCCGGTCATTCGGTCCACCACGCAAGAGCAGTACATACGGACCGAGGAGTTCGTCCCGGCGCGTCTACCGAGCTTTCGATAGACGGAGTGCGTGGTGGACGTGTACCTTGTGAAGTGTGTTGTATAATAGTTGGACGACGCCAAAGATAATCATGTCATAACGATACCAATGCAGGGAGATGAGGGCAGCATTTCAAATAGAGCGGCGCATGGCGCGGCGCATGTCAGTTGATGACTTTTTTTCCTGGGTGTCGTGATGTTGTGACTGCTTGACAGCCCGTGTGAATGTCGGGTCTGTTGTCTGTGACGGAGGACGGACGGACGGGACAGAGAATGGCCGACTCACATGCCGCTGTGGTTGCCCGTTTCAGTGCCGCTCGGGGCCGGAGCTGGGGCAAACTGGGGGAGGAGGTCGGGGTCACGGGCGGGCGAGCTGCTGTCCCAACAAGGCAATTGCCTCGGTGTGAATTCCCCGCAACAGAGCTCCCCCCAACCCCACACTCTTCACCCCGGATTTACCCAGGTGCTTCGGCACGACTCTCGACGACTAGCTCCAAGCGTGTCATTAAAGCTTTTTTTATCCTTGGCTTCTCGTTGCGTTTCTTGCCTTGTTCATCACCATACGCTTGTTTTGTACACTTCCTCGCCTGACACTGTAGGATACCAGATTGAGCACGACTGCCAGCACAACACACCAAGACCAGTGTAAGACAACAGACACCAAGACAAGATGGCACCCTCCGGCCCCATCACAACACCCATAACCCAACTCCTGGGCATCAAACACCCAATCCTCCTCGCCGGCATGGCCCGCACCTCGGGCGGTCCCTTGGCCGCAGCCGTCTCCAACGCAGGCGGCCTAGGCGTCATCGGCGGCTTCCAGTACACCCCCGACCAACTCCGCGAGATCATCGCCGAGATGAAGGCCAATTTCAAGGCCCCCGATCTCCCCTTTGGCGTAGACCTCGCGCTGCCGCAGGTCGGCGGGAACGCGCGCAAGACGAACCACGATTACACGGGCGGCAAGCTCGACGAGCTGATTGACATCACCATCGCCTCGGGCGCGCGGCTGTTTGTGAGCGCGGTCGGGGTGCCCCCCAAAGACGTGATTGAGAGGTTGCACGGGGCGGGGATCTATGTCATGAACATGGTGGGACATCCAAAGCATGCGGTGAAGGCGCTCGAGTTGGGGGTTGATATCGTGTGTGCGCAGGGCGGGGAGGGAGGGGGCCACACGGGGGACGTGGCGAATTCGGTGCTGATCCCCGCGGTGGTGGACGTCGCGAGGCGGTATCGCCCACCGATGCTCAAGGGGTCGACGGCGCTTGTCGTTGCCGCGGGCGGGATGTATAACGGGAGGAGTCTGGCGAGTTCGTTGATGCAGGGGGCCGTGGGCGTGTGGGTTGGCACGCGGTTCGTGGCGAGCGTGGAGGCGGGTTGTAGCGAGGAGCACAAGGAGGAAGTTGTGTCGTGCGGGTTTGAGGGGACGGAGAGGACGCTTGTGATTAGTGGGCGGCCGTTGAGGATGAAGACGAATGAGTATATCCGGGGGTGGCATGCGCGGCCGGAGGAGATTAGGAGGTTGACGGAGGGCGGGACGGTGCCGATTGAGTTTGATTTTGAGCAGGGGAGGGAGGATATTGAGATTCCGCATTTGATGGGGCAGGTTGCTGGTGCGATTGACAGGATTCAGCCGGCGGGGGAGATTGTGGAGGAGATGGTCACGGAGGCGGTTGAGCAGTTGCGGCTTGGGGAGGTTTATCTTGGGGGACGGAGTAGGCTTTGAGATGTGGTGTACGATGTTGTACGAGTTGAGAATTGACTACATATGAAATGGGTATTGTGATGTCGTGTCGGATAAGATCATTACGCTTCATCCTCGTCCTCCGTCTCCGTCTCTGGGAAACCTAGACAAACTCCCCCACACGGATCCGCGTGTTCCCCCACCCCTCCGCCAACGTCCTGACCTCCTCCCCTATCCTCTCCGCCTCCTCCTTCTCGTACCCAAGCCTCGCCTGAACCTCCTCGGGCGTACACAACTCCCGAATCTCAGGAAGCGGCGCAAGAACCCTGCCGCCGCCCGTCTTCGTCCCGCTCAACACCAGCGTCAACGTCTCCAGCCCAGCACGATACCGACACTTCAACCACGACCCCGGGTTTCGAAACGGCTCCTCGCACACGACGATGACATGCCTCGCCCCGCGGATGGGGAACCCGCCACCCCCCTTGCCCTCCACCACGGCGATGCTGTCCCGCAAAAAGTCAATGTAGATCCGCCTGTCGCCCCAAGTGTTTAGCCTCACGAGGGTGTACCGCCGTAGGGCCTCGTACCTCGCCTCGCGGTTCACGGCGAGCAAGGCCGGGTTCGGGGCGTGGGTTGCGAGGAGGGTCCGCGGGTGGTCGCAGGCGTGTTGCCAGATTTTGAGGCGGAGCTCGGCGGGGAGGAGGGGGAAGTGGTGGAAGGAGTGTTCGGGCCCGCGGGCCTGGAGGCGGAGCCCTTCGAGGTGGGAGGTGAGGGTTGCGGTTGTGCGGTGAGCTTCGGTTGTGAGGACGGAGGTTACTGTTTGGGTGAAGTGGGCGAGGAAGACGAAGGGGAGGAAGGGGAGGGGCATTTCGGAGGTGGGACGGGTTGGTGCATCCCGTTTGAGCTTGTGGGCGAACATTGCGAAGGGAGAGTGCGGGTTTGCGTGTGAAGTTGGTATTTGTATGTTGGAATAGGGGCTCTTTCTTTCCGACCTCTCCTATTTTCTTGCGCGGATCTCGCAACTAGGTCGTCAGCGCGAAAAGGGGGCGGACCTTCGCCTTAAGACTATTTCAATTCGGCAGATCAAATCTTCAATGGCCAGCGGGAATGAGATCTTCGGGCGGCAGGGCGGGTAGAGAGGTCGCTGAACTTCAAGATGGCTTTGTTTGCGAGACCCGGGGCTGCGGTGCCACCGGCGCGGAATCAAGCCACAAAGTAGGATTAGCCAAACGGCGATACGCTGCCTTGGCGGGTTCCGGTCTAGATCTGGGCAGCCCGGTCGTCGTCGTTCCGCGGAGACTGTGGGAGCGAGTGGCTGGTGGGCTCGTCTCTTTGATGAAGTATGTCCAGACGAAGTTTAGTGCAGGGGGCTGGTGGGCGAGTGTTCTTTGTTCTGGTGAAGAGGGACACTGGGCGGCAACAGAGATTTTTCTCAATCTTTGGTCGATGGATGAGGCGCTCGCTGTGGTGAGCGATACCAAGGTGCTCTGAGTGTCCTATTTGTATATTCTCACTTGATGTGATGGTGCTGCTGTGTCTCGGATGGTGTCGTAGTAGATCGATGTGATCTGGGCCACATACACGGCGAGGCGCGGAAGGCTTGGTTACACGTCAACTTACGCCATCAGTGTGGCGTTTCTCGATGTATGCGCCGATATATGGAGGATTTTGCTGCCACTCTGCCTGCGTCCGGCATGAAAGGTCCGCACCAGAGTTGCCGCCATCCTGAAGAACTTCTGCGCCAGCCGCGGCAACCCTGTATTCGATGATGGCCATGGAACTTTGGGCGAGGTGGAGGGGTTCAATTGCCTGGATATCGAATGTCACGCCAAAGAAACGTCAGACTGTCTTAGACATTTCTGTCTCGCCGTTGCACCTGACCGGATGTCGGGAGGTTGGCAAGCTGGGAACGCAGTCCCCAGGGAGCGGTTCAAACGGCCTGTATCCGAGTCACCCGAGACAGGGTCAGCATCATCAGCATTCCAGTCGGACGACACATGGCGATTCCAAAGCTTGGCTGTTCGAGACAATGTGGCACTGGGATCGCATCTTCGGTTTCGATGCCACGAAGCATGTGAAGGCGTGGATTTTCAAGGCTTTTGGACCGTGGGACTTGGCCGAGGTGTGAAAAGGGGCAGATGTGCCTGATGAAAGATGTGACTGGATGCTCTTGGATGAGGACGTCTCAGATTTCTTGATGTCCGTCAGACCACACAATGCTCGAGTGGGTGATCAACCGGCTGAGGCTCGTTGGACGCACCACGCGCCGTGCCTTTCAACTTGTCCTGCAGTCGACTTTCTCCTGAACTGTTTGGAGGGATTATTTCCAAGAGATGGGTCAGCCAACGTAGATTTTGTGGTTCATGTTTGGTCTCTGCTGATCTGGAGTTGCCCACTAAGTTTGGCCGGAACGAGACGCAGAAGAGGGGCTTCAGGATTGTGCGCACCTCAGCTTGTTCCAAAAAACTGTGACCTCTTTGATGGTTCTTGTGGACTGCTTCTCTCCATCTGGAATTGGTTCCCTCGTAGGTCTTGGCTCTCGGAACGAGACGTGAGTTCGAAGGAGGAAGCCCCATGGGGCTCGGACGAGACTTCTATACAATGGGAGCACTGCTGATCGCTTGAGCCCTTACCCCAAACACACCCGGGCGGAGTGAAATCTATGAGATCTTCGTCTTGTGATGAATTCCGGGTCGGTCTTCGACGGTCTCCTTACAGCCAAGATTTGTTTGATGTTTGTTGATCCCAAGGCGTAAACCGCTATTATAGCACCGCCCGGTTCTGGATGGCCATGTTCCTGGCTTATTCGTAAGAGAATAGCCAAAGGATCACCGCCTTACGCCCGAGGAATCAGCGTTTGAGCAGAGTTAACATATAAATAGCCAAACGATACCGGTTCATCCTAACTGTGAGTGTCTTGTTCCTGCACTTGCCGATGATCGACGGCGCATCAAAGAGGAAGCAGAGAGGATTGCAGCTGAACAAGGGCGAAACTCCGAGATTCGAAAAGCAAACCTTGAGAAGTCCAGGCGGAAGATTTTGGCAACCGCAATGCGCCTTTCCAACGAATTGCAACCGGTTTTGATGTCTGGCGAGACCAGTTGCATTTGGCCGTGGCGATACAAGTAGACGCAACCGAAGGAGACGGAATAAACTTCGCATCCGTCGTTGAAAAGGGGCCGAGAGTGACTCGTTCCTTCCCTTTGCCTACGTCCCTCCTTCCTCCTCGTCGTGCAGTCCAAACCCTCTCGCTTATAAAGCCTACCAGGGTCCTCAGAATCGCCTCTCTTCTTCTCCCTCGGCCACACAGATATTCAAAGGCTCCAACCTTCGTCACAATACCTCAAGACCAGCCAGTCTCCGGCCCTCTCAGCAACCTTGCAATCGTTCGGAATACTTAACCGTTCAAATCACCACCATGTCTGTCAGCCAGTCCGTCACCAGCGCCACGTCCAGCAGGCCTCTGATTCGCAAGCCGGCCCCCCATGAGGCCGTCTTCTGTGACGTCTGCGACAGAAAGTTTCCCAGCTTCGAGGAGCTGATGGGACACAAGCGCATGGCGATGCTAACCGAGGGAACTCACATCCACTGCTCCGTATGCAACCGCGACTTCAACAGCAAGGATGCTTTGAACAAGCATATTCTGGAGGTGAGTGCAACCAAACCTACAGCACCGAACATGGACTAAAGACAACAGGCCCACCCGCAGGAGCAGAACCTCACCTGCCCCGGCTGTCAAAAGACGTTTGTCCGGTTGGCTGGATGGATGAGACACCTTGAGCACAACGAGTGTCCTGGCATTCGCCGCGGGGATGTTGACCAGAACCGGGCAGAGAAGCTCACCTTTTCCCATGAGCTCGAGAAGCGCAGCGGCTCCCAGTTCGGCGACTACTTCCCCGTGTCCCACCCCAGCGTCCAGTCCGCCTTTGAGGCTCAGTCCAACCTCGATGCCATGTCCACCGTGGACGCGCAGTCCGAGTTCGACGACAAGGCCTACATGGCGCATCCGTCCTTCTTCAGGCCCAAGGACTTTCCCCACCTGAAGGACGCCAAGGAAAGCCTGGAGAGTATCCAGCGAGCGCAGTCGGACGCTGGCAGCGAGAAGCCGCGCGAGCCGGCCGTGGACGACATCAACGACCCATCCCACCGACTCTTCGACCCCAGAAAGTACTACAACACCCTCACGCGCAAGTACAAGTGTCCTCAGCCGTCCTGCAAGTTCGTGGCCCCTGCCTGCCTAGCGAGAAAACAGTGCTGACCCCAAAACAGGAAGACCTTCCCCAGCAGCGGCGCCCTCATCACCCACATGAAGTCGGCGGCCTCGCACTACAACGCCAAGCTGCAGTGCCCCGGCTGTCTGCGCTACTTCAGGGATGCGTCGTCCTTGACCGCCCACTCCGAGTCGGAGTCGACCCGGTGCAGCATCCGCAAATCTGAGAACTACCGCTCCTACCTCGACCAGCTCACCGGAGGCATGGCGGACCTCGGCGTTAAGCACGAGGACGGTACTATTAAGTATGAGGTCAGCACGGAGGCCGTCATCAAGTTCGCTCCGTCTCGGATGGCCAAGACGGCCACTGAGAATTACATGGCGAAGCAGGAGGCCGGCCGTCAGGAGAACTGGGCTCGCAATAATATTGTGTGGTAGTCAAGTTGCGTGATTTGCACGAGCGAGGATAGCGAAGCATGGTTTCATAGCAAAGTACTCCGTAGAAGAATCGAATTCAGGGATTGATCAAGCGTCCAGTGACATCGATCAGGGCGTGTCGTTGAAAGACCGTGCAAACTGACGACACACTGTATGCCCCGCCATCACTTTACGCGCCATCCCACCAAGACGCGTTCGTCGCGTCCCACCTAAATGTTCCGTCGTCAAACTTCCCGGCGCTCAACTCCAAGGCACGTACAACAGCACCAACCGACGAAACAATGGCGGAAGCGGAATTGAAGGAGTTCTTCACCTCGGGAGACAAGGCCCTTGAGCCTGAAGTTCTCACCGAGCTGCAGTCCCTATTGCGCCTGCACGACCTGTCCGCCGAGGACCTTTTCTACAAATGGGAGTCCTTTTGCATCAAGATGGACATGGACGCCATGAATCCCGACATTGTGCACGTGCGAAACTTCAAAAAGGACATTCAGGATGCACTGGAAAAGAGCAACCGACAGCAGACGCACATCAAGACGGAGAAGCGCAGTCATGGCACCCCGCGAGCCGGCAGGGGCGGCGGCGACGTCTTTGGCATACTGGATGGACTGGTGCCCAGCACGCCGGCGTCAGGAAGGCTGAACAAGCCGAGCAGTCTGCGGAAGAAGACGCACGAGACGCCGACAATGTCACGAGTCAAGGCCGAGATCCCCTCGAGCTCGCCAGACTACAAGGGGGCTACCAAGATGGAGGAGCAATTGAACGCAATGTCACTGTAAGGACGCTGGCCCCATTCTTCCTACAGATGCTGACCACCGCAGACCCAGCTCCTTCAACGAACGACAGAACGCCGGCGAGACGGTGGAAGTGCTCAACGACCACCTCGACGCTCCCGAGCCGCCAATCTGCCCGTACCCCGAACCCCGCATCAAGTTGACGGCGGCATCAGACCAAAAGAAGCTGGCGTACAAACCCCTGGCGATGAAGCTGTCAGAGGCATCCGAGATCCTCGATGACAGGATAGACGAGTTCATGCACATCGTCCAGGAACACCACAAGCTGGACTATTCAGAATTCGGCAACGCAGCGAGCCAGAGCACGACAGAGGTGATTGCGGTCGGACGCATCGCCTCGGACGCGCCCGAGGGGAAGCTGAATGCGGCGTCGCTGGTGCTCGAGATGTCGAGGCGGGTGGGCGGTGGTCTGCGGGCGCCCCTGAACATGCGCAACAAGGGGTTCAGCTTTTTCCCCGGCCAGATTGTGGCCCTCAGGGGCATCAACACCTCGGGCAACGAGTTTGTCGTGGAGGACGTGCTCGAGGTGCCGCTACTGCCGAACGCGGCTTCGACGCCGGCTGCGTTGGCTGCCCACCGCGAGAAACTGCGAGGCGATCCCGATGCCATGGACACCGACTCGGACCCGGCGCCCCTGAATGTTCTTTACGCTTCCGGGCCGTACACGGCGGACGACAACCTAGACTTTGAACCGCTGCACGCCTTGTGCGACCAAGCCGCCGATACGTATGCGGATGCGCTTGTGATGACGGGTCCGTTCATCGACAGCGAGCACCCCTTGATTGCAACTGGCGACTTTGACCTCCCAGAGGAGGCCGTCATCGACCCGGACACGGCAACAATGTCGACAGTCTTCAAGTACATGTTCTCCCCGGCCCTGAACCGTCTCGTGTCCGCCAACCCCAGCATCACAATCCTCCTCGTGCCGTCGGTGCGCGACGTCATCGACAAGCACGTCTCGTGGCCGCAGGACTCGGTCCTGAAGAAGGAGCTCGGCCTCCCCAAGACAGCGCGGATCGTCACCAACCCGATGACGCTGTCCGTCAACGAGATGGTTATGGGGATCTCGTCGCAGGATGTCCTCTGGCAGCTGCGGCACGAGGAGCTCGTCGGCGGTCGTCCGTCAGATCCGTCCTTGTTGTCGAGGCTGAGTAGGTACCTGTTGGAGCAGAGGCACTTCTTCCCCCTTTTCCCGCCGACGGACCGCCAGAAGCTGCCCAAGACGGGAACCGAGGAGGGGATCCCGCCCGGTGCCATGCTGGATCTTAGTTATTTGAAGTTGGGCGAGATGGTCAATGTTCGCCCTGATGTGCTTGTGGCGCCTAGCTTCTTGCCCCCGTTTGCCAAGGTGAATCTTGTGACTCTTGACTGTGGAATTACACTGACAGAAGAAGGTCGTCGAGAGTGTCCTCGTGATCAACCCGGGCTCTTTGTCGAAGAGACGCGGCGCCGGCACGTACGCCCGCCTGACGCTGTTCCCCCCCAAGGCCGACGCGGGCCAGTCGGGGGCAATGGCGAGCCACGGCGTGTTTGAGCGCGCAAGGGTGGAGATCAAGAAGATTTAAAGCGCACCTATACGACGTGTATGACGGCAGGGTTTTCCTCTAGGGCCTCGGAGTTTGGGGGGGGGGTATATTCAGCATGCGCTCGTAGTGAGCCTGGTTAGGATACGCTTCTTAATACATTTTACATGACGATAAAGTTATCTAGGGTCCACGCGCCTCCGCTTGTCGCTGTCGTAGCGTTCCCTCTCGCGGGAGGGGCTGCGCTTCCGTCTGTCCCTGTAGTCGTCTCGCGAGTCGCGGCGCGGTGACCTCGAGCGTGACCGATGGCGACGGCGGTAGTCGTCCCTGTCTCCCCCGCGCCGGTCATCGTCGCGGTACCTGTCGCGGTCACCTCTGCCACCACCTGGAGGCGCCTTGCGGTCACCCAAGGGAATAGCGTTGGCACCGTTGACCTCGCGGTCGTTATCCGGCCGGAACCGCTCGTCGACATCGTGCCTGTCGAAGCCGCCTCTCCTCCGATCACCACCCCCGCCACCACGCCGGTCATCGAACTCGCCCCATCGGCCTGTATCCTCGCTCTTGAGATCCTTGTACTTCGTCCCGCCCTTCCTGCCCAGCTTCGTCATGTCGCGCTTCTGGAGGTACTCCGGCAGCACGCTCCGGTCCTTGACATCATCCGCGATGCGCATGCCCATGAGATCACGCTTATCAAGCCCGTACGCTTTCGCCTCCTCGCTGTAAAATGCGCCCTTGTGGTAGTACTTTTGCAAATACGACATCTTGCCCTTGGCGTCCTTCTCGTCCTGCTGCGCAGCAATCTTATCCGCGTCCTCGGCGTCGCGCTCCTCTTGCGTCAAGTTCTGACGCCTCTCGCGCTCAGCGTACTCGGCCTCCTGCTCGGCAATGCGGTCGCGCTCGCGCTTCACGCGTTTGAGCTCGCGGAGGCGCCAGGCCGCAATCTCGGCCTCCGGGTCGAGATCGTCTGTCGTGTCGACGTCGGAGCCCGATGCCTCGTCGTCGTCCCAGTGCTTCTTGCCGGCGGCGCGGGCGGCGAGGTCTTTTGCGATTTGTTCTTCGACGAGGGCGTCGGCGGCGGCTTTGCGGCGGGCTTCTTCTTCTGCTTGGCGCGTCTCGTCGTCCTTTGGCGCGGAGGACTGTCCCCCCTTGGCGGCGTTGCGCTGGTTCTTTGGGACGAATTTGGGGCGGATCATGAGTCTGCGGGGGGCTTCTTCTTCGCTGCTGCTTTCCTCCTCGCTGGAGCTCTCTTCTTCTTCTTCGTCTCCCTCTTCGTCGGCTTCGTCTTCCTCTTCCGTGACGAAACCCTCTTCCGCCGCGAGCCGCTCCGCCTTTTCGCGCGCTATCCTCTGGTTCTCCTTCTCCTGCGCCTCGCGCCTCCGTTCGTCGAGGTTGACTTTGCTGAGGTTGCTGGCGATCTTGGCGGCGCTCGATGCCTTTGGCGGCGGCGGGATCGCGCGGGTTTTGGTTGTGTCGTCGTCTGCCTTCTCATCGTCGCTCGCGTCTGAATCTGATGAGTCCTCTTGGGGGACGGCCTTGCCGGGGAAGTAGCGTCCCGGCTTGACCGGGTTCGCGGTCATGCGCTTGGGTGGCATCTTGGGGTTTGTGGATGTCGCGGCTGGTGAATTGGGTTGATGACGTCCGGTTGAAAATCGAGGCCGCAAGGTAGCGTTTTCAGCTCAGGTACGGTGTACCTCAGGTCCCCTGGCGGATTGGGGACGGAACTGCACAAGTGTTTCCCCGCTGGGTGGCCCTGTAAGTTTAGCGTTTTTAGTGGACCTGGCGCCGCCGCAGAGCTTTTGACCCCTCCAACCTGGACGTCAAAGTGTGTGACGACCGGAGGCGTGAAAAAATAGATGGGCGTGGACAAAAGCATGAAGGCTTTCGAAGAGTTTAAGGGCCTGCATATGTGTGGCAGAATGGTCAACATCATTGGGTATCTATCATGAGTCTCATAGCCCGAGGACCACCTCTCGGGGCAACCTGAACAGAAACTGACAACGGACTACAAAATCTCCTCGTCGAAATCGTCGTTTGCCGGGGGAGGCGCCGACACAGCAGCAGCAGCAGGCGCAGACGCAGCGATATCATCAGCAGCGCCGTCCATCTCCTCGTCCGTCTCCCAGTCCTTGCCAGCAGGCACCTCGACGGTCCTGCTCTTCGTCTGCCTCTGCTCCACCTCGAGATCCTCCTCATCGGGAAACTTCTTGGCCACGATGGACGCCTTGTTGATGTCCTCCCACTGCTTGCTCCGCGTCTGAATACTCCGCGCCTTGGTCTTGCTCTTCTCCGTCTTTTCCGAGGTCCGCCCCATGATGGCCTCGGCGCGGTCGGCCGCCTTTTCTTTCCTCTCCTTGGCCTTGGCGCTCATCTGCGCCTTGCGGTTCTTGCTCTTCTTGGACACGCCAGAGTTGTGCTGGGCGTTGAGGACCGACGGCCGCAAGTCGGTCGCGGCGGCCGGGGCCTTGACTTCCTTGAGAGACTTGTCGGTGTCGATGTCGATGTCCGTCGCGCGCCTCGCGGCTCTCGAGTGGACCGAGGGTTCTGCCATTGTGTTAGTACGACATCATTTTATGTGAATAGACAATGCTCACGTCTGTTCTTCTTCGAAACGCCCGGTTTCGCCATCTTTGCAATCGTTTTGTCGAGTTCTGGGTGGTGTAGACTGCATCTCAAGACTCGCCCGCGGTGTGGGGGATATAAAATTCCTTATCGACATGCATGCTATCTTATCGCGATAACAGCGGGGACGATCACAAGCCTTGGGGCCACCCGCTCTCTGACCAATCCTTGTCGCAGCGTTTGCCCCTGTGGAACCCCCGGTCCCGCTCATCTTTCTTTGCTGTCTTTACTTTCCGTCTCGAGCGCTGCACTGCCGTGCGACACCTCAACACCATCCTTGCAGACATTCTAGGGCCTTACTCACCCACAACCACTTAATCAGCGAGTATCGCCACGACTGGACACCTTTCGATCACCCTCCTCGCTATGGCAGCGCGTGGCCTCTCCGATATTGCATTGCAGAAGCTCGCCTGAAGCTGTCCCTTTCGAAATCCCACCAGCACCAGCACACAACCCCGACTATGAATTCCCCCCCGACCAAGCACTCCTACGGCGGACCCGACTACCACCGACGACTTCACGTCGACGAGACCATTTGGACGAGGCTGACGGAGCCGAGCGTCGTCGTGTCCCTCTTTGCACTCGTCCTCACAGCGCTCGTCTCTGTTTTCGGCGCTTCCCTTCCGACCACCCTACTCTCCCACGCCTCTCGGACCCTCTGGCACGTAATCGTCTGGCTCATCCCCCACGACGCCTTGACCCTTCTGGAAGCCTGGCTGCACCCGCCGCTCGTTCCGCGACCGATGCTCCAGAACCAAGCCAGAACACATGCGGCCAAGAGTGCGCTCCTGAAAAAGATTCTCGGCATGGACAGACAGGGAGGCATCATGGGGACGGTCTCGCAAGCCGGCATTCGAGGGCTGTCGTCCGTCTCCGGGGCCATGATGAGCCTCAAGGGCTCCAGCAACTACCCGCCGGGCCTGGGGAACCTCGACAACTCGTGCTACCAGAATAGCATTCTCCAAGGGCTCGCCTCGCTGAAACCCTTTCCGAAATACCTGGCCGATCCAGTCCAGGACCCCGAGATTGACCGCCGCAAAGTCGAGGCCGTCGACACCCTGCGCAACCTGATTGAGGACCTCAACAGCGCTCGAAACTACGGCAAGACGTTGTGGACGCCAGGCTCGCTCAAGAACATGAGCACGTGGCAACAGCAGGATGCGCAGGAATACTTTTCAAAGCTGCTCGACGAGGTAGACGGAGAGATTGCAAAGGTGGCCAAGGCGACGGTCAAGTCATCGGGATTCGAATCGGATTGCGCCAACGACGACACTGCGACGAGCCAGCACAGCGATGACAGCGGCTACCAGAGTCTGTCGACGGCGTCCAAGATTAGCGCGGCTTCCAAGTCCCTGAGAAACCCCCTCGAGGGGCTCATCGCTCAACGGGTGGCCTGCGTGGAGTGCGGGCACTCTGATGGGCTCTCCATGATCCCCTTCAACTGCCTCACTCTCAGTTTGGATGTGGGCGGCAACGATCACGATCTGTACGAGCTACTGGACGCGTACGCCCATATCGAGTCGATCGAGGGCGTCGAGTGTGGCAAATGCACGCTCCTGAAAGCAAAGAGACTGCTGACCCTTCTCGTCGAGAGAGCGGAAGCATCGTACACTGACGAGCAGAAGCTCAAGGAGCCAAAGTTGCGACTGGCGGCAGTTGAAGAGGCGCTGGAAGAGGACGATTTCGAGGACAAGACGCTCACGGGAAAGTGCAAGTTTCCTTCCAACTTCAAAGTCTCGTCAACAAAGACGAAACAGGCCGTCATTGCTCGCCCGCCGCAGAGTCTCGCCGTCCACATGAACAGGTCCGTGTTTGACGAGAACACTGGCATGATGTACAAGAACTCGTCGGGAATCCGGTTCCCCCTGACGTTGGACCTCGGTCCGTGGTGTTTGGGTAGTGCCAGCAAAACGGGTGGCCGAAGTCCCACTGACGGATCCGCTTCGCCGGTCTTGGAGGAGGAAGAGGAGCAGTGGCTGTTGGATCCGCGGTCCTCCATGATTGCCGGCGACAAGCGCAAGTCGTACATTACCGGCCCGATTTACGAGCTGCGGGCTGTCGTCACGCACTATGGTCGTCACGAGAATGGGCACTACGTCTGCTACCGCAAGTTCCCTCGACACTCGCCGCCGAGCGATGGCGACGAGGTTACCTCGCCCAAGTCGGAGACTCTGGACGACGACCCCGATGCGGAGATGGACTGGTGGCGCCTCAGCGACGACACGCTCCGCAAGGTTGACGAAGAAGAGCTGTTGGCGCAGGGCAACGTTTTCATGCTATTCTACGACTGTGTCGATCCCAATATTATTCCTTCGTCCGAGGTTGCTGCCGTAGAGGCTGTGACGGCTCAGGACGTAGACGCGATGGACGCAGAGGACGAGGAGACGCCAAAGGTGGAGAAGCCCGCCTTTACCTGCACGGTGAAGGAGGTTTCGGAAGATGAAGACGATGACGAGATGCCGGCGGCCGATACTGTGGTGGCTGTTGCCGAGGGAGACGTCTCGCAGGCGCGGTCTGTGCCGTTGCCGGGGGACGGAGACGATGAATTGGCAGAGAACCAGACCGAGCGAGGACCGCAGATGATTGTCGTCTGAGTGCTCGGTTCTGCATGTAGAGAGGGGCACATGGTTGCTTTTTTGGTCGTTTTTACAGCATAGCGAATGGCGTTGGGACTCCGCGGTAATACCATGCGCTCGCGACGCGGATACTGAGCTCTGGGGATTGCTCTGGCTACTAAGGTCATGGGATCGGGTAATGACATAGCTTAATTCAGTACACAGTTGAAAGTGAGGGTCTGATGAACGTGAGCTTTAATCAGAGGGAACCTCCCTCGACCCACCCTCCTCCATCTCTTCAGGCCAAAAGTTGTTCTCCGCTAACAAGACCTCCCTCCACGTCGCCGAAGCTCGCTCCAGCTCGGGCTTGATTGCTGCCTCGCCGTGCTGCCGGATGGCTTCGTTTACGCCGTCGTCGATGATGGCAGCGAGTTGGTCTACAAAGGCTCTGAATTCGGGGCTGGACCAGTTGGGGATGAATTCTGTTCTTAGGGCGCCGCCGTCTAGGTCTGTGTTGGTTGCTCGGTCTGCGTCAGAGGCAGAGGTAGAGGTATCATAGGCAGACGAAGGAATCATGGCCTTTGCGCCGGACCAGGCTTCGAGATAGCATTTCTCTGTTGCCCAGAAGAGGACAGCGGGAGCGAGCCAGGGGAGAAGTGCACTTTGAGAAGGTGTGATGTCGATGGCGCTGAAGAGTCTTTCAAAGGCGCGTAGGCCTGCGTTCTTGTCTTCGCTGCTTACCCGCCGGTCACTACCAGCACTACCACTCTCGGACGTGTGCGCAGTAGGCAAGTTGACATCGACACCGAAGCGCGAAGCAACGTCGATGAAGAATTTCTCTTCGCGGCGGACGTTGACGAGGGCTTTGATCAGCCAGGCGAGGAGTCTCTCCGTCACGGGGACAGAGCCAGCGTCAAGCTCGGAGGCATCTTGACCTCCTGCTTCGGGAGCAGTGGCGACGACGTCGGGGAGGTCCAGCAGCGCGAGGAGCCGGCTTGCGCCTTTGATGTAGGCGTGGATGTAGAGCCTGTCGTTTGCGAGCCAGCGGCCGAGGATGGGTTTTGGGACTTGTCCGCGGGCGGCGGCGGCGAGGAAGGCGGAGGTTGTGGAGGAGAGGTAGAGGGGTTGGGTGGTGGTTAGGAGGTGGGTTGTGAAGTTCATTTTTTTTCCTTTGGGGGGGACTGGTGTATGTAGGTAGGTTCTTGGAAAGGTGTTGCGATGGAAGAGACTGGTCTTGAGATTTGAGATGTACAGCTGAGGCTGTGCGGCACCAGTTGGTTTCGTTCACTTCGGGTCGTCCCTGGATGTCGGAAAGAAAAGGGGCTTCCTCGCTGCGTACGCTGCGCACGAATTCAATGGCACGCGATCTGCGAGTCGTTGGGCTGAATTTCCATAGTTTAGTAAGCCTTGGCTGCAGGTTACGAACCTTGTGATAGGCCAATGGATTGCGATGTTGATCTTCTGCCCATCTCCAAACGCTACTTCGTCTTGCGGGTTTAGAGACTCGAGGGTTCAGAGAGACGGGGAGGACACTTCATTCAGATCATGTATTCTAAAGCTGTGCATGTGATGCCTGCTGCTCATGATATACAATATTACAAGAGTGGTCTAGACCCAAAGACCACCCAAAACCCCGCGCGTTTGAAAAGCCAGCCAACACTCCCCCCCTCCCGTCCAATGTCGCGCATTTTTCAGACTCCAAATGTCTTCTCTTTGTACACAACGCGCTGTCCCAAAACTCCAGGCTTTGATGATTGGGAAAAAAGGAAAAAAGTAAGGCATCTACGTGCTGGCGGTGCTGACCTTGGCAAACCAGTCGGCCGGCGCCGCGGCGCCCTTGTAGGCGAAGCCCATGACGACCATGAGGGTGATCAGCGTAAGCAGGCCAAAAAAGATGGCGCGGCGGAGGAGGGGCGAGAGGCGGCCCTCGTCGAGGGCGTGCGAGTTCCAGACGTTGCGGGACCAGGTGACGGCGCCGGCGCCTGAGGCCTTGAGCTGGTCCCAGCCGTTGGAGTAGATGACGAGGCCGAAGAGGGCGACGGCGTAGCCGACGAACTGCAGGGCGGTGATGCTGGTGTGCCAGATGAGGACGGAGACGACGATGAGGAGGATGTTCTTGAGGATGCCGGTGAGGGTCATGACGAGGCCTGACGTCTTGCCGATCTGGGGGTGTTAGCAATAGTCTGTCTGTGAACAGCCAAGGGGCACTCACGAGGAAGACGCTGGAGATGTTGAGGGCAAAGGCGACGCTGGCGTTGAGGAGCAGCATGGTGAAGCCGACTTTGTTGAAGTCCTCGACGTTGAACTTGCTAAACTCGCTGAACCAGGCGACAAAGAAGTTCATGACGGCGCAGACGGGGGCGTAGTAGTAGAGACTGACGAGGGGGTCCATCTTTTGGGCGTTCTCGTCGCCCTTGAGGAGGACCTGGATCATGACGAGACGGATGGCCTCGAAGATGATGCCGCCCATCTGGAAAATGAAGCCGATCCAGGAGAACTCGATTTCGCCAAAGGAGGCGAGGCCGACACCGCCGACGATGAGCAGGATGTTGTAAAAGGTCTTCATGGAGGGGTCGGCGACGCCCCAGAACCAGCTGGTGAAGAGGACGGCGACGGGGGCGGCGGCCTTGAGCATCTGGATAAAGGAGACGGAGAGGTAGAGGTACACCAGGTTGGAGCAGACGAGGGAGCCCGAGTAGAGGACGCCGATGGGCATGATGGCGCGCAGGTAGACGCGGCCCGTCATCTTGATCTTGTGGCGGCCATCGAGGAGGGAGGTGAAGCGGGCCAGCACCTGTGTTGCCAGGGTGGAGAAGACGAGATGGCAGAATGTGAGGATCACGGCTGGGGTATGTTAGTGGGAGCAATGAGGGTCTGGTGGAGAGACGTACGGTATTCTGCGGGTGGTTAGCGATGGTCAACGAGAGGGACGAAAGGGTGCTTACTGAAGCCGGCTGTGTCAAGTAGCCATTTGTTGAAGAGAATGGTCAAGTTTGAGAAGAAGATCCAGCTCCTGTGAAAGTGTTAGTTAGTAAGAACCCGGCGAGGCTGACGATGAATACGCACGCGATGAAGAAGGCCGGGTGAAGAGCCTTGAAGCCCACAGGCTTCTCGGTGGTCGGCAGCGTACTCATGGTTGCGTTGCGCGGTGATGGTCAGGTGTTGTGACAGGGATAGAAACAAGCAATGAAGTCCAAGAAGGCCAAGCGACGGCGGGTGATCGGAGGGTACGGCGGCGGAGACGGCGGTAGACAACGGGACTGGAGTCGGTGGTGGGCCGGGTGCGTCGGGTGGGAAGGAAAGGATGGGGTTGTTGCGTCAGACGGAAGGCATGAGATGGAGTGCAGCAGCGACGCGACAGAAAGCGACAGGGAAAGACGAGAAGAAAAGATGGAGGAGAGGATGCAAAGTGCGAACCACCTTGCAGGTCAAGAAGGCGACAAAAGGGTGAGAGAGGCACGGATGATGAACAGAGGAACAGAAGAGGGTGAAGACTGCAAGGTGTGTGGCGGCAGGCGGATGTTTGAAGCGCTGCGCCGTTTGTTGGACTGGTGCCTGCAGTACGGTAAGGTACCTTTGCACGAAGGAGGAAAGGAACCTTAGGGACCCGAATGAGCCCCCTTTGCAGCGTGGATTTTCTCGTGTTTTCTGCTGGCTGCAATGTACCTGGCGATGGTACGAAATAGGACGGGGCACCTTATTGGACTGGGCTGACCACTGGGCCTGAAAAAGGCTGGCGGAGAAGGGGGGAAGACTTTGGGGGGCGCTAAAGTCGGGCGGCCGGCACGTGGAGGGAGCGAAGTGAGACCCTGGTCGTCTCTAGTCTGTCCAGTCTTTGGTTGTGGTTGTGGTTGTGGTTGGATGGTTGGAGTGTTGCAAGAGAGTTGATGTTGGTTGCAGCCCGGCAGTCTATAGAGTTGATGAAGCGGTAGATGCTACGATCACGACACGGTTCTGAAGAGTTGGTGATTGTCCGGAGAGATGGGTTGCGTCCGGACTGTGGTCGGGTCCTCAGAGGCTCAGACTGTAGAGGTAGAGAAGGCTCAGAAGAGCAACGTGTCGTGCAATAGCGATGGAATTTGCCAATGAACCTTGTGGCAGGCAATTTACCTCGAGGCTTTCAGGGGACCAAGGGAGAGTGGAAGTGTTCGGATGAGGAAGGGAAAGAACAGCGGGAGTTGCAGTACAGACAACAGAGTGGTGATGATCAGAAGGAAGGGGGAAAGAAGTCAAGGAGCGCTTGAAAGCTTGAGATGAGTGCCGACGGGCTTGGGACTTGCAAGGCGAGACAAAGGCACAATGCAAGACACAACGGCTGAGCCAAGGGGGTACGTGTAACGCGAGGGAAGGGGAAACACCACTTCTACTCCCTACACGGAATGGAATCAGTCCCAATTCCTGAGAGTTTGTTGGCTCGGCCCCGCGATGCAGCGGATTGACGACTTGGTGCTGGGGCGCTCGCTGTCTGTGCCGTTGGCCGTCCATCACCTGTCATGTTTTAATCAAGCTCAGAGGCCAGGGGGAAGGAAGCATTAAACTTAGCGCACTCATCTCCTGCATCCTTAGATCATCATCGGCACAAGTACCTCGTACATGGCACAAGTACACCGCTTAGGTAAGGATCTTATGTAAGGCCCTTAGGTAAGCTTAGGTAACCACGTCGTTGGAAGCGAGTTGGCGAGGTTGCACAAGCACCGCCAGTGTCTTGTGCCCCAGTGCCCACCTTCTGCATAACCGATTTTGTGTAACGGAGGGATCGCCTGTGGCTTGTGCCACCGTCCGCCAAGCCGTCTAGTGGCCTCATCTCCCCCACGCTCCCTTGCATCACCCACGGCCATCGTCGCCATCAACACTACAGGCACCATCATCGACCACGATGTAATGCTTCATAGCTCGGTATCCGCATTCCAACACCATTTCGCCATTGCCGGAATGCGGGAGAAAGCAAGCTCCCTTGGCTGCCACCACAAATTCGACCCGGTTCTCGGATCCAAGACATTGTGGCCAGCGTTGGGATGACAGACATCCAGCTCGTGCTGTGTAACTCCAAGGGAAACCCAATGCCGACGACGCTTTCGATTGCTTTGCACCACAGCTCATCTTCTCTTTTTCAGACTGTCCTTGTTCGCGATACTGTTCTGGGCCCTGGGCTGTCGTCGCGTGGTACATGTCCAGCGCGTTGGCCGTCTAGATGGGCCGACCATCATCACCAAGGTGGTGAGGCTCAACCCATGTCCATCACAAGACTAGCGGAACCTTAATCGAGACATCTTCGGGCCACCACCGAAATGTGTTTAGAACACAACACCACAATCATCACAAAGCGCGCCCCCGAGGATCCCGCACCGTCCCGCTTGCAACCACAGGCTCGTCTCTACTCCGTAGACTTAGAGTCCATGGACCACAGGACCACAACCATACCCAGACGAACGGAGAGGCTAAGGGTGCTAGGGCAGATCAAGGGACAGTCTTTGAGTCTTGACAAGTGTCGCCTACCGAGTGTCGTTATCTACGCGCCAAGATGGTATGGCCGCCCCCTGCATCGGCTCTGAATGAGGACATTCACACTGCAGCGGCGCGGCCTCCCTGCCGGAAGTATGCGTGCGAATAGCATCTGCGTGCCAGTGCCGCCTGAGATGCTCATCCCAACACCGATCCAGGGTCTGATGCACGTCAACCTTCTCCCTTGAGCCGTCCGCTCGTCCCGTCTACTTCGTACGAGTGGATGATAGCCCCGTACCATCGCGGGTCTACACGTTCCTGCGGCTGTATGTTGGTTCAACTTGGCGTCAATCGCGGCATCGCCCTCTCCGCCACGGGTACTGCATTCGGTGATTACATTCCCGCTATCACGTTCTCGCTATCACGTTCTCGAATGGCATGGCCCCCAAAGGGCTCCAACACAGCGGCGTGACCCCTGTCCAGACTCAAGGTGGGGGGGGGGGGGGGGGGCCTCAGCTCGGCGGGCTTAGAAATGTACAAGCATGACGGACGAAGGCACTTATAGGATCGACCTCTGAAATGTTCGAGACCGACGACTCAGACACGGCGCCAGGTCTGAACTTTGAAGGAGCTCAGGCCAACCGAACGTGTGTCCCTCGCAGAGTTCAACAAGTTCAGCTTGTACCCCTCACCTCGCTCATTTTCTATTTCACTGCTCGCACGAGTTGGCCGGTAGTTTGCTGTTCCCCAATTGGTCTTCTCTTCTCTGTGGTCTTGTTCATCTTTGAGCTCAAGGTTTTGAGCGGTTTTCTCACGGGGCATCCTTTCCGTTCCACCTTCTTCCCGGTCACCTTGCTTATACCCACCGCAGCCATGTTGAGCAAACCAACATCAAGTCACCAGATCAAGTATCTGGCCGTGATTGCTTCCCTCGTTTTCATCTGGCTTGTCTGGCGCCTCGATCTTCACACAGAGGTTGCCGAGCATGCCCGCAAGATCACACACCCAAATAGCACGCCGTACGATGGCCTCGCCAAAGCCGGCAACAGCGAGGTCCTCCCTCCCGCAAAGGCCGCCGAGTACTGTGACCACTTCCGCCTGAAGCCGGCCAACACTGAGTTGGTCCGCAAGCGCAAGGTGTACGACCTGCTCCTCATCAACACCGAGGTCGAGATGCTCGAGGTCCGTCTGGGCCAGATGGCTCCCTACGTCGACTACTTTGTCATTCTCGAGTCGGCCTTGACCTTCACCGACAACCAGAAGCCGCTGTACATCAAGGAGAACTGGGACCTCTTCAAGCCGTGGCACGACAAGATGATTCTCCGTCAGATGGACCTCGAGGCCCTCAAGGAGAGCAGCACATGGGACCGCGAGGCCAAGAGCCGCAACGCCATGTACGAGCAGGTCATTCCCACTCTCGAAGGCGCGCAGCAGGCTTCCATTGATGACATCCTCATCGTCTCCGACGTGGACGAGATCCCCAAGCCCGAGGTCCTCCGCGCCCTGCGCAACTGCGAGATCCCGCCCCGTGTCTCCATCCACTCCAAGATATACTACTACTCGTACCAGTGGCTCTCCCGCAACGACTGGAACCACCCCCAGGCCACCGTCTACCGCGGCGTCGACACCGTCCTCCCCCACGACCTCCGCCACAACGCCCAAGACCACCACTTCAACCAGGGCGGCTGGCACTGCAGCTACTGCTTCAGCACCGTCGAGGAGATGGCTCAGAAGATCAACTCCTTTTCCCACGCAGAGCTCAACAAGCCCGAGTTCAAGGACCCTGACTGGATTGTTTCCGTGGCCCGCCGCGGTCACGACATGTAAGTGCTATTGTCCCTTGACCTTGGAAGAATAAACTAACACATGGCAGCTTCGGCCGAGGCGAGTCCAACTTTGACCGCATCGAGGAGAACCACGATGTGCCGGACTACGTCAAGCGCAACTCGGAAAAGTTCAAGTACCTGCTGGACCGCGATCCGCTCAATGGTAACTTTAGGGACTACACTCCCAAGGACACTTCAACTTCCTCAGCTTGATTGCTGCTCGAGGCGTGTGGCTGGGTGGGAAGACTTGGACTACAGGCGTTTGGGGGCGTTGGATAACCTGTGGCCCGTGGGAAGGGACCTACAGAGACATTTTTCCTTCTGTCTACTTCATCTTGTACTATTTGATTTCGCGGCATTCCAATCTATTCGGCCGCTCATCTTCATCTTAGCTATGAAGCCGTCATGGCTTGTCTATGAATGGCGCCATCCTCGGCTTGCCCCCATCTGTGTGATGCGCGGCGACAGTGCCAAGCTTGATCAGAGGACTGCGCGCGCGCGTGCAAGCGGACTGTATAGCAAAATTGCGCGTCCGCCGGCAACGTTGGGAAATTGAACGGAGCCCTCCGTAGAAGAAAGTCCAGATGATGTTCCAAGAAGCCAGAATAGAGTTTCCCCAGACGGAACCGCCGGGACCTTTCCTGAGAGGCTGAGACGACGTTTTGGGGATTTGGCCCATACAGATCTTTGCAATCTTTGTAGGGCCGCCCACCGGCACACTATTTGATCCAACGGTAGCAGGGCTGGAACCTGGACCGTGTCATTGGGATGCGCAGCTATTTTCAGGGAAGATTCGATTTCGCTATAGTGTGTTTGGGAAACCTTAAAGTGAGGTTGCGGTGAGACTTGAGAGGATAGAGAGGGCGAGTGGACCCGGGAAATGATTACTATACCGAACCGATTGGGAAGCTGGTTTACCGTGTCAGAGTTTATTTTGTGTTCATTCTTTCTTGTGTAGCATAGAGACATAAAGGCATTGCGACGTTGTCTAAAGGGAGCTACAAACTTACGGTTATTCGAAACAGCCACGGATGAAGGCGTTTGGGGAATGGCCTCAACCCTGGTCAACTTGTCATCGTCTCAAGACCAAGACTGATTGAAGGCAAGGCTAATGTACGGCGTAAGGTTTCCGACGGGGTTTACAGGAAATTGGGGGGGTCCAATTTGCTGTATTGTAGGGAAACTTTGATTTTTCGACGCCTCAGAGCTTGTGCCACTGCCAATGGCTTCGCGAAACCGAAAAGTTCTGCCCCGAATCTCGCACTTGCAACTGATGGGGCCAGACTGTGCGTTCGAGTCTTTTGAGTCATGCTAGTGGGGCTCTCTCTTTTTCTTCGCAGTCATCCGAACGCCTCGTCTTTCCATTACTGTATTCTGGAAGTGGAAAATGAATTCAAGGGATGGATTGTGCTCGCTGGACTGTCTGCATGAGGCGAAATGGGCGGAAAGTTGAAAGGTCTTTCGTGCCCATCATCCCGAGGAACATCACTGTTTGGCTTACTGTGCAGTGTAAGCGTTGGCGTGGCGTGGCGTGGGCACGGACATAGGCAGGATGCCATGCAGGGTTCTAGGTCTCTCGGATACGCCGCCCGCCCGCAACAGTCTCCTTCACCCTGCCGCGTTTCCATCCCCATGACAGCTTGCGCCGTGCGGGCGGTCGGGTCTGAACCAACCCCTGTACTTCCGGGTTTCCGGTCGCTTGTCCGGGCCGAGGCCGCTTTTGTGGGGTATGTTCGGCGCGGTGTTTCCGATCGGGACGCTAGCCGCCGTACCGTTGCGTTAGGTCGGAGCGGGATGAGCGGCGGGTCGCACAAGAGACGACAGACTTGCCTCTTGTCCAGCCTCATCTCAAACGACAGCCAAGAGCAAGCTTCCGCAGCAGAATCGAACTTCACTTTGTGATGCTTATCCTGCGGGCTATCGTGCGCGATTGATGCTACTGATACTACCGATGCCACAGTCCCAGCTCTATGCCATAGTGAGCCATGTGATGATGTTCCATAACCCCTATTCACGCCCGAGACGACCCAACGTCATCCCGTACCCGTACCCGCACCCTAGGCCGGCACTCCCATTAACCCTCCTTGGCCAGACAAACCAAACCCGCCGGGCGCAGAGGCAACTAGCGACTCCTACTCCTTCGGCGGCTCCGGCTCCGGTCTCGGTCGCGTCTATCCCTCCGCGACGAGACGCTGCGGTCTCTCCGGCTGCGGCGGTCACGGTCACGATCACGATCGCGGTCCCTATCCCGATCTCTATCTCTTGATCTAGCCCTCTCTCGGTCCCGTCGATCTCCAGAGCGGTCTCTGTCTCTCTTGTCGCGATCCCTGTCCCTGACGCGATCTCTGTCCTTGTCCCGCTCGCGATCTTTGCTGCGCGAGCGACTCCGACGACGCTCGTCATCCCGGGCCAGGTCGTGAGGTCGCTCTCTGTCTCTGCCGGGAGGCACATACCGATCAATTTCATCCAAGTCGCGCCTGCGTTTTGCTTCAGGCGAGCGATCCCCCGTGCTTCTCTTATCGTCGATCCCAGGGACCGGCATGCCCTTCTCTCGAGCCTCACGCTGCGCGGCAAGGTACGCCTTGGCTTCCTTTTCGCGCTTGCGGACCTCGACCATCTTAGTAGCCTCCTTTTCGTCCTTGTCTCGCTCCAGCCTGGGAGTAGATCGCACGGCCGGAGAAGGCTGCCTCGAGCGAGACCGACTCTTGCGATCGCGCTCAGAGGGCTTCCGGTCGGAAGAGCGATCCCGGCGAGGGCGAGAGCGGCTGCGGTCACGGCGGATGGACTCGCGCCGGTCAGGTCGTGGAGACCTACTTCGGTCTCTCCTTTCGTTGCGGGTCCGGGAGCGGGAGCGTGACTTGTCTCGGCGGTCGGCCCTCACACGAGAACGGCTGCGGTCTCTGCGATCGTTGCGTACCCGAGTGCGGCTCCTCTCGCGGCGGCGTGAGCGACTGCGGTCTCGCCTGTCGGTACGAAGACGGTCTCTCCGGTCGCGAGATCTAGATCGACTCCTATCGCGGCGGTCGTGGCGTGTGCGAGATCTGCTTCGGTCACGGCGAGTCTTGGATTGAGTGCGCGAGGGGGTTCTCTCCCGCCTTTCGGGTCGACGAGACCTGCTGCGATCGCGTCGGGGTCTTGAGCGCGACCTGTCACGCCTGTCGCGGGATCGATCACGCGGTCTGGGAGATCTAGACCGACGATCACGTCTACGGCGGTCGTCGTCGTCTCTAGTCCGTCGTCTATCGTCATCACCGTCCTTGTCCTTCTCACGGTCTTTTCCAGTCGCCTGTGACCGGCTGCGGCTTCTAGCCTTGACAACCGGTGCGTCGGCTTTTGGTGTCGCAGCGACGCTGGCATCCCGAGCTTCCTTCTTCACCTCTACAGCCTTCTTCGACTCTGAGGCTTTTTGCGAGTCTCGCGAGGACGCAACTTTCTTGAAGGGCATGATTGCAGACGCGGGAGCCAGTTTCCTAGGAGGTGGTGCCAGCGCTTCGTCAATCTCCAACTCGGGTTGCTTTGCCGTGCTTCGCTTGCTCTCTCGGAGGAGATCCGCAAGGGCTTCCTGTTCGAGTCGTTCGAGTTGCTCCTGGGAGAGCTTCTGCTTGGCCTCCTCGGTCTCTTCGTGACGCTCCTTGCGCTTGCGATCTCGCTCTTCCCGGCGGTCGCGGTCGCGGTCGTCGCGGTCCCGATCACGGTCTCTATCGCGATCTCTATCCCTGCGGCGGCTGCGGCTGCGGCTCCGGCTTCGGTCACGGTCGCGGTCTCTGTCCCGGCTCCGCTCCTTGTCTCGTTGGCGGCGGCGCTCCTGTCTTTCGGCCTCACGCTCTGCTTGGAGCTTCTCTCTGGCAGCACGCCTGGCGTCTCTTTCGGCCTTGCGTTTCTCCTCGGCCTTTTCGCGTTCCTTTTCGACCTTTTTGCGCTCTTCCCGTGCAATCTTGCGTTTCTCTTCTTCGATGGCGGCCTCCTTTTGTCTCAGTTCTTCGCGCACCCTTTCACGCTCGGCTTGTTTCGCCAACGTCTCTGCGTGGTAGTCTTCGTCCGTCTTGGCTCCCCGCTCTTGTTCTGCGGCAGCCTCGTCTTCGCCAATGTCAACGCGGCGCAGCTGTCGCATGCGTTCTTCGATTGACGCCCTATCGATGAGTTGCGTGATGACCCGCTCTGCCTTTTGGTACACGCCAGAGCGCTCGAGGGCGCCGTCAATCAGAGCGGCGGCTTTGCCTCGGTCGAGGGTAAGGAGCTGGCCGGGGTTGCGTTCGACTTCCTGTTCGGCTACCTCGAGGATGGCTTTCGTGACTTGGGCCTCATAGTCCTGCGCGGGTTAGTTGTTTGTCGTGCGATGAAATTTCAATCAAGACTCACGCTCGCTGCAAACTTGTCCCAGACCTCCTTGCGAATGGCGTCGTATCCGCCCTTCTTCTTGAAGCTGTGCGCCAGGGATTCGATGGCGGCTCTGGTCGCGGATGGTAGAGGGAGGTCGGATGCCTTGAACTTCTTGGAGGCAGGAGGGGAGTCGGTCGACGTCGACGCGGCCGGGTCGATGGATGAGGCAGTAGCCATGACGGCTGGGAGTGCGGAAGCCATCTCGCAGTTGCGCCTGGCGTTTGTAGCGGGTGTCGCAATCGGTTCGTCACATGCGTCTGTCGAGCCGGTGTAGTAAGTGCTCAGCGACGAGCAATCAATCAGAGACTGTCGCCAGTGGCGCAATTGCCATTGAATGGGCAAGACTGGGCTGGAAAATGCTGGTGAACAAGAAAGATTCTTAGGTCTTGATCCGTGGGACGCGTTTGGAAAGTCGAGTTCTCGGAGCAAGTGCAGTTCAGCGAGGTGCATTGGTCAAGTGGAGGCCACAGGGGAAAGTTTAGTAGAACTCCCATCCCTGTCTTGTGCTGCTGGTCCTAGCGTTGGTGGTCAGCAAGGTCGCCAGATTGATGGTGAGGCTCTGCTCGGAGCGGAGATGGGTGCTGGTCTTGAATCCGACCAGAGGCTTGAATCTCCGATGATTTGGCAGCCGGGCATGGATTTAGAAGACAGGGACTGAAGCACCGAGGAGTCATCGGGTACGGTGTCACTGGCGAAGGCGTGGAATCAGATGGCACTTAGAGGTCCGACAGGAGTTCATCCTCGGGCACAATCCTTTGGGGTTTCTAGACCCGAGTAGTCCAACCGACGGGCCATAAAGTGCGAGACACGTCCTGAGGTATCGCATCAACTCGTTTTCATGCTCCAGGATTGCCCACAGACGATGGACGTCATCAACCGCCACTCCAAATGCCCCATCACGACGGCACAAACAACCAGATAGACAGAGCCGAGCACCGACATTGGTATTAATGATGCTAATCAACCGTCAAGAGCCCAAAACGCCATCCAACAGCCCGCTCCAAACAAACCACACCTCCCTACTCCTTTACCAAGAACTCCTCAATGTCCTTATCCTCATCGTCCTCCTGCAGCTCAGCAAGCCTCTTTTCCTCGACATCAATCATCTTCTTGAGCACGTCGCGCTGCCTCTTGCGCGCCTTCTTTCCCCAGTCGGTAGACGTCGATGTCGCGCCCGTGGCCTGGGTCGTGCCTTCATCGTCGCTATCCTCGGGGATATCGACCTGCCCGCGCAGCGTGTTGGGTTGCACTTTTGCTTTGGGGCCGTCAAACTCGTCCTCGGGCTTGGTCTCGTGCTGCTTCATCTGCGAGCTGCCGGCCAGCTTCATCAGGTAAGGGCGGAGCAGGCAGTAGGCGCCGACGATGATGACGAGGCGGATCCACTTCTCTGTGGACATGCCCTCGAGGGTGCCGCGCAGGTTGGTGCTGAAGCGCGTCCAGATTGTGTTGAGGAGGTTGATGACGGCGGACATCTTGGCGGTGGTGGGGTGGTTTCCGTAGGTTGGTTGTTTGATGGTTGGTTGGAGGTTGCGCGAGGTGCGCTCGGATGGATGATCGTGGGATTGTTGACTGAGAGCGTAGGGTAGTTTGGCTCCGATGAGGTGCGGCTTCGAAGGGACGACGACAGAAGGAAATAGAGACGAGAAGATGGTAAGCCATGGCCGAGAGAAAATATCGCGACGTTGAAGAGCCGGCCCGCGCGGTCAAAATTGCGCAGAAGGCCCCACCTGAGGGAGCCCGCTAACTTTGGCCAATTGACGGCACGGCAATGGAGAACCTCGCTGGACGGTGGAGGCTCAGCGGCCGGCCCAGGGTCCTACAGGGGGTTCGTCCAGTGATGTCACAGCGCGTTTTCTTTTGTGATCCCCCCAAGCACCCGCTGATGGGCAACGGCTTCAGAGCACTCTGTCAGCGCCAATCCACCGGTGACTAAGGAGCCTTTCTTTTAAAATCTGAATTGTCCATGTTGGACTTGATGTATGAGGTGCCTGTTGGCGAGAAATCGTGAATAGCAGCCTTGCATTGCCCCTCTGGACTGATGTGTAAGCCTTTGCTGGAGCTTCAGGCCTGTGAAGCTTAGTCATCATCTTCACGAAAGGGGCGCGACATCATGTGACCCTTCCGCTCTCGACGACATGGTCAACCTTTCGAACAGTCGATCGCCAGTGTGACTATCGAGGAATAGCCTGGATCCCTTGGAACATCGAGATTAGAACGGCATCTCGATCTGTTGTGGCATTAGCAAACGGACGACACCACTTGTACCAACCTACGCAGTCCAGCATCCTCCTACTAAATCCCCGCGACGCGTCTGTCGCGTAAAGTGGGAAAGACATCCAGACTCCCATCAGAAGTCGTCAAGATGGCAGACATGTCCAACGAAGACGAGCGCGAGGTAAATCACACTAACACCTAAGGACACAAAGCATAGCTAACACATGCCCAGCGTCTCAAGGCCGCGCTCTGGTTCGCAGTCGGCAAGATCGTCGACGAGGAGTCAATCAAGCAGAACTGCAACGCCACACCGCAGTACATTGCCGCGCTGACCGAAATGGTCTGGGCACAGATTGGTGAGCCTGAGCTCTCTCGTCTCTTCCCTCTTGACCAGTTTGTCCATCTGGAACCCCGCGATGCTAACCATTCCACAGAGTCAGTCGCCACCGACCTTGAGAGCTTCAGTCGGCACGCGCGGAGATCGACGGTCCACACGGAGGACGTCGTCCTGCTAGCCCGCAAGAACCCGGACCTGCTCGACATTGTCCGAGGCTTCGTCGAGGAGCAAAAGGCGGAGAAGCTCAGAAAGGGGAAAGGCAAGCAGAAGAGATGATCTAGCTGTGGGACGGAATGAACCACCGGTGCACTGTTGATACCCCCAAATTAACGAACGTTACGAACACTTCAGTTGAAGGAGTTGAAAAAGACTATTGTGCTTGAGGTATCTCGTGATGCATACGCCAGACGCCGAACTATCCCGGTGACTTTACACCCAAACGCCAACCCACACACTTAAATCTGCCCCCGACGCCTCCGTTCCTCCGCAGCCTCGGCCTCCTCAATCTCATTCCACAGCTTCCACTCCTCCTCCGTGATGTGGAACCACTGCGCGAGGCCCGTGATGAGAGCCCACAGCTCACCCGCAATCACCAAGTGCAAAAATTCCAGCCCGAGGAAGTTGGTCACGCCCCGCAGCGTCATGCCGCTAAAGATGTTGGTATCGTGGATGTCAAAGGTGGGCAGGCCCATCCTCTCGCGGTAGGACCTCGCCACCAGACGCAGCGCGACGGCTTCGTACGGCGAGACCAGGACGTAGCCCGAGATCACGGTGAAGATGTCCGACGCAAGACACGCCGGCAGTCTGGTCAACATGGTGTCCATGTACTGGATGGAGGCGCCGTACCCAGAATCCGGCCCCGTGCTTGGTCGCAACTCGGCGGACCAAAGCCCGGGAGGCGCATCGGTTGAGTCAGTTGCTTCCACGTCGAAACTGATGAGCGTTGCACTGACGCCGCCGTCCTCTTCGTCGTCACTGCCGTAGTCGTCGCCCCTAGCTGAGAAGGCGCTTGGTCGGCGAACTGCCTGGACGGGCGGTGTGTCGCTAGGTTCCGCTTCCGGGGGAATGTCCTCGAGGATGTCCTCACCCCTCAGCTCAGAGAGAGGTTCGGGCTGTTGACGGTCTACGTCGGGAACCGGCTCCGGCGTCTCCGGAATCGTCACCGGCGGTAGTGGAGGCGGCGGCGGTGGAGGTTTCCGGTGGTGGACGGTATTCGGCAGTCGTCCGTAGAACTCCTGCCACAGGTGACCCGTGACTTCGGTCCAGATCTGACCCCAGATGACGTACGAAATAAAGGGGATCGAGTTCACACACCACGCGCCGGCGTATTGCACCAGCGATGATGGGCTAAAGTCCTTTGGCGGCGCCGGCGCTGCAATGGGTGACGAGGGCGAGCCCGGGATGAAGAAGCTCAAAGAAGGGAACCATCTCGCAGAGGGAATGATGTCCAGCCTCTGGAGAAAGACATACAGCTGCAGGTGCACCCTGATGTACGACAGGGCGGTGTTGACAAACTTGTTCTTCCTCGGGTAGGGGTAGAACCAGTAAGTGGCCATCTTAAAGACATGGCCGCTGAGGAACGTCGGCAGACCCGTCATGAGAGCGGACGATATCGACCGCTGGCTCCGCTCGTGCTGGAAGAGCTCGAAGAAGGAAATGTCGGCGTACCGCCTGTACAGGAGAATGCGCAGTCGCATGCCGTTAATACCCCAGACACCGGCAATCTCCAGCGCGCGCCCGAACCGCAGCAGCCGCGTGCCCACCGCATCCTCGTAGTTGAAGTATCGTCGCACGGAGTCGACCTCGGCGGTGGTGGGCGTGTTGTCCGGCTCGGCGACGCCAATGACCTGCATCACCTCGTTGTGGGATCGCACCATGTCGCGGTTCATCCGTTTCGTCTCGGGGTTGACCGGCCGTCCGCGGTTATCGTACTGCTGGGTCGGCGCATGTGGGTCATCTTCGCCTTCGCCGTCGACCACATCGTCAAATGGCGAGCGGCCCTGGGGGGGTTAGTTGGGTCGTGTGGTGAGTTGGGGAGAACTGACTAGGGCCTGCGCGGTCAATGGACCGAGTCTCGTCATGTTGTGAGGTGGATGGGCGACCACATGTGCAGCTTATTACGTGCTGCAGAAGTGGTCAAGATCGTCTTGGTACGTCGGATCAATTCACAGGTTTGAAGATGGATGTCTGTAAACGCAGTTGATCATACCAAGCTCCATGGTGGTGTTGGAGAGCTCCTGCAGGTGAGCGGGTCCGATAAGATAACGCTATCGATAAGCCGTCATCCCGCCAGACGAAAAAAAAATAATCTGGGACGAACCGCTGCTTGCCGCATGTCGCGACCGATTGCACCGCTTCGATAGACCGACAAGATGGCGAGCAAACAGCCCCTCAAGACGACGTTCGAGCCTGAACGAGCCATTCGGCCCATTTTCACCGGCGGCTCCGTTGCATTGGACAATGGCGCCAAGATTCTCGCAACCCCCCTCGGCGAGGACGCCATCCTCACCAACCCCTCCAACGGGAAGCATCTGGCAAAGATTGAAGGAGTATGCGCCCCGAGTCTTTCATAGAGATGCACGGCTGACAGTGTTCCCAGGATGGCGAAACAATCTCGACGCTGACCTGTATGTACGATCTCTACCTGACCGACCCCCGATCTAACAGCCGCAGTGACCCCCTCCGGCTCCCATCTCATCATCTGCTCCCGATCGCTCGCGATGAAGATATACGCCCTCAAGACCACCGAAGATGGAACAATCGAGGCGAAGCTGACCCGCTCGCTGAAGCCCCACGGAACCCCCGTCGTCGTCCTCGCCGTCGACCGAACGAGCACCCTCCTGGCGACCGGAGGCACCGACGGAGCGATCAAGGTCTGGGACATTGCCGGCGGATACGTCACGCACACCTTCCGCGGGCCGAGCGTTCTGGTCTCGGCTCTGCACTTCTTCGAGGTCGCTGCGCGGTCAAACGAGGGAGACGCAAGCAAGAAGGGAAAGAAAGCGAAGCAGGCCGAGGAGGAAGAGACTACGACAACGACGACAAACTGGCGCCTCGTATCCGGTAGCCAGGACGGCAAGGTGCGGGTATGGGATCTTCACAAGCGCGCTGCCGTCGCGAGCCTTGATTCCCACGTCTCCAACGTCCAGGGCATCGACTACTCCCCCGAACAGCAAGCCATCGTCACAGCCAGCAGAGACAAGACAATCATCTGGTGGGATGCGCGGTCGTGGAAGATTAGAAAGGTCGTGCCGTGTCTGGAGCTCGTCGAGGCCGTCGGCTTCGTCGATGGTGGCCGTCTGACATACTCCGCCGGCGCAAAGGGCTGCCTCCGCATCTGGGACACCGACACGGGCCGCGAGCTCACGAAGGACCAGCCGGATAAGGCCGAGGCGGAGGGCGTCGTCAGTGCCGTTTCGCACCCCGAGCTCCCCTTTATCCTGTGCGTCCAGGTCGACCACACCCTGGCGCTGTACAAGGTGCCGGAGAAGGATGCCGTTGAAGGGTCAGTTATGGAGCCGTTTAGACGGATTTCCGGAACCCACGACTCCATCATCGATCTCAACTACCTTTTGCCCGATCGCTCCCTGCTTGCGCTGGCGACCAACGCCGAGGACATTCGCATCGTTTCCGTCAAGGACTCGTCAGAAGATGAGACGTACTTTGGCCAGGATATCGCGCTGCTCAAGGGCCACGACGACATCATTGTCTCTTTGGACGTCGACTGGTCCGGACACTGGATCGCCACCGGCGCAAAGGACAACACCGCTCGTCTCTGGCGCGTTGACCCGGCAAACAACTCTTACACATGCTACGCCACCTTCACTGGCCACACGGAATCAGTCGGCGCCGTGGCACTCCCGAAGCAGCCCCCGCAAGAAGCATCAGCACAATTCAAGGACCCCCTGAGCCACCCCCCGCCCTTCCTCTTCACCGGATCCCAGGACCAGACCGTCAAGAAGTGGGAGATTCCGAGGGAACCCCAGCAAACCCGCAAGGGCGGCTCCCGCGCCGTCTTCACCCGGAAATCCCACGACAAGGACATCAACGCCATGGACGTCCACCCCGCCAGCCAGCTCTTCGCCTCCTCCTCCCAGGACAAAATGGTCAAGATCTGGTCCGTGGCCGAAGGTGAAGTCCAGGGCATCCTCCGCGGCCACAGGCGCGGCGTGTGGTCCGTCAAATTCGCCCCCGCCGGATGCCCCGCCGTCCAAGGCGACGAGGGCCAGGTCGCCGGCAAGGGCGTCGTCCTCACCGGCAGCGCCGACAAGACGGTCAAGCTCTGGAGCCTCAACGACTACTCGTGCATCCGCACGTTCGAAGGCCACTCCAACAGCGTCCTCAAGGTCGCCTGGCTCAACATGCCCAAGTCCGAGGGCAAGGGCAAGAAGCAGCTCCAGTTCGCCAGCGCCGGCAGCGACGGCCTCGTCAAGGTCTGGGACGCCAACTCGGGCGAGGGCGAGACCACGCTCGACAACCATGAGGACCGCATCTGGGCTCTCGCCGTTCACCCGGAAGACAACACCATCGTCTCGGGTGACGGCGACGCCCTCGTCACCTTCTGGAAGGACACCACCACGGAATCCCAGGCCGCCGCAACCGAAGCCGCCCAGAAGCTCATCGAGCAGGAGCAGGAACTCCAGAACCACATCCACCACGGCTCCTACCGCGAGGCCATCGTCCTCGCCCTCCAGCTCAACCACCCCGGCCGCCTCCTCAGCCTCTTCACGTCAGTCGTCACCTCGGCCCCGGAACCCGGCAGTCTCTGCGGCCTCAAAGCCGTCGACCAGGTCCTCGCCACCCTCTCCGACGAACAACTCTTCACCCTGCTCCTCCGCCTCCGCGACTGGAACACCAACGCGCGGACGACCGCCGTCGCGCAGCGCATCCTCTGGACGCTCGTCCGCAGCTACCCGGCGTCAAAGTTCTCCAACCTCTCGGTCAAGGGCGCGCGGGGCCAGCGGAGCCTCAAGGAGGTGCTCAACGCGCTGCGGGTGTACACCGAGCGGCACTACAGGCGGACGGACGAGCTCGTGGACGAGAGTTACCTGGTGGAATATACCCTGCGGGAGATGGACAGTCTCGCGCCCCCCGCGATAGAGGATGTGGCCATGGAGGATGCGGCGGCGGATGTCATAATAATGTGATGTGAGGAGTAGATGTAGGAGTTCAAAATAGAGAATGATTTTATTGGTTTTACGTTGGTTTGTGTTGGTGATCTGGTTTGATTTGATTACGCCTTTAGCGTTTGACAATTGACTTGGGTAGAGCGGGCTTTGCAATTCGATGTTCGCTATGGCTCTGAGTGACGAGTTTCTATAGGCGTGCTCCTTCGCCATCATCCGAGTCGTCATCGGAGCCTACGTATGAACGTGCATACGTGTCTTCCTCCTCGTCCTCGCTAGAGTCTTCGCTTCCGTGCCCCGACTCATTGTCGCTGCTGTGCTCCGTGTCCATCTCTTTCTCCCAGTGTGACAATGATTCGAGGGAGCCTTTTGTGTGTTCGTGATGTCGACCAAGAACGCGTTCTCGAGCCTTGGCGCACTTACGCATCAGCTGAATCGCTTCCTCTTTCCGACCTTGATCCCACCATGTCCAGGCGAGGTTGTTCTCTTGTATTAAAGTTTCAACATGTCCTTCCCGTAAAACCTTTCTGTCTACTTCCAACGTTCGTAGTTGTAACTTCTCCGCTTCTGCCAGCCGGAGTTGGTGAGAATATAAGAATCCCAATTCTCCCATGATCCATGCTGTGTTCTTATGCTCCTCGCCTAACGTAATTCTCCGTAGTTCTAGCATCTTCAGGAAAAGCTCCTCTGCCTCTACTAGACGACCTTGACTTCTATAGAGTCTTCCTAGATCTAACGTGGTCCGTACCGTTTCATCGTGCTCCTCGCCCACCAATGCCCTGCTTCGAGCGAGCGCCTGAGAGAACATTTGCTCTGCCTCTGTTAGACGGCCTTGCTCTGTATACGTCCTCCCTAGCTCCCTCATGGTCCAAAGTGTAGTCCCAGGGTCATCCCCGAACATCTCTCTATCTCTCTCTAGTACCTGCAGTTGCAGCTTCTCTGCCTCCTCATACTGCCCCTGCTTAAAGTACAAAGTCGAAAGCTCGGCTAAGATGTGTGACATGCTTTCCTTACCCCCCCACACCCCCCCCCCCCCCCCCGGCTCCTTTACAGAGCTCGAGTGCTTCCAAATATTACTTCTTTGCCTCTTTAAGGCGATCTTGTCGTAAATACGCACGTGCAAGTCTACGGCGCGTGTATAGTACGTCTTTATCGCTCTCTGCCAGCAGCCTCTTCTGGGCTTCCAGTGTAGACAGAAGCAACTCAACAGCCACCTCTAGATGGTCTTGATTTATGTGAGACAATGCCAAGTTGCCCATCGTCTTAAGAGTCTTAGGATGCTCCTGCCCAAGTGCTTGTCTCCGTAGTTCCAATGCTCGTGTCAAATACGTGTCTGCCTCCGAATCTTGCCCTAGGTAGTCAAAGTAACCGGCCACATTGTACAGTAGCTCTCCGGTTTGGATCTTTACCTCGTCAGATTGAGGATCTCAGCGTACCAGAAGGGCGAGGGCATGGGGTAGATATGCAAGACATGTTACTCGATTCTCAAAGCATCCATAGGGAAAAGCACGAGCCATCATTCCAAGAGCCTCGCTTGAAAGTTGCGGCATCTTCTTCTCCTTCAAAAGACGTTTGCGCGTGACTAAATGCACGAGTCGATGCATGTCGTAAGTTCCATTACTCGCTTGAGAAATGAAGGAAAACGCTTGGAGAATCCCCAAAGCGTTTGCGACTTCCAAAGTCGTCTCGGAGTCGTCCTCAGAGCCGGCATCAGAACCGGCCTCAGAACCGGCACTAGACCCTGTGGCGGCGGTAGAACTATAGTCGGAGCCAATGCCGGAATCCCCCTCAAAAGGATCGTCCGCGTCGTCGTTAGATTTCGATCTCTTGCGTAGCTGCTCATAGCAGTAGTTTTCGACGAAGGCTTTGGGAATAGCCTGGCGATCAAACATGCTCATGAAAGAAAGCAAGTTGCCCGCCAAAGGATACCGTTCTTCGACTTGACGGAAGGAAATCAACCAGGTGGCCGTCAGCGCATGGGGAGTCTCCGAGTCTCGCCCTACTGACGCGAAAGGCTCGCTCAGCTGACGTACCAATCTAGAGTCGCTCTTGTCCAGTAGTTGAACATAGTCGTTGATGGACATGGAGTTTTTGAAGATGAAGCAGGCTGCCTGCGCTAGTACTAATGGCAAGTACTCAAGTCGAGATGCCAACGCGATTGCTTCCGATGAAAAGATGTTTTGGTTCGGGAGCAAGGACCGCAGCTGCTCAACAGCCTCAGCACCGATCATCTCATTGACTTTGATTGGAGGAACTCCCGCGGCCATCCTTAGGCCTGTCTGCATGTCCCTTGTCGTTATGAGGACGGATCCGTGGAGACACTCAGGGATGAAGCGACCTAGTCCCCCTTCCGATGTAAGTGCTGACACATCTGTGCTAATGCCGTCTTGCCCAGAGTCCGTGAAGAAAGTCTCCTTGTCGTCGGCATTGTCGATGATTAGTAGCCAGCGACCGCTTTTTTTACTCTCAAGCCACTGCTTCACCAGAAGAAGGGTATCGGCCTTATTTTCGTCGTAGCCCGTGATGCCGCATACTTGAGCGATCGATGTGAAAGCCTGGCGAAATCGTTGATGGTTGCTAGCGTGAACCCAAAAGACGGAAGCTTCAGGGAAAGTCTCATGTACCCAGTAGGCATACGCCAATGCAATTTGCGTCTTGCTTCTTGATGTTAGCCTTGCTTCAGAGTGATAGAGAGTTGCTCTTACCCTACACCACCAAGCCCATTGAGTGCCACTCTTGAACACAATTTCGAGTGACCAGGCCAGTCTGTGTGCCGAACAGCTGTTTGATACGGTTGAGTATCTCTTCTCGGCCAACAAATCCGGGATTTTTGACACGTGTCATTTCAACTGTATTCTCTCAGTATGATCGCACGGGAGCGTAGGAGACTGACGGCTTACACTTTGGTGAGAAGCCAGGCGTCTCAATTCGTGTAGCCTGCTCAACCGGTGCCACTGTTGGAGCATAGCGATGGAGCAGGGCCTTCGCCGCCGCAGCAGCTGTTGCCGCGGCATAGTGTTGCCAAGTCTTGTTCTTGTGACTGTCGGCATAGTCACATACCCCCTTGACGATGATGCAGGGCAATTGATCCCAAACTCCAGCCCCTTTCATTTCAAAGGCGACGAGGCTGTGTTCTCTCGCAATCCGGTCTCGGTCCTTGCCAGACTTCACGACGGTGTCCCCTGTTCCAACCGAACCAATAAATGTAAGAGGCTGTTGATGCTCAACAGGAGCTTTCTCTTGCCCAGTTTGAATTCCAGACTGACTCTCAAGATGTCTTCGAGGCACTCGGCATTCGGTGTCACAGCCGAGGTCATCACAGGTAGCTATCGTTGCCTGCTCACAGGCCAGGGTCTCGTTGCAGCAGCACTGTGTGTGTTTCCGATGCCTGTGCATGTAGTCGGGTTGGAAGAGCACGTCTCCGTATGTTGGTCGATGGTAGTCGACATCGTAATTCTCCTTGACTGCTTTGTTTTGGATTTCTGTCAGACCTTTAAATATTTCTTGTCGTAGGCGATGTTTTTGCCTATGAGTTTCGAATACAGTAAGCAGGGACCGAATCTCTCTGGGTGGCCTGCCCAAGGCGTCTTGTATGGTGTTTTTTTTGGCTCGAACCGGCCTGGGAAGAGTCGTCCCAGATCGTACTGGAATAAACTCTTGCTGATGACGACGTCTCCCAGCTGCTTATTCCCATCGCCGTTTGCACTGGGCACCCCACCGCATATGCCACATAAGAGGGCTAACTTGAGATGCCCGAAACTGGACCGAAGGCGCGCAGTCGCGTTCGCTGCGTTCACTTTTCCCATACCACAAACGACAAGAACAGCGTTATGCTTGCCGATTCGACCCAGCATGTAGTTATTTTCGTCATCAGCAGCCTTGCCGAGACCAAGGTCGGATTCCTCCCATAGCTCATCGAAGGCCAACTCCACAGCGTCGAACTCGAGGGGAAGGGCGCATATCACTGCTACAGTGAAGTCTTCACGACGGCGTGGCGGAGAAGCGGCCATGGTGAGTTGCTGCCGTTCGAACGCCTAAGATTCGTTTTCGCAAAGCGTTGCTCGAGTGGAAACCACCCAGTCCTAATATCCTGAGGGGAAAAGTGCAGAAGCCCCCCGCTTCAAGATCAGGCTGCGGCTTACATCTGGTCAGGCGCTTCCGAGGATGATGCCATTGAATGATAACGCAGCGACACTGATAGGGCCATCATGCATCCGCTGCATGCGCTAGCATCCTCCGAGACGTTCTTCTGGCGATTCGGCAACCCAGTGTAGCTGGGATTGGTGTATATTCCATCGCACATAGCTTTTCGTCGTCTATGGCCGTGTAGTAACGGGTGATGTCTGGTTGAGGTCGTTGAAGCTCAGGGCGTGGCTTCCGACGGTGGGGGCGTGCACCTAGAGCGATAGACTGGCGACTTTTTTCCACGCCTGAACGGCAACCACCAATCCACGCCTGCGACCTCAGCCTCGCACCCGCAAGGAAGCCACCAACAACACTCGATACCCCCTTCAGAAACCACACACACAGCATGGCGCACAGAAAACGTCACGCCGAGGACCCCCTCGACGAAATCGCAGGGATCGATTCACCCGCGTCGAAACGCTCACGAACCGTCGACTCCCTCATCTCCAACGGCTCACTCGAAAACGGGCACGACACAGCGACGACGACGGACGGCGCAACACCCGCAAATGGCGCCGCCGAAATACCACAAGACGACGACGATGACAGCGACATAGAGGAAGACGCGCCGGTACCGGTGCCGATCCGCCAATCGGCGCCGACAGACGGCTACGACGACCTCTACCTCGACACGATAGACCGTAACGTCCTCGACTTTGATTTCGAAAAGCTCTGCTCCGTCAGCCTGTCCAACATCAACGTCTACGCGTGTCTGGTCTGCGGCCGCTACTATCAAGGCCGCGGCCCCAAATCTCACGCCTACTTCCACGCCCTCGACGAGAATCACCACGTCTTCATCAACATGCAGACGCAGAAGGTCTACGTCCTCCCCGAAGGCTACGAGGTCAAGTCCAAGTCCCTCGACGACATCAAGTTCGTCTCGGACCCGCGCTACACGAAGCCCGAAGTCGCTGCCCTCGACCGCACGCCCTTGCGCGCGTCCTTTACGCTCGCAGGGAGGGAATACGCACCCGGCTTTGTTGGCATGAACAACCTGAAAGAAAACGACTACCTCAACGTCGTGGTCCAGGCCCTCGCGCACGTCGCGCCGCTGCGCAACTATTGCCTCCTGGAGGACCTCTCATCCCGCTCCGAGCTCGCCAAGCGCTTCGGCATCCTCGTCCGCAAGATCTGGAACCCGCGCGCTTTCAAGGCCCACGTCTCCCCCCACGAGCTGCTCCAGGAGATTTCTCTGCTATCGAATAAGCGCTACACCCTGACGGCGCAGTCCGACCCCGTTGAGTTCCTGTCATGGTTCCTGAATAATCTGCACCTGGGCCTCGGCGGGTCCAAGACAAAGCCCGGCAGCTCCGTCGTGCAGCGCATCTTCCAGGGGAAGCTCAAGGTCGAATCGCAAGCCATCACAGCGCGCGCCGACGCAGGCGACCGTCTGCGCTTTGAAGACGCCGCTGTCTCAGTGACGTCGTCCCGCTTCATGTTCCTCACCCTCGACCTCCCCGCAGCACCCCTCTTCCAAGACGAGCTCGAAAAGAACATCATCCCGCAAGTGCCCCTCACAACCATCCTCTCAAAGTACGACGGCATCCACGCGCAAGAACACCTCGCCCAGCGCAAGCGGTACCGCCTGCTGCACCCCTTACCCCCCTACCTCGTCCTCCACGTCAAGCGCTTCAGCCAGAACAAGTTCGTTTCAGAGCGGAACCCCACGATTGTCACGTTTGACCCGCGCGGCCTCGACGTGAGTCCGTACGTCGAGCCGAACCCGGGCGAGTGGCCCCCCGGCGAACCCATCTGGTACGAACTCGTCGCCAACGTCGTCCACGAGGCCGTGCGCGCCAAGGAGGACGTCGCGGACAGCGGAGAGGAGCGCAAGACGTGGAAGGTGCAATTGAAGGATAAGAGCCGCGACGAGTGGGTGTCTTGTCAGGATTTGTTTGTGGAGAAGGTGCAGAGCGAGCTGTTATATTTGGGCGAGACGTATTTGCAGGTGTGGGAGAGGCGGAGGACGCCCAGGAAAGCGTAGATTGTACGATTAATGATACCGCGGGCGTCCGTCCCGTCATCAATGCCATGTCATCCAGTTCACGTCATGTCATTGGAACGTCCAAAGTGAGCTCATTTCGTAGTCATTTGGGACTATCCATACGGCCCATGCCTTTCGGACCGCGCATCCAGCAGCCAACAAAAGCATACCGAAGCATGCGACACTTTGATCGCAAGTAGTGTACACCTCCCGAAAAAGATGATGAAGATTGGGAATGATCCATGACCTGCCCGCGTGGTCGCAACCCATAAAACAAACGTGACCGCTAAACGTTTGACCGCTAACCCCCCGTTCCATTTCCCTCCTCCTCCTCACAGACCGCTTTGCCGATTCCCGTTTCCGAGATCGATAAAAATCCAAAAGGGGGACACCTTTCGATCTCCCCCCTTCATCAGCGAGCCCTTCATCCAGGAGTCCCTCGTCAAGTGGTGATAAAAACAGCACACCGTCTCCAATGTTTCCAAACCTGCTTCCTCATTTTTCCCCCATATAGGTGTATTTTTTGTCGGAGTTTCACAAACCCGAATGCTATGAAGATCCGTCGTAAGGGGGGGGGTAGTGGATCCAATAGTGTACAAATAAACATCAAAGATGGCTTTGGAGAGAGAACAAAACAAAATGCAACGAGGTGTTGGGTGTGGCGTTTCCCGGCGAGAAGGGGTCGTTGCTTTTCGGGGTGTGAATGCTCCGATCACGAAGCGGCGGGCTTCTGCTCTTCGGTAGTCTGTTTGTTGCCGCGTTTGTCGTGCTGCTTCTCGCGACGGGACTCCTCGATGGCGGCTCGGTGCTGGATGCTCTCGTCGTGGGACTTGAACTCGAACTGCGTGTTGGGCGGGCACTTGAGGTACGACTTCCACGTTTCACTGCGGCTGTTAGCTTGACATAGGTCCTCAGTGCCGGGATGCTTACCGAATCCTCAGCACGCGTCCGCCGGTCGAGCGGGTCCAGATACTGATGATATCCTCGCCGTTGCGGACGCTCACCACACCGCCACAGACCTCCTCGCTGGCGTCGATAAAGGCCTCGCCGAGGAGCGCAAACACGGTATCCTCCCAGTACCGGTCGACGATGCCCTTCTTCAGACGAAGCACCCACTTGCCGCCGCTTCTGTTCTCCTCGTCCTCCCAGATTGGGCGGATGCCCCGCTTGAAGAAGTGGTATTCCCAGCCCACGGACAGCTCAGAGGGCCGCTTCAAATGAGGGTAGCCGACCCAGAACTCCTCCACGGTGTTGCAGTGGATCATTGGCGTCAGCGACTTGGCGTACTCCTGGTACGGCTGCCCCTTTGGCTGGGGCGGCCGGCACCACGTCACCCACTCGTACTTGAGGGGGTGGACGCGGAGCTGCTCCGAGGACGTCCGGGCCGAGGCGGGCTGCGAGCCCAGGGCCTTCCTCTCGGGGATCGGGGCGATGGAGGGCACCTTGGCCGCCGGGTCGTGCGACGTCGCCGCCTTGGCGCCCATCTTGCCCATGGCGAGGTCGAACGGGTTGCCGGGGGACTTGGGGGTCTTGGCGGAGCCGAAGGAGGCGAAGGCGCCGGAGCCCAGGCCAAAGGCGTTGGCCGCACCGGCGGCGGTGGGGGACGCCATGCCGCCTGCGCCGGGGGTCGTTACGTTGTTGAATGGATTTGATTTGCCGCCGTGTGAGGACGTATCGCCGCCGAATCGTTTGGCAAAGGAGCCGTTTCGGTTGGCGTCACCGCCCGGCGCGGGACTACCATTTGTCGAGAGTGAAAGCTTGCCAGAGCTGGAGGTGTTAGTGTGGGTGGTGCAGGGAGGACGAAGGAAAGTCTTACTTTGTGCGGCGGGTCCATAGGTTGTTATCCATGAGGACTGCTTTCGACGGCTTCCGGGGGGAGGAGGGGTGAATTTGGCTTGGTCTCGTCAATCCCTCAAAACGTCAAGGGCGGCGGCACCTCGGTTTGCGGTTAATGGTCGCAGTTGTGGCGGCTGGGACAGGGCGGATAGGAGTTGGGATGCGATGAGGTCGGGATGGCGGCGTTGGCGGGCGTTGGCGGGCGTTGGCGGTCGACGAGGGCCTGCTGCAGGGGCGGGTTGGAGACGGAGGCACAGAGAGGAGAGAGGAGACGATGGCAGTTGGAGAGAGACAGCGGCGTGCGAGAGCTTCGGCGGGGGTGAGGTATGACCAAGGGGCGGGGAGGGAGTTCTTTCGGTTGGAGAGCAAGGTAGCGTCGGTGGTATCTCGAGGGGAGTTTGCGTGTGCGTGTGTGTGGGTATTACAGACGTTGTTGATTTTTTGCAGTGTTTGAGCGATGTTGTGAGGCGGGAGTGAGAAAGGCGAATTATCGACTGATGGGGAACAATGAACAGCTTGAAGAGAAAAAAATAATACGGAGTACGGATACTGATGCCCCATCCTCCTCGACCTTAGTCGTCACCTTGTTATCGATGGCGGATTGAGCGATAGCGCCTCGCTTAGCCCAGGTTAGCCTTACCCCTGATGGGTCCACTGGGAGATCCTGGGCCAATGAGAGGGGGCGAGGGGGCACGCGGGCACGCTGGAACGGCGCACCACAGTGAGGTCACAGCGAGGTGTTCTTGAAGGCTCGGGGCTGGAGACGCCCGCCGTCCGTACTTTGTACCAAGCATTGGGCGCGGGTAGCTTTTGGTAGGGCAGCGCCAGCAAAAACACCCAACCATCTTATTTCACCACTTGCATTTCTCGGATTGGGCGGACATGCCTTTACTCGCATACCCGTCTAGACACTCATCACTGACGAGCAGTAGTCTGCCCCCGGCACTTGGGATGGCGGCGTCTTGTCGTCAAAAGCACCTCAACGGTCGGATGGGGAAGTGCAGAGCGTGCATGGCCTGAAACAATTGCCGGCTTACCCAGCTAGCATTGGCCACAATGGAGTCATAGATGATAGAGTTGCAGTGCTGTCAGTGAGGGCACCCACGCACCTCAGCTCAAGCTTTGGTGGCGGTTGACGTGCTATTTTTGCAGCGTCGTGCCGTCTAAGCGCCAGAGCCTCACGACAACATTCGACCTGGCGACAAGATGCAAGACGCCATCTACAGATACTCCATCTACAGACACCTGGGCAATACTTGATGCCATAAGATACCTAGGTAAGCCAGATCAACGCTGTAAGACGCAACAGCTGAACATCAACGGCAACCACGTGGTGTGCCTGGGAGAGACCCAAAGACGCCCTCTGGTTGGCCTACCCCGCCATTTACTCGGCCCACACCCCTGGCGGCGCCCGGTGCACAGTGCATCCACGTCCCCTCCAATTCCTGCCCGTCATCCAAAGAAAAGAAAGTGCAGATTCCCGTCGCGCCTGAGCCCACGACGCGCTTACCTCACCCCGTTGATCGGCATCCCGACGTCAACCTCGAACCCGCCACACTTCTGTCACATACACCACTCGGTCATGCCCACGATCTAGCCACCTCCCTCGTTGCTTCGCCGCCTCGCCGCCTCGCCATGGAAAAGTTCCTGCGGGAATGGAGACAGGATGCCCTGAACAAGGCCCAATACGATTCCGCCATCTTCATCGGCGACAAGCTGCTAGCCTTGACCAGTATGTGAGGTTCCCGGCGCCCGCTCTGCCCTGTCTAACGTGGACAGACGACGATAAGGACGCCTTTTGGCTGGCTCAAGTCCACTTTGCTACCGGCAACTACACACGAGCCCAGACTTTTCTCGCAAAACAGGACCTCGTCGCCCGCAATGTCTCCTGTCGATACCTAGCGGCCCACTGCCTCGTCAAGCAGTCGAGATTCGACGAAGCCCTGGCCATCCTTGGCGAGCGGAACCCGACGCACCTCATCAACAATGCGAGCAACAAGCGGAAGCAACAGAATACGGCGCCCCTGGGTAGGGCGGTCGGCCACCCCAAGGGAAGCTCGAGGGATAGACATGCCCGCGACGAGGCTGCAGAGGAGGAAGCGACGAACCGGAAATACGAAGCCGCCATGTGCTACCTGCGAGGCATCTGCTACGCCAAGCAGAACGCCTTTGACCGAGCCAAGGAGTGCTACAAGGATGCCGTGCGGATCGACGTGCAGTGCTTTGAGGCGTTCCAGCAGCTCATGACTAACGCTCTGCTGTCGCCCGACGAGGAGTGGGCATTTCTCGAGTCGCTCGACTTTGACGCCATCAGCGTCTCTGGGGATGTGTCATCGTCACAGGAGGCGGCAGAGTTCACAAAGATGCTCTACACAACGCGGCTGTCAAAGTATAGGGAACCTTCGGCATTCACCGCGGCATGCGACTCTCTGTCGACGCACTACCGTCTTGCGGACAACCCAGACCTACTCCTCGCCAAGGCAGATCTCCTCTACACGCAGTGTCGGTATAGAGACGCCCTCGCCATTACCGAGTCCATTCTGCAGGACGACAAGTACAACTTTAGCGTCCACCCTCTGCATCTAGCATGTCTGTATCAGCTCAAGATGAAGAATGCGCTGTTTTTGGTCTCGCACGACCTGGCGGACAACCACCCCGAAGAGCCCTGCTCGTGGTTGGCCGTGGGCATATACTACTTTTCAATCGACAAGATTGCGGAGGCCCGTCGGTATTTCAGCAAGGCCAGCATGATGGATGCGCATTTTGGCCCTGCGTGGATCGGCTTCGCACACACGTTTGCCGCCGAGGGTGAGCACGACCAGGCCATCTCGGCATACTCCACAGCAGCGAGGCTCTTCATGGGGACGCATTTGCCGCAGGTGTTCTTAGGCATGCAGAACCACGCACTCAACAATATGACATTGGCGGAAGAGTTCCTCAAGACGGCCTACGGTCTGTGCAAGACGGACCCCCTCCTTTTGAACGAGATGGGCGTCGTCAAATATCACCAAGATAAGCCGCAAGATGCTGTACAATTTTTCCGGGCGGCGCTGAAGATTGCCGCCGACATTGACTCTGACCCGCAAGCGTGGCTGGCGCCGAGGACGAACCTGGCACATGCATACCGTCGCCTGCGACTGTGGAAGGACGCACACATGGAGTTTGACGAGGTCCTGCGACAAGGCGGCAAGGACGCGACGATATTCTGCGCGAAAGCGCTCATCTATCTTGAAGAGGGACGTCCAGAAAAGGCCGTTGTGCCGCTGCATGAGGCGCTCGCGATTAACCCACAGGACAGCATAGCGACGGAGCTGCTAAACAAGGCCCTGGAAGAGACGTCCACGATTGACGTTGCCGAGGGCGACGAGCTGGAGGCGTTTGAGCAGGAGCTCGAGATGGGCAAGGCGGCCGCCAGGGAGCGTATATCCAACAAGCTCCCGAAGCTGCGGCGCGATGCCAAAGGAAAGGCCAAGGTCGGCCGGCCGAGGGTGCTCGTGGACGAGGACGAAAAAGGCGAAAGCTTGATGGAGATGACTGATGATGATTAGCCCGACGCGGCACAGTACTGTTATCTGAAGGCAGCCGCCAGCATAGATATCAGTTAATGAATAATAAAAACCTATGAATCTCGATCAGCTCTGCGGTGGTGAAGCTTTTGGTGGTGAGTTCAGTTAAGCAACGTGGCTTTGGGAGTCATGCCACTGTGGGTTAGTCTGGTTCCGTGATGAATGCGATTGACCCCATTCGTCGGGGGTGTGGTGCCTCGCATTCGCTCGCTAGTGTGGGATTCCGCGGCGGGACAATACCCCGGCGTGCTGACAGCCTGACAAAGTCGGAGGGATTGCGCCGACCGCGTCCCGCTAGATTGGGGGGCATGCGGCCGCATGTGGGCTGGTGGCTTGCGCGAGCTGTGATATAAGGTGCCTTGGGTCTGGAGGTTGAGGTATGAAGATTGTCACTTTCAATTGACCATCAGTCTGCATCTCACGATTGTGTTGCGCGTCGGCAAATCCTTTCCTCCTAAACTGTCCATCAGTCAGCTGTCGGCTCTGTCAGCTCCAACAAACCATCTTCCCAAAAAGCAAAAAAGAAAGGAGGACGAAAAACCATGTCTCGCTACTTCCCCCACACGGCCTACGCAGAAGACCAGCCCCTCGCCGGCACAATCCTCACAGTCCACGTTCTCACGCGCGGCTACACAACCGGCACCGTAGTGGGTCTCGGCATCGCGGCCGCGAGTGGAGTCGCCAGCCGAATCCGCGGCACAACGCCCGTGCCAGCCGCCGCCGCTCCGTTCCCCACATCAGCAACAACAACATCAACGGCAACGGCAGCGCTCCGATCGTCAGGACTGCACACCTTCCTCCGTAAATCAGGCACAGCCAGCGCGATCAGTATAGGCTTCACCGGCGTCACCATGCTGGCGAGGATGTACGGCCGCGAAGACATCGAGTGGCGCGATCGCGCGTGGAGGCTGATGGAGAGCCGGAGCCAGCTGGAAGTGGATGACTGGACGTACAGTGGTGCTGCGGCGGGCGTTGCGGCGCTTGGGATTGCGAGGGCGGCGGGTATGAAGGGGAGTGCGCTTGGTGTGAGGGTTGTTGGTGGTGCGGCTGGGCTGGGTAGTCTTGCGGGGACGGTTGGGTATATGGTTTGGAGGTATGGCGCGCATGGGGGAAAATATCCCGAGTATGTTGGTCCGGAGGTTGCGCTGTCGAGGGTTTGATGTGCTCGTGGTTTGAAGATTGCCGTGAGGCCTGTACTTAAGATAGATCAATACCCCGAAGATTTTGCTTACCTGGACTGCGCCGCAACGTCTTGGCAATGCATGTTGCCGTTTGAAGGGCGGCCGCCTGACTTTGTGATATGGCGGACAACTTCGATTGGTTCGCTGTCGACGTGCATGTTTTCGTCCTGGAAGACTTCGACTTAAAGTAGGTTGGAACTTGGAGGATGCCTCCTGATGAGGGGTTCGGTGGGGTCCCCAGCGGCTAAGGGACGATTCGATTCCCCTTGCCTAGCATTTCGTAGCTCCTTTACATGTCTGAGCTACGCCGACCAGAAATCTTGAGCTTGTGACATGATTACTGAAAGGTCAGTATACCTCGAACGTCGCTGAACATAAGGACTGACGTTTCCGACTCAAGTTCCTTGCAGGCTGTGCCAACCACCGCGCACTCTAATGACACGTCAGACTGCAATATCTGCCACCGAATCTGGACCTTTCTCGAGACGTCTCCCAGCAACGGAGACCGCGATCCTGTCACCCTAGGCCCCTTCGATTACGTCAACCTAGGCTCCTTCGAGGAGGCACTCTCCTCAAAATGTAGCAGACACCTGCCACTCGTCAAATCGTTCCACAACTTTTGCAATCAACGAAGGCCACTCTTTGGCCGCAACCCAGCCGACATAGACATCAAATTCCAGCGACCAGGCGTGCTCACCTTTGAAGAATCCACCAGCACCGGCGTGCAATATGCCAATTTCTTGCTCCTGAAAAGGGAGTCCATTCCAAACCACCCAGGGATCGCCCGCATCCTGGACCCAGAGTGGATCGATACCAGCGTCGTGGCATCTTGGAAGAAGCAGTGCGCTTCCTCCCACGGCCCCAAATGCGCCAATCCCGTCAAGATCTGGCTGATACGTCCAGCCTGGGTGGTGGACACTGAGCAGCGATGCCTCGTCCCAGGAGCCAGGTGCGAATCTTACGTCACGCTGAGCTACCGCTGGGGCAAGGCTCCCGGCTTGCGCATCCTCCCCGACACAATCTCCAAGCTCCAGACGCCCGTTGCCATTGACGACCTTACCATCGCTTCCCAGCTTGCACCCATGGTGTGTCACGCCGTGCACTTGACGTCTGCCATTGGCGAGCGGTACCTCTGGGTTGCCACTCTCTGTATCGATCACGCGCGTGAAGCCGAGAGCACCCAGCAGCTCCAGCTTATGGCCGCCATATTTGCAAACGCTTCGCTCACCATCGTCGCACTTGATGGTGACGCCGAGGATGGCTTCCCGGGTTTACAGGGTATATCAACCCCCAAAAACCAAGATGATGACAACTACGGGTTCGTGCCCTTCGGCGACGAACACTTCATCCGCGATAAGCACGACTATTTTGGCCTTGCCAGCTGGGGAGCCTATCACAAGCGCGCGTGGACATACCAAGAGTTCAACATGTCCCCACGGCGCCTCATCATTAGTCACAACTCTTTGCACTGGATGTGTCGGTGCAGCGTGTGGGAGGAGCAACTTCACCATGGCGTCGAGGCTGGCAAGTAAATTGATTTCCGCTTAGACGAGATCATGCGCGGGATGCCAAATCTCGGCTCCTTCTCCAACCTGATTCAAGACTACAACCCGAGAGACCTTACGTATGAGGAGGATGCCCTGCCCAGTATCAGCGGCTTTTTGAACGTCATCAGTCGGTGCTTACCCGGAGGGTTTCTATACGGAATCCCGGAAATGCACTTTGAAGCGGCACTCAGTTGGACGCCATGCTGGAACGAAATTGATCTCCAACGACGAACTCTCTCTGATCGCACCACTGCAAGCCAGCTTGGCCCATGCGGTCTTCCATCCTGGTCCTGGGTGGGATGGAAGGGCTTGGTCTCCATCGGATGCAACGAAGCCGGTTCAGCGAGTTCGTGGGCTCACTCGATCGAAGAGACGAATCACGACATGGTATGCCTGTGCCACACCGGAATCAGCGCAGAAACGAAGAATTCGACCCTCCTGGTTCGAGAATCGCCAATCGTACAAGGACTTTACTCGGCCTCTGCCACCAGGATGGACTCGACAAGACATTGCCGAGGTGGCCGATCCTGAATTGAGCGAGGGAGGAGACCAGAATGTACTGCTTTATCCCGATGGGTGCCACATGTACAGCTTTAGACACAGCAGCCAGCCTAAACATGAACACGAGCATCCTTGGCACTGGCCTTTCCCCGTGCCAGACATTCAGGAATCGACTCAGCCGTTCATGCCAGAGCAGACTCTGTACATTAGCTGCGATACCCGGCGCGCGGCCGTCTCTGCTTTTCAGACAGGCGAAAAGAATGACGTCTCACTCTATAGTGACAAGAAAAAGATCGGGGTTCTGCGGTTGCACAATAAGGATCAACTTGAAGACTTCTCCCAGCTAGATGCCGGCTGGGCTTCTGCGAAGGAGGTCGAGCTGGTCGCCATCTGCCGCGTGCGAAACTACGAAAGGTCCTATGATAAGACTACCGGATTATTCTCGCGCCCCTTTCCGACCACAGAGGTGTATAATGTGCTATGGGCGGAGTGGATCGATGGGGTTGCGTACCGCCTCGCAAGTGGACGTGTCGACAAGGCGGCGTGAGAGGGGCTGCCTCTAGAGGATGTATCTTTGATTCTGGGGTGAGCTGTACTCTATCTGGTATCCTATATCGCTCTAGATCCAATGTCTTCTGTACATGTCATCTTACAGCTTCTCCTTACCGGCGAGCAGCTCCTCGATCTTGGCGAACTGGTAGTAAAAGTCTAGGCTCTGCGGGTTAAGAAGCGTGCCACTTGGCTTGATGGTCCGGCCTGAGACAATTTGCTTCACCGGAAGTTCGACCTTTTTAAGGTTGACCGTCGTCTGTTTTGTTAGTATGATCCAGAGACGAGGTTTGATAGTACTCACCGGTATTTCGGGCGTCTGGAAGATGTACTTGGGCACATGCCTCTTTGTCAACTCTCTCTGGATCTTGTCCTTGACCTCGGCCACCAGCTGACGGTCAAACTTCTCACCCTCGCGCATCATCAGGAAGAGCATGACGCTCTCGTCGTTATCGGTGGGACGTCTTTGCCCAACACACAAGCTGTCAACGACCTTGTTCGAAAAGTTCCGCTCAATGACGGCGTAAATCTCGGCACTTCCGAAACGAACACCGCTAGGGTTCAGCACGCCGTCGGCACGTCCCATGAAGGAAATGTTGCCCGTCTTTGGGTGGATGGAGCAGAAGTCGCCGTGTGCCCAGACGTTATCAAAGCGAGCAAAGTATGCCGAGTGGTACTTGGAACCGGGGGCGGCAGAAGCGAAGTTGGGCGAGCTCGATGACAGTTTCGGGGGTGCCGAGTCGCCCCAGAGGAAGCACGGGATGTTGGGGAAAGCGGCGGTAGCGACGAGTTCACCAGGTGTGCCATTTGGTACGGCCTCGCCAGGTCCATCGGGCAACTGGGCGTCGTAGATGGCGATGGGGACGCCAAGTGATGGGCCCTGCGTTCCTCCTACGTAGACAAAGTCAAGGGGGTTCTCCATACCGAAGCAGCCGGCCTGCAAGCATTAGAAAAGAAGTTTGACTGGTCTGTGAGACTTACAATGTCGGTGCCACCAGAGATATTAGCAAGATGGACATGTTTCGGGAACCCTGCGTCGTAGAACCATTCGAACAATTGGTCAGAAAGAACCATGCCTGTGCTAGTCACAATCTTCAGCGAGCTGAGATCCGTCACCTCCCGCGGGCTAATCTTGTTCTTGGCAACCTCAAACATCCACCTCGGGCTAATGCCCAGTTTCGTCACACGCTGCTCGCCGAGGATGCGGATGAACGACTTAAGATCGGGGACGAAAGGCGAGCCATCGTACATGACGACACGTGCACCCGATAATAGGGCGGCCACGTTGGCAAGGTACATGATCCATCCGGTCGTGGTGTACTGCAGAGTGACGGACTCAGGGGACATTGACTCGTGTAAGCGGCCTTCTTTGAAGCTGTTGAGCATGACGCCACCGACGGTGTGCACGATTGCCTTGGGGATACCCGTGGTCCCAGACGAGTAGTAGATGAGGAACGGTGCGTGGAATGGAATGCGTGTGAATGACGGTGCTGCCGAGGTTGAGGAGCTAAGAAACTTGGACCACGTCTCGGTCTTGGAGATCGAGGAAACATCGTAGGGCTTGGAGAAGCGCGGGATCGAGACGAGACCGGAGAATGAAGGACACGAGCCCATGCCGGAGACGACCTCGGTCATCTTATCTCGAAGGTCGGCCGTTTTGCCGTTGTACACCGTGGCGTCGTCAAAGAAAATGAACTGGCATGTGTGAGTGTGGTTCTTGGAAGTGGGGATTGACGTACTTTGGGATCGACCTGCGTGGTCCTCTGCAGGATACCCTTCACGCCCATATCCGTAGATGAGCTGCTGAAGATTCCACCCAACCATGTGGTTGCTGCAAACACCAGTAGTGTTTCGATAGAGTTGGCACCGACAAGGACGATGCGGTCGCCCTCCTTGACGCCCCTGGCCTTCAAGGCTGCTGCCAGACGACTTGCATCGCGACGTAGCTCGCCCCAGGTGAGATTTCGCACATCGCCGCGGTTGCCTTCTCGGATCTCGGTGACAGCAACTTTGTCGTCTTCCTTACCCTCGGTGCCATGATGGTCAATTGCATCGGACGAACCTCTTGTGAAGAGCAGGTTCTCTGCCCAATTGAGACGCACCCCCGGGAACCACTTGGGGATGGCGTCTATCGGGAGGGATTCGTCCACTACCGAAGTTGGACGCCCTTGGTGAATTAGATTGGCGTAGTCAAAGAGATGGCCGTAGAATGTGGCGCGGTTAGCGACAGTCCAGTTGTGGAGGTCGTCAAAAGTCTGGGAATCGTGTAAGCAGACGGACTACTATTTGGGGGAATTCGGGGGATACTGACTTTGAGCTGGAGCTTGAACTTGGAATTGACCGATTGCAGGTATTGGTACATTTGCGTGCTCTTGGGGTCCGGGTGCTCCCAGAGCTTGCGGGGGATCTCGTGGGTGTCCATGTCGTTGAATTGAAGGTGTGATGTTGGGACAAGAGCTGTCGTTCGGAGTTGGGTGGATGAGATGAGGGAGGGACGACCAGGTAAGATGGGTCCGTGGGGAGGTTGGGGCATATCGGGGAGTTTGGCGCGCTTCCCCAACGTTGACTTGCCTCGGGTTGTGGACCACGGGGAATGCGGGGTTGGCGGCCCGAGCTAACATGCCGAGAGGGGCCGATCCGGCCCGCTTGGCGCGGCTCCAAAACGAGAATGCGACGGGATGCCGATCAACGTCGTCGCATTCAGCAGTCACCGTTCTCGTGTCACGTACTCCAGCAGTACTGGGAAGCTGCATTAAGCCTTGGGCAGGAAACACGTCGATGCCCGTCACTATGAAGTGGTGCGATTGCCACGACGACGTCTACTGCACAATCGGGAGCTCCACGTCGAAGCGATTTGCTCCCACGCTTCAGCTCACGGCAGTAGCCTTTCAGAGACTCGAATGCGGCCATATAGGGTAAGTTCTTCCACAAGACCTTGGTACATCCAAGAGCTCTTCTTGTCATAGGGGGCTTCGATGAATGTGACAAGTTCGCATTCATCAAACTTGGAGCCCACTATCCAGAGTCCGGTTTCATCACCAATGTATTCAGAGTAAATACACACAAGATGAGAGACGGATCTGGAAGATGGATCTTCGAATTACCTGGCGAGGTGCTACGGCTACTTGTCAGTCTTCCTATCGGCAGCAGTGATAGTCCCCTGTATTACACCTGGAACCAGTTTGAGCATCGCATCGATGCGACCACAAAGCAGACCATTGCCGCGCGACTCGATAAGCTTCAGTTCCAAGGGCAGAAACCTTGAACACTGTCCCCTGCATCCAGTACCTTGACGAGGCTGGCCCTGTAGCCGTCGAAGAATGGTATCTCCTTTGAAGGAAGCGCTTGGGTAACTGGTTTGCTTGCGCTCATGTTGGAATCTCATTTCCAGCTTGAGGCTGAAATGATGGGCGTGTTGTACTTGGAGCTTGTAGAAAAAAAATGCAAACAGTCGGCGATCATGAAGAGGGAAGGTTCGATTCAATTTCCATAAGGTAAGGAAGGAGGATCAGTTCAAGTTCAAAGTTGATGCCACTGTAGGCCCTGTAGGCCCTATCGTCCCTGTATTCCCTACCGTCCCTTCCAACTCTGTCATACTTGTCACCTCTACAGGAAAATTTTACATCCAGCACTTTTCAAGGTACCGTCTTCTCATGCCCGAATTTGAACCCGTCTCACAAGAAATAGCAGCAGCAGCCACACGAAAAGCCACACCAGCGAGTCCGAAAACATGGCTGGCATACCGAGCCTGCCCCTCAATGTGTTCGGGGCCCAACATAAGCAGGTGTTAGCCGACGGCACCGACTACCTGGCTGACGTCAAGGTTCGCCTCAAGGTGGTCCGGGGTGGATTCGACGATACCGCAACCGATTTGGGATTCGCCAGAGATGAGCCCATCACCTTCAATGGTCTCGACGACCTCACCCGCGTCGAGACAGTGGCGGCGTTCAACGAGCAAGCGGCAGCGTACGAGCAAAATAAAAGGCGAGTCGGGAAGCTGGGAGAAGCGACCAGGTCGATGTGGAAGGAGTTGCCCCTCAAGGGCGACGACGATGACCTACTCGGGGGCGCGATACCCATGGAGATCATTATCGAGATATCGGCGTTTGCGTATCCCTACATCAAAGAGTTGGACAAGGCGAAGGACCTTTCCGATGAGGATCGCGATCAGATACGAAGCGTCAATCTCCGGAGCACGCAATCTCTTTTCGAACGACTCGAGGGCAACGCCATGGCAGCGATGCATGGCAAGAGAAAGAGGCGGCCGGAGACATCTGAGAGCTATCAAAGCCAAGGCGAAAACGGTCCAGTGTTGACGGAGCAGCTCAGGTCACTTGTCGATCGGCTTACTCTCGCGTCAGACGACGCGCAGGACGCCGAGGCTAGGCACGTGGCTGAGATGCGTGAAAAGAACTCCGAGGTGATCAAGGTGAAAGGGAAGCTCACCCATCTGGAAGTCGAGAACTCGACTCTTTCCTTCGAGCTATGCGAGGCCCAGGAAAAGGCCACCGCAACACTGAAGCTCGGCTCCGCAAGGCAGAGAGAGCTCAGTCAAGAGCCTTCAGTCGGCCCTGCAGAGTTTCTCGGAGAATACACAAGGCGAGCCAGAGATAGACCAAGACGACAGTAAGATGGACCAGGGCCAATCGCAAGAGGATATGTGCAACGAGTTCAAGAAATGCGTCACTGGTCTGAAGACGCAGATAGCTTCCCTCAAGGAACACAAGGCAGTACTCGAGCTGCGAGCAGATACTGCTGAGGCGAACCTCAGAAAAGAAAAGCCAAAGTGTGAGCGGAACGAACGCGCTACTGAGGGACTCAAGAGCAACATCAAGCATCTTCAAGACAGCCTCGGTACAGAACAACAGAGGGTTATGGATCTCTTAGATGACAATAAGAAGGTCAAGATGAAGCTGAGGGAACTTGGAGAGGACTATGCTCACGAGAGTACACTGGAAACGACCAATGGCGGCAAGTATCTAGATCTCAAGTCATTTCACGACATTCTCAAGAGTGAATACGCAAAGCTCGAGGCGGATCACAAAGGCCTCGTCTCGAGTCACCGGGAGGCCAACTCTGCTCATGGGAATGCCATCAGGGATATGCAGCTGAGGTTGAGCAAGGCCGAATCTACCGTCAAAGACTTGGATTTGAAGTTGAAGGAGGCCCATTCCAACCATGGCAAGGTCAAGTCCGCTCACAAGAATGCCGTCAAGGGCACGGAGAAGAGGCTGTCCGATGATGCGACCTCTCACGAAGAGGCAATCAAGGAGATTGAGACTAGGATGACCGATGCCGTGTCCTCCAGTCATACAGAGGCCACTACGTCTCTGAAGAATTCCCATGGTGTTGAGCTGGTGAATGTGGCGCAACAGCACGAGGAAAAAGTCAGAGAATACGATGTGTGGTTTCACACCGCATCCGAGAAACTGGAGCGCATGCGATCGGACCTGGAAGCGGAAAGGGCACAGCACAATATCACGGTAGCCAATCTCCAGACCGCGAGAGCAGAGCTCGTCACAAAGACGACCCAGTATGATGCCAAGGTCGGGGAGCTCAGGTAAGAGGGTGTTCGCCTCGGCATTTCAAGGGCCTCGAATACTGAACTCAGAGGAAATGTCGAGTCGCTTCAGTCAGAGGTTGTAATGGGCAAAAGCGATCTCGAAGAACGTCTCCAGACGTTTGAGACCCGGTGCACAAGCTTCTTCTTTGGCTCGGTCATTCAGGGCATCATGTCTGCCATCGTCGAAGGCGATGTTGCAGCTAATCATGCGGAGACTCATCTCTGGGTGGTCAATGGCACTTGGGCCTCGAACAAACCAGACTACAACTTTGATGACCTGGGTGCCAACGAGCTCCTGCGGCGTCTCATCATCTCCGTTCATCAAGAAGTATGGCTTGAGAATGAGTGCATCGCCCTGATGCGGGGACTGACAATGCGCCTCGCGCAAGCGCCTTATGTCAACGTCCGTCTCGTCAGCTGGGTCATCGATGCCTCTCGCGTCCGAGTCGCCGAACTTCCCATGACGGGTGCCATTCCTGTGGAAGCAGCGATATGGGCAGTCTCGGAAGTCTTCCACACTCGTTGGGGAGTCGGTCAGGTTCAGAGTCACCGGTACCTGGACGAGGCGCGTCAGATCGCGGCCGTGGATGACGTAGATCCCACTTATCCGGAGTACCTGACGTTGACAATCCCAGCGGAAGATGGCGATTACAGCGGCGAATGCGAGATTGTCAGGAGGCAAGGATGGCCCCTGTGCGTCATGTTTAACACGGCCAAAAAGGTCTGCTGGTTCGTCAACCCAGACTGCTGCAAGCTTACTCTGCTACAGTGGTCATTCCGTGGTCCATCAAGGACGATTACCATGGTGGCGATGGAGGGTAGAGCAATTTTGTTCCGAGCTCGGGCCTGGCTGAATGTTCTGATTGAATAGTAGTCGTGGATCAATGGCACTGTCAACATGAATACGTTTCTCTACAGTTTGATGCACCCGTGAAGTGAATGTACATCTCCTCAGCCATTCTAACTAAACAGACATTCCATAATGTCATCACTCATCACACATGCACGGTAGTCACGATTTCTGAATACGGAACACGTGGGATTTGTATTGTGAGGCTTCTAATCGTAACCGTACTCCGTCGGGTCCCTCCTCTCAAAAGGGCTAGCCGAATACTCAAGTAAGGGGGTCCGCAATGACCTTGGCTGTGTACGTCTGGTTCAAAGGGAGTCTAGATTCCTTCTCCAACCTAGGCATCCATAGACTTTCCTCGTTGGATACCTAGATCAAGTCTACTGACTACAGGCAACACTATTCGTGGTGCGAATGGGACTTGAGACAACCCCTCAAACCCGTTAGGCTACCTTGTAAGCCTGGGAGAGTACAAGGGAATGTGGGATCGTTGTAATGCCGCCACCAAAAGTATTTGGCAATGATCGGGTGTCGTCGAATTTGTCTGTAAGTTCCGGTTCAGACCGCGCCGTTGAAGCCCGTGTGGGGCCGGATGCGTGTCCAGTCGGATTCATTCCTGAGAATGCCTCTTTCGGCATAGGTACCTTATGTGGCACCGCTAACTCAACGCTCCAGCGGCAGGTTCTCCACTCCAGCGTAGGCACAATGGGGAAAAACACAATAGTCATCTGGCACTCTCCTTTGCCAGTGAACTCATTCTCTGGCGAAGTTCCGCATGCTAATCGGCTGCTGGCAAAAGTTGGATGCCTCTGTCGCCGTGAACATGGAACACCAAGGCAGCTCAATACGTCCAAGGGTCTTGTCTCTGGCGGAGAAATAATAAGGATACGGCAGCTTCGCAAGGGACGGTTTCGCCCACAAGTCCAAGGGCAGCCTGCGCAAACATACCCGCCTGTTTCGCAGAGGCTCAACGCTTGAGAAATGCGATCGCAGACTTCGCTCCGTCTGTGTTATGGGGTATGTGCCCGCCTTGTTTTTCCGGTTATATAGTTGCAGCCACACGGCGCTCGTGTTGGAGATGTCAATCTCTTCGGATCCTTTCATTATCTTACCTCCCGACTTGTTGCTTCTCGGGCATTCTCCTCGATTCCTATTCGGGCTACCTATGTAAAGCGAGAGGCTCGATGTGGCTCTTTTTGTCACAACACCGTCTTCACTGTTTTCGCGGGTGAATATTCAGTACCATAGTGTAGCTTCACCTTTGAGCCGCCTGAGTGCCTTCGGTCCACTAAACTGCGTTCGACGTCTTCTTTCCTCTTTCTCACTTCACCTCACCCGAAACAACAAACATCCTACTGCCAAAATCGCAACGAAATGTCCTCAATCGAGCCGCCCGGCAAACAAAACAGGGTCCAACTAGGTGCGCCCGGTCCATTCAAAGATGCCCACTGCGCAAATGATACCAACTCCATCCTCCACAGCCATGTCGGAGATACAAAAGATAGCGGCAGGACTCAGTCCAAACCACGACATGGTATTGATTACCAACGACGGGCTACACATCCAGAACAGCGTCGCTAAAGCCCTCGATGTATTTCTGTCGCAATATAAAATCCAGTGCCCTGGCAACGGCAACATGCGCGCCCTCATCACCTGCCAGTGGGTCCAAACGGAGACCGAGAAGAGATCTCACGACGCGTTTGCATCGTCAGAGGACACTGTCAACTCTTCTTCTACTACCGGCAACAGAAAGCATGTGGCAGCCACCCCTATGCTTGTGAACCCATTCAGCTGCTTACCCGAAGCTGCTGTGCCGGCGGTTGAGAAGAACGTGGCGCTTGCACAAGGGAAGCCCCGAAGCCTTGAGCAGGCACAAACTGTTACGAAGCCCGTACTTTTCGGTACTGTTACCCCGATGGAAGGAGGACACAACTCGTCGAGGGCGAGATCGTCTCCCAAGGAACCACCGGAAAAGCAGACACTGGTGGTGGTCACATCGTTGTCGGCAGCCCAAGCCATGCAAACTAACAAGGTCGAGATAGTTGCGTCGACTCATCGCAGATCAACAAAATTCACGACGATGACAACTACACACACGGACGCGGTGGACGCGGTGGCTCCCCTGATAATCGCGGTGCTCGGGGCGGACTCTCTCGTGAACACGGTGGCCGAGGCGGTTGTGGAAATTCATCCCCGACGACCCGTGGTGGTCTTTCCCCAATGAATCGTGGCGGTCTATCTCAAGAGAGCCATATTACTATGCGTGGCCGCGGTGGTCGTGGAGGCTCCCCTCCGGACCGAGGTGGTCGCGGCTACTCTCGACGCAGCAGCCTTAGACATGACAGCGGCGGAGCTGACGGCCTCGACTATTAGATCAACTAGGTCGTGGAGTTCAAGCGCGGCATGAGGTAGTTAGGGGAAGCCCCAGCCACGCAGGAGTCTGGGTTTTCATCACAGTGTTACTATAGAGGGCAGCTCAAAAGATGGCCAAATGGGATTTCGTTTTGACACACAGGGATAGACAAAGATCCATGGAGCCGCTAAAGCTTGTAAATTTGATCCAGCAGATGGAACTTTGAAAAGTTTTGGTTGAAATGATGGGTATCAAGAGCTACTCGATCAGGAGAGATGCTCATCGGGCCACAGAGGACTATTGATGAGTAATCTGTGAGACCCAACTTGTGTGAGTCACTCGGAGATGTCCCCACTCCCTCTCTCTTGTTTAATAATGCCTTCGCGCCCGATATAACGACCAAAAGCTACTACTTGTTGCTCGGGGCTGCTGTTTCTCATGTCTGTCATGGAGCCCAAGGCACGGGAGCTAGCGCATTCGGGATGTTGTGCTGACCCGACCACAAGCCCGCCCGGACCGGACGGTTCTTCAGCGCATTTCAATTAGAAGAGAAATTCATGGGTGCTGACTTGGTCATCTTCTTTTGGAAAAGTACTTATAGGAAGGAAGTCCACTGCATGGCGATATCGGGATATCAACCCAAGGAGCTTGTACTTGATTCTCATCAAATCCACCCAAGATTCTCTCAGTTGCTCCATTGCCTCGTTACGCCAACGCAAAGATGGCTCTTACTCCCGAAAACGATATTTCAGCCGATTTACCGTTCGAGAAACGCATACTTCATGTTCTCGGAAGCGACATGGCCTACGTAGACACCGGCTCCTCGCCCGGGTCGGCGACCATCTTCCTTCACGGCAATCCAACATCGTCCTATCTTTGGCGCAACATCATTCCGCACGTCTATGGGAAAAACCGCTACATCGCACCGGATCTAATCGGTTTCGGAGACTCCGGCAAGGTCCCCGGGCTCGAGTACCGCGTCGCCGACCACCAGAAATGCCTCGACGCCTTCCTGGATGCGGTGTTGCCAACAGAGAAGACCACACTCGTCCTACATGATTGGGGTTCCGCTATCGGCTTCGACTGGGCCCGGCGTCACGAGAATCGTGTTGCTGGACTGACCCTGATGGAGTTCATGCACCCTTCCTCCAGCTGGGAAACGGCGCCCAAAGCCATGGCCGACAACTTCAAGCCATTCCGAGAACCCAAGATTGGACGCGAATTGATTATCGACCAAAACGTTTTCATTGAGAGGATCCTGCCGGGGAGTTTCGTTCGTCCGCTTTCTGAACAAGAGATGACGGAGTACCGTCGTCCGTTCCTTGACCCAGCTTCCCGCGAGCCACTTTGGCGGTTTCCTAACGAGATTCCCATCGGAGGGCAGCCTGATGACGTAGCAGAGATGGCGGAGAAGTACATGGCTTGGCTTTTTCAGGCAGAGCTGCCCAAATTATTTTTCTGGGTCACTCCTGGCGGCACGATTGGTGAAGAAAAGGCAGTGGAGTTGATGAAGAAGTTGCGAAACACTCGGAGCGTCTACCTGGGCCCTGGAGTTCACTTTGTGCAAGAGGATCATCCTCGTGCCATCAGCCGTGAGATATCTCACTGGCTCCCATTGTTCTCAAGAGAGTGGCTAGCAGCGGTATACATGTTTAGGAGTTGGTTGAATGAGGATTGGTTTTGAAAAGATGTGCTATCTAGGAGCTCTGACAACGGCGTCTTGTTTCTTTCACGGTGAACGGAACGCAGACTTTTTTAATACGAATTTATCGATGAGACTATCTTCATTTCTATCATTCTTGGTAGACGATCCTGTCGGTTCTCCTAAACTGAAACCCTAGTATGCCTCGAGGTCACACAACGAAATCACCGAGGCCTCGAGAGCAATCCTCAAGATTGTCCAAGGAACCGTAGTCGCAAAGCAACCAAACACTGTTCCGCCTGTCTTTTCCATCTTGAAAGCGAGAAAGGGAACATCATGGCCAAACGTCACCCTGACTGTGCCATGTGTATTGTCTATCGAGACGCGACACTCAGACCAGATGTTGACTGGCTTATGCTTCACGGGACTGTGGCATAAGTTTTGGAACCAGGCGCGGACCATGTAAAGTTGAATGGATTCCACATCCTTTTGGAAGAGCATCGGAAACATTGGTACCTGAAGTCCCAAAGCAGATTGAATCTCTTGGGCCTTGTTCTCAATATCAGTGCATCTCGTGAGACTGATTTGCATGAGACCTTGAGCGCGAGTAGTCACCGGCTGGCCGCCCTGCTTGAATGTGCGGCAATGTCGACGATAGATACCCAACAAGAGCCATATGGCTCCTGTGGGAATGACGTTGTCGGACACACCAAAACATTCCTCTAAGACCGCCTGCATCGGACCAGGCACAAGGTCGAGTTAGGGATATCTCCGAGTAACTTAGGCAAGTTGGGTCCTACTAATTACTAATTATCAATCTTTTATAGCCGGATAGACATCTCTCCTGATCAAGCATCTCTTGATTCCTACTATGTCTTGTTAGTTGCTTGGCAAGTCTATCTTACAAGCCAGTTTTACAGCGGTGGCCGTCCAAAAGGGATGGTCTGAATGCAACGGCGATGGTCTGACGGAGTATAATCGCCAAGAAGCAGGGGACTGGGCATGGAAGATCATGAACAACTTCAAAGAGGGTGAAATTGACGATATGCTGGGCTCCAAGATCATGGGAAGATTGGTGCCGGCGGAATAGACGTCACAAGGAACTGTAGGCTCGTCTCAATCGAGTCCTAAGGGAGGAAACGCAGTCTCGAATCAATCGAGCTATCGTAAGGGGGCTCGCTGTCAAGCGACTCGGGAGGCTGTAAAAATCCCGTAGACTGAATACAATACAGCTGAACAATGTCAACGTGCCATGCCGAAGTGACTGTGATACATGGGAGCGCAATTGACCACGACTGACACACCCGGTCGTGAGCCGACCTGTCCCTACGTGATATTCTATTGTTGTGACTTTGAGAGTAGAGAAGCAGCGATAGCTCAACCCGTCTGTCAACGTCCAGTCCATAATAGACAGGAGCGAGACGGTCTCGGTATTGAGGGGGTGTCTCTAGAGGTGTGCTGGCCAAGGCGCATTATGGCTAGGTAGTGTAGTCCAATTACGAACAGATACATGCGAGCTTCGACATGGTCGCGCTCGGGGATGCATGCAGATACTTATGGGTCTCGGTGAGTATGTAACCGAGGTCACGTGATGGGCGGTGAGGCCACAGATGGTTGAAGCCATCACGACATGGACATGGGTAAAAGGGGGTTCAGCTTAACTAAAAAAAGACGGCTTTTTTCTTTTTATCCACTCTAAGTTATTAGGTCGAATGGATTCTAGTCTACTGTAGTAAAAGCGTACATTAGTATTCAGGGTACATGTACTATGCTGTGCGGCGTTCTAAGGTTATAGTAGGGTCCAGTCGGATGCTTTCTATCACTGCCCCGCCTGTCTGATTTGGATCCAAGTAATCTACCACCGACGCATCCTCCAAGTGAACTTGGCAACCTCCGGTCGCTGTCGAGAGCAAACGACCAAGCCATCCTCAACACCTCACTCCCAAGATGCCACCCAAAAAGGGAACAGCAAAGCCACCCACTGCGGCAGAGATAGCAGCAGCAGAAGCAACAGCAGCGGTAGTTCCCTGTATCGCCGGAAAGAAGGGCGACACTTGGAACAAGTTTGAGGATCGCATCGAAGCGATCACAAAGCAGACCATTGCTGCGGGACTCGACAACGCGGTCCCTCCGCTCACCAAGGAGGAGCTTGACGCCATTCTACCCGAGACTCTCCCAGACTCTGCATTCACCAGTGACTGGACCAGAGATGAGGAGGCAGCCTTGCAGCAAGCGTGACTGAGCGATCCTCGCTACAATGACGCGATGAGAGGAGGCGATAGCAGTATGCCGAAGAACTTCAAGGTTCTCGTGCGACTCTTCAACGCGTCGCCGTTTGAAATCATATCGCCAAAGTACCGCCTTGAGTGGGAAACGAATGCAAAAGACGCAGTCGGACCTCACTGGTCGGTCAAATTCACTTCGAGAATCGCCACCATCGCGATCCATCCCCTCTGGCAGAGGGACGTCAAGCTCCTCACTTTGGCCCTCCAATACGCCGTCATTCTGCGCACTCAGGACACTCTCCCCTGGCTGTTCAGTAGACCTGACGACACCCTATTCTTCAAAACCTTTGAAAAAGTCATTGGAGAGATGAGAGACACGCCAATTGCGGAGGTCCACGAAGAAGTCAGAAGTCGGCTCAAAAGGGATCGTCAAGTGATCCCAATCTTTTCCGAGTTCCTCCTCAGTCTCGAGACTATACAAGAGTCTAGCCCGAACACGACCATCCAAGATCGGTCAAAGAGGGTGTATCCCGTGGGAGTTGTCGACGCCAAGGCCGTCATCGATGCCCTTGATGCGACAGACGATTTGGGGTTACGCGGCCTTCCTTCCAGTCGAACATACGGCCAGCAAGATTCTGGATCATCGCATCCGCTCTGACATTGACCCTCCGTCGGCCAAGGAATTGCCAGAGTATATGAAGCGAGCATGGCTGGGATATCGGAGGATCGAGGCGCAGTTCATGAAGGCTGAGCAGGCAGGCAGGCGGGTCTCAATCTCGTCCTGCAGTTGAAGTCTACACTTCAGCCGAATTCCGACCCGAAGTCGAAGCGCAGCCCGCACTTGAAGTCACAGAAAACGAGCAGATCAATCAAGATCAAGAGAACGCAGGACTCGAGGCAAAGGTTCAACAGCTCGAAGAAGAAAACCGACAACTTCGGCGACAACAGAAGAAGAATGAGCACAAACTTCGGAAATATAAACGGCAGAAAAAACGCCAGCTGAAGGAGAATGGACGCTTGAAAGACAAACTACAGCTTCAGAAACAACACAGTCAGCCTCAGATCATCAAGCAAGAGGCTGCGCTTCCGGAAGCTGAGTCTACCACGGCAGTGGATGAGAGTGTCAAGAACCTCTTCAAGGATGCCATCAAGGATGTGGACGAGGCCAACGAGAGAAGACATCAAGAGATCATGAAGTCAATCTCTGAACTACGGCAAACTCATGCCGAGCCGTCACGGAAGAGAGCGCGTTCCAATTCTCAGGGCGCCTTCCACACATCCGATCACGACGCTCCACGTCATGATCTCCACCAGTGAGAATGGTCGTGCAAAACCTCTCCGCCTTCGACGTCCTGCACGAAGATGGAAGCATGCTGTCGGTGAACCACGGTTCCATATCGCGCATCACTACAGAATGTCAAAATGGCCGATGGTGTTGGCAAATCCTGCGTTGTCCTCCGGCCCCAGGATAGAGTTTTCTTGTAGACGAGATAGTAATATGATGACACTGTGCATTACAAACTGAATCCCTGTGACGTGTCGGTATCTTCTTCATTCTTGAAGGGCCTGGTCGCTATGTTGCTTTGAGGTCTCAGTCCATGCTGATCAAGGTGCCACTTTCCGAGGTACTGTAGGTACCTGCGTTAGGGCAGCCCCATTTCCCTAAAGAGGCAATTTCGCAAGGCCGGAGTGCATCCGACTGGACGATCCAATTCTCCCCGCACGGACTCTAAAGGCGCTGCTGCCCAAACCTTGGGGTCAAGTTTAACGACAGGTGATGAGATTCTCGTCCTAAAGGGGGCCTCTTCGCCCTAGAAAATATTCCGTACCGATTGCTAGAGGCGCGAGACTCCTGACTCCAATTACAGTATCCTCTTTAGGCTGCCTAATTAGGACTGAGGGCGGTGTGTAAAAAAATGACTTGGGATTGTAGCCAAGTTGACTTTCTCCAGTCCATGCTCCACCATCACCTTCTCGGGCACAATTCACCTACCTCCTCACTCCATGACCAATTGCTCCCTACCTTACCTTTGTTCACATCACAGCCAATTTCATACTGTTCCAATTATCGACCACCATCGAACATCAACATGCCGCGCGCAAGGGAAGGTGGCACGAAGGTGGCACGAAGGTGCCAAACGCACGCAAGGGTTCCCGAAAAGAAACGCCCGCCAATGTGTCCTCCAGCGAGGGCAGCAGCAGCTCAGGAGAAGAGGAGAGCAACCAGCCTCCTAGAAAACATCTCCAAACAGCCAAGAGGGCCAACAAGCGCAAGGCATCTGCCGGTACGAGGCCGACAAGAAAACACAAAGACTGGACGCCTGACAGTGACGAGTACGATGGACGCTACGAGTCTGATGGAAGCGAAGAGTCTGATGGAAGCGAAGAGTCTGATGGAGGCAAGGAGCCCCCGCCGCGTGAGAAGGCTCGTACGAATGCCAAGGCAAACACAACCGCAACCAGACCAACCGGAAAGAGCAAGGGTCCGGGCAGGGGCAAAGGCAAAGCGAAGGCCTCCGAGGCCAAAGAGTCCTTGTTCATGACCACAGACCTGCAATGGATAGATGACGAGAAGAGTTTTCATGAAGAGGTCCACAGCAGAACACCCAAAGAAGTCTTCGAGGAGCTCGACAGGGACGTTTTGCCCGTCACAATAGAAGAGATTAATCAAATTCTTCCAGAAGAGCCCGAATATGACGAGGACTGGGCCGCCGAAGATGAAGTGAAGCTTACACAGGATTGGGAAAAGGGCAGCAGTCAGCAACTTCTACTCGACCAAGACCCTTCAGCTTTCCCGGCATTAGTAAGGGTTGCATTCGGATTTTTTCGCAGGTCACCGATGGAATTCATTTCATCTATCCACCACCTCGAATGGGATCAGAACCGAGGCGGTGACGCTGGTAAGAGACACCGATGGACTGCCGTCTTTTGCAAAAGAATGGCCGAATTGACAACCCATCCACTCTTCGACAAGAATTACAAGCTGCTAGTCCTGGCGTTGCAGTACTCAAGCATGATGCTGAGAAACGACCGCAGGACTTGGCAGATCTCGCTCCCCAACAAAGATCCATTCTTTGTGGTACTCGGGCAGGTCGTCAAAGAGTACAAGGGCATAGACAGAGACCCGGCAAAGATACACAAGGCGGTCCGGAAACGACTCAAGGATAGCGGCCACGCAATCCCACTGTTCTCCGAGTTTATGTTAAGGATTGAGTTGCTCCGGGGCCATACGTCAGCCAAACGCATCATCTCCAACAATGTTCAGCCCGTGGTGTACATGGTGAGCAACGACGAGGCCAACCTCCTCGTGAGGGCTGTGAACCTGGTATCTACAACAGGGATGCCAGTGTTTCGTAACGCTCCCATGTACAAGTCATACACAATCGCCCGCGACTCACGCGACCACAAGAATCCTCCGAAAAAGGCGGATCTGTCACTGTACTTGAGACGGTCGCTCATTGCAGTTCGGCGACACAGAGAGAAAAGAGCAAGAGAAGGGCGCAGCGACTGGGCACAGACAGTGACCAGGAAAATGGAGAGTCGGATTCGGATGTCGCGGTCGATATCTTGCGAGAGAGACTCAAGGCAGCCGAGGCAAAGAGCGCTCGTGATGACGTAAGAATCGCAGAACTCGAAGCTGCCGAGGCGAAAAGCGCTCGTGATGACGCAAGGATAGCAGAACTCGAGGCAGGGCTGCGGGACCTGAAGGTCACGCGAGCTACGGAAAGTCACATCAGCCCCCCGCCTGTAGTTGATCATGGCATCGGCAGCGATATTCGGGGTAATGCTACGGCGACGTTGGCAGCAACTTCTCGAGCCACCTCGGATATGATCCCCGTCCCAGGCATGGAGGAAACCTCGGAAGACTCCGACAGTTCTTCGCAAAGCTCCTCTGATGACTCCGACGACGTCCCACAACGCCCAGCGAACCACGTCAAGAGCGATATCAATGAGGAGGATTCTGTCGGCAACATCAAAACCGAGGATGAAAGCCGCTACACACATCTTGAGGGGGAGGACATCTATTCACCGTGATCTATGCATGATCTATGAGGAATAGGCGCATGTTTGAAATATGCTGGAAATTGCGTGCAGCATTTCTTTACCTGTTGGGAAGAGTGTCATTCTGGCTTCGGCAATTGGAAGCATCCTTTCGTCTCTGGTAGCGGAGCAAAATTCTGGGAATGGTTGGCTTAACCCTCCACGGACAGCAAGCAGCTGTTCGATTGTCGACGGGCGCATTGGCGAGTTAGGCATGATAAAGCGGACAGGCGTGCAGCCTTCCGATTGATTCTAACCATGTCCTCTCAATTCAATAGAGTTGGGGTTCAATGGAGTACGATTGCGATTAGAAGCCTCACAATGCAAATCCAAAATGTCCAGCTGTCAAATCTACCGTGTATGTGCGATGAGTGATGATAGTTGCTTTTTTTTTTTAGACTGCCATTGAATCCAACAAAAACGACTGATACCTTATCAAAGCACCCAAGGTAAATACACGCACCTAAGAAATGCTTCTTCACGCTCGAACCAGTGGGATTTTCCGGCGTGGGTTTGTCCAAGGCACCACAGGGCGTCCCATCTCACCAGATCTCCTACCTTACCACCTTCTATGCCCTCGACCTCTCACCTCCAACTCACAACATCCCTCCCCCTAACCCAAACTTTCGTTGTTTCCCTGTAGGAGGCGAGGAAAAAGTTGCAATTTTTCTCCGAGTTGGACGATTTCTGGCATTCCTTCTCGACCATCGCCCTTCCTGCCTACGCCACGTCTGCGACACGAAAATCCAAATACCCAACACAGCACTTCAACGAACCACCTGACTATCCGTCGCACGAATTCACCTAAAAAAGTTTGCAGATGGAGCAATCCCACCAGCAAGAGCGCCCACAGGCGGCCTCGGAGAACAGGGACAGGGTCATCGCGGATACCGAAGAAGCGGTTCGGAAAAAGTTCGAGAGACTTCACAACCACTGGGGAAACTCGTCATTCCCCTCTTCTCTGGAAGCCAACGATGAGGGGTACTACACGACTGATGACGGCGTCTTCATCTTCCGAATCGAGATGTTCGACGAGCTAGTCCGTCAGATGCTCGCTGGATTCGGTCATACCGATTACGTTGTCTGGGGCTCTCAGCGATTGCCTATCGAAACAAACAATGCGATCAAGGCAAAGGAAGCAGAAATGGCCTTCGTCAACCAGCAGACCAGTCGCGACAGAACCGGAGACAGAGCCGAATACTGCGCTTTCGTTCTTATTAGAGTGGACCCCGCGCTCTACATGAAGTCGGACGCCGCTACTGCAAACGATGGTTTCGAACATGATGAGCGTAAATATAGCGAGCCTTTAATCTTCCGAGAAGCATTGAAAGAGAAAACTAACCGTTGTTAGAGGAGATTGCAGCCCACACGGCGGCGGTAGTACATACCGCCCAGAAACAGCTGGAGCGGGAGCGTGAGGAGTTTCAGAAGAAGATCGAGGAGCATGCTCAGGAAAAGGCGAGACTTGAAAAGCTCGTCGTGAAGCAAGCCCTGTTACTCGTGGATCTAGAGCAAGAGTTCGCGATGCTCAGAGCCTCTTCGCGTATCTAGACACAGCGGCCACTCATGGTGTCAAACGGACTCGACACTTGGTGGCTACTCCAGATGGGTCATTCAGGTTTCGGCGGTGGACGCATGGCATGCTATTGCGATCAGGACAAGATGGAGGAATCATGGCGAAGGGTCAAACGCTTCTTCATCATGAGAGCTACATCGGGATGGGAACGACACATTCGAGCACGCACAGACACACGCAGTTCTTCATTCGCTCGTTGCCCTAGATAGTAGATAGCAAGAGCCGTTTAATCGACCTTTATTTTCCACCAACACTGGCTTCTCTTGCGCCTCGTGATCTAGATGAAGGTTGATTCCGTGAGACAAGTCTCAATTTGGCCGGAGACTGTACTATCATCCTACCTATGCAAGTGGCGAGGCGCATTGTCAGCCCCTGCCTCCAGGCAAGGGAACTGTTTTCAGCGAGCTCGTATGCATATGCGCGGTCCCTCCCATTACGGGTCTGCCGTCCTGATTGTCTTCGATCCAAATGCTACGGTGAATACAAGAGTGGTGGATGGAATGTCTTTATCTCGTGTAGCGTCACCTCGAGGAATTACACGGGAAGCTCCGAACTTGACACACAGAGAGGTCAGTTCCCGAGAAAAAGCGCAGGGTCACGGGAAGGCCGTCAGGGGTATCAATTTCGTGACCAGGATCTCCTCAGGGAGCACGTCGGTTCTAATTTACTGAGTAGTTGAAGGCATGCCTGCTCTATTGTTTGATCTGAGTTGATTGCCACTTGGCCGTGCCCTCTCTCCTTGACCCATCCCACTCCACGACTGCGTTCCTTGACACTCCGACCTCAACAAGTTATCCCAATTTGAATGGAATGCCCCGGCTGCCTGAACTTGGAGTGGAACCCCTTAATGATGACCTGATTGACCAGACGAATGTTGCGTGGGAGGGTCTCCTTGTCCACCAACTTCTAGACCAGCTGTGCGAACTCTTGGGCCAGCGCTGCGAGCTTCTGAGACTTCTTCGCGATCTCCTTGGCCGACTCGGCCTTGTCCCGAGCTAGCTTTGCGATCTCTTCGGCCTGCTCCTGGTTCTCTCTGTGGAGCTCATCGCACAATTGACCCATCGCTTCGAGTTTGTCTGCGGTCGTCTGATGGTCCTCGTATTCCACAGTGGCGTTGAGGCGGGCGTCGGGACTGGGAGGGGCATTCAGGCTCACGAAGCGCTGAATATATCTGTAGCGTCCATTGACGTAGAGACGGTGTGGCTCGGTTTTCACGAAGGTTACGGGCGATCCTGGGCGCGGAATGAAGCCCGACGCAGTGTCACCGACTGCGTTGTGCGTTTTGTCGTTATCTTCCGCCATCTTGAGGTGCTTGAGAATGTAGTTGTTGAATGTGGAGTGATTGGGCCGATGAAGGTGGAGAGATGAGCTTGTTTGATAAGGGTTGTGTGAGAGAGAAGTTTCCAGGCAGGGAAGGGTCCCAGGCTTTGTTTTTGTTAGCCTACCTCACGTGTCGTGATGGCCTCAATCACTCAAGGCCTCACCGCCTTTCACGTGACCCAACAGGGTGCCCTTCCTCGGCTGTCTAGATTCAGACTGCAAAACCCACACCAGAGATGATCCAATTGACTAGACGGGGCGGAAATGTCATGGCCCAGCATGTGTGTGGAGGTATCCATCACTCGATGAAGATCTGTGTAAGCTGGAGTCGATGGGCGTCGTGATGAGCCACCGGGAACGGAGATGCTATGACTTCTCAGATAGGTAATCGTGAACTAGACACTTTGACCATCTTGACCTCACATCACACGCAAAGTATCGACATACCGTGAACACCCTGGCCGTAGAGAGGGAAAAAGTGACTGATGAGTGTCTGCATTTGTAGAAGTGCTGTGCCGTCAATGTCCAGTTCCATAAAACTTCTGTCGAGACTCGGAGAAGAGCCCGCACATTTCGATGTTAGCTAGTCCCTCACTGTAAAGTCAAACAACCTTGTGACGCATGCCCTGAAGCTCTTGGTCAGACAATATCGCTCAAGATATCTCCATGGTTTGACTTTCTTCAGGGTTCCCGTCATCACTACCAGCGTCTTTTCCGCGGACGAGCGTTGCGCACGAGTTTTCTAGAAAACTCCACAGGCTGTCGCTAGCCAACTCACGAGGCATGGTCTTGGTGACCAAGGACTTCCAAGACAGATACCTACCCCTCGGTGCCATGTCACCAAGCGCTGTAATTGCCTTGCTTCCATGTTCCGGTCCAAGGATGTCAGGGAACGGGGCTCCAGATGGCCAAGCTTGATTTAGCAGAAATGAGGTTAACGAAATAGGCCAAGGCGGATGACTTGGAGACATGTGCGACTCATCGAAGGTGATGTAAATTATTACGAGGTTGGGCGATGCGATACAGACAGCGCTGTTCCCAAGCTGGCCTCTCGTCTTGTGTGTGATCTGGCAAGATGTGGGAAGGATTGTACGCAAAGCTCTTGGGTATCCGCACCTCTTCAACAGTCGGCGGGGAGGGGCTCGACTCATCACATGGCGCGACCTCAGTCTCCCTAAAGAAAGAAATGGAATAGAAGCAAAAGTAAAACTGAGGCCGATTCAGTCCTTCGGTAAGCTCCATACACGCTTCCTCAATCGGGGACAAATATCACTTGACATTCAGATGGAATGACCTCTCCCAGACTCAACGCTCACCGCTCAAAACGACTACTTGGTCAACATCGCTAGGCGCAATGAAGGTCAGGATTAGGAGAAAATAACGCAAAGCCTCCTCGCGCATCTAAACGCAGCCATCGCACAACAAGCCAAACCGGATCGAAACTTGTAGTTACTTCATTTGCCCTAAAGTTTTGAATGGACCGCAGGGGCCTAGACCTTAGTTGTCTTTTGATAGACTCAGCCTTTCCGTAGACCTGGACACGGAGGGGGCAAGGATGCTTGGAAAGTCGACGAGAGTAGTTAGCTTGGCGGTATGTCGAGCGAGGCTATTGTGACATTCCATCATCATCAGTGTTACGATATCATTCCACGGGTTCAAGTCCCCAGATAGTCTACTGCAGCACGTGAGAGATCACAATCATGGTAGCACTGGGACAAGTTGCATTTCCAGAAAACGCCGTTGACATCCATCTCATTGATTAGGCTAGGAAATACTGCCATGAGGCGTACCGGGCTCCGTGGACTACTGTTTGAAGACCACTTCCCTTTCCAATGCCCCATTCGTCGAAAAGCCACTGTTTGTAACTCGTCAGATATCACATAGTCAAGCTATGTACAGCTCAGCCATCATGCACATCTCTATTTAATCTTCTGTGTGAAGATTGCGATGCGATGCTAGGTGAGCCTCCTGTGGATACACTGTATGTGTTTCTGATCTTGATGGCATATTGTATGTACGCCGAAATCGAACTCGTCCAACTGTACAGCCCACATGTGTCGAGAATACTTATCCCGACGCGTCCTCACTGCGTTCAGATGCGTGGGTTGGCTTTGAGCGTCGCGACTTCCTGCGCCAGCCTTGCGTTTTCCTGTGCCATCTCTGCGATCCTCCGGGCTTGCGTCGCCCTGTCCTGGGTCATCTCCGCGATTTTCTGAAGAAGCTCTTCGCACTTCCGCTCAGACGCCTCTAGCTTGTCTGCATTCGCTTGGTTCCTCTCCTCTTCTGCTTTCCAGAACTGATCTGTAGCTGTCGTGAATCTAGCCTTTAGAGATTCGGCCGGCCCTCCTCCGATCGGCTCCGCGCTGGCGGCAGCTGGCGCGCCTCTCCTCTTTCGCGACCGCTCGGAAGGCTCGTCGTGCTTGCGCTTGTTGTTGTGACTACCGGTGGCTTGCTGGCCGTTGTGTGCAGCAGTGGCGCCTGGGGCGTTGTTGGAGGTTTGGGTGGGATCATCGATGTTGTCGACTCGGGCGCGGGATGATGATGCCGCTGTTGCCTCTGCTTCCTCTTTCTTCTTTCGCATCAACTCTTTATATTTTGCCCTGCGAGCCTGTGCTAGTTCGCTCATATCCACGTCCTCTGATCTGCTGGGCCGAACTCGTCTCTGATCGGCCGGCAACCTCCAGCGCCGTGGCATGATATTGGTTCGCCGGTTGTCAGATTCGAGTTCGGCTTCTAAAGCGGCTTCTAAAGCGTCCATGTTGACCGGGTGAAATAGTTTGGCTGGAATGCGCTCGTTGATCTGACTTGGTCCTGCCATCAGAGTCAGTAGTGTCCGATCAACCCCAGTTCACGAACCGACCTGTGTTTCCGACGCGGAGTCCTCTCCTCGGCGGTTAATATCGAAATGCTTGATGTTGATGGAGGGGTATGGGTGCCAGGTATAGAGTGAGAAGAAGCGAAAAAGTCGTGCGAAAACGTAAGGTGTGTGGGAAAGAAGCTGTCCGAGGAGTGAGGGGGAGGAGGGGGGGGGAGAAAGAAACACCTGGGTCTCGTCGAACTGCTTGGGAAGGCACGACTCTACCTCAGATTCCTATTTTCCTCGGCTGCACAAAACAGCCACAATTGTTTTCCACGTGCTCTACCTCCCAGTCTCAACCTCACCTCGTCAACGTTCAACCGAGATCTTACTCTTCACCGCCCCCCGCCCCCCCTACGACAAAGAAAGCTTCCACCCAAACTTGTCAATAATCTCCTGCCAGTCTTGATCTGCGGACGTTGCACCACCGCTGTCAAAATCCCGCGTCTGCCAGATTGTCCAGACGACCCTCTTCACCGTCGATATGTTACTGATGGGCCACTTGCTGTCCAGCAGATTGAACAGGTCAAGCACAGCCTTGCGATGTGCGTCACTAGAACTGACACACCCAGCGATGAACAGCGGCCACATGGGGAATGATCGCTGGGGTTGATCCTCGACAATCACCTCGCCAAGACGATCCAGCAGCGTCTGCAATAACTGCGGGATCGCCCGAGTCCGTACAGTAGCTCCATAAACTATCAACTGGAGGTATATCAGAGCAGCGAACCTAAAGCACTCGGCGCTTTTGACGAGGTAGTCGTCGTGCGTGCTCTCAGCAGAGAAGTCCAACTCCCGAATACGTCTCTCGAGGCGTGATCCCTCTTCCGAGTATCCATCATCCTTCCGAGCCGCTGCCGAGACCATGCTGATTAGTTGAACCAGCTCCATCGAACAGCCGATCTGAGGGTCAATCGTCTGGAACGTCCCTTGACCTGGCAAGAGCCGCTCGAGACGTCCGATGGCCTCGTCACAGTCGTCGGTCTGTCCATCAAGATGCGGCGCTTTGCATCCGGTCGTCTTCATCAAGATGTATCGAAACCGAAAATACTGAAGAACGAGCGCGGCACACTCGGGCGTGATCCAGTCGCCGTGGGCGTCCATGATGGCCAGAGCACCCCGTAGATGCCTCAACCACGACGGACGAGACCCTTCAGCTATCTCCAAGGAGGCCTGGAGCACGCACGTCAGGAGATTCTCCTCTGCCTCGATAGCGGTGTCAAGCTTCGACTGCAGCTGTGTCAAGGCGTTGATCTTGTATCGAATGGCTGCACCGGCATAGTCCACCCCATCTTGCGGGGTCCTCCGGACCATTTCCGCCGCACTCAATGCCAGGACGGTAGAAAAGAGAGGGCCGCTGCTGCTGAGGAGGATGGGCATGATGGACGTCCTGAAGAGGTTTCTCTCGCTAGGGACGTATACCCGGCTGTTGCTAATGACCTCAAAGTCTTATCTTGTCAGAGCGGCTGTCTGGTGTAGACCTCGACTACTTACAGTACTGAACCATCATGCTTTCTCGTCCACCGGCGAGCGTGCCTGACTTTGGCAGCCAACTCAGAGCCGGCATGAGTCGAGGTTGCCCCTGAGACAATGGCAAGTCCACCAACTATCCTCTAGGACCGTCCGCGTACTGCTGACAAACGAGAGCCAGCTCATCGCTTCGAAGGTTCACAAAGGAATCGCTCGCCGGCGATTCCAACGGCGCGATAAAGCGGCCAGATGCCACGGAGAGAAGAAACTTGGATGGCGAAGACTGGCTCGACTTGACGTACACACACGCGACGCCGTGCTTGCGACAGCTCGCGCACTTTGGCTTCCCTTCATCGCACCTTCGCTTCCGCCGCCGACAGTCTAGACATCCGGTTCGGCTCCGGGTCCCGTTGCCGGCCATGTTGCTTGATTTGTGGGTCTACGTCGCGGTCATGGTCTGGTGGGAAAGCCATGAGATCATGCTCGGGTGACTGATGTGATGGTAGATGCAGGTTCCAACAAAAGTGTCCTCCGACTCGCCGCCGAAGACCCCGGTCCGCATTATCGGGAGAGATAAGGGGGGCTCCGTTGGAGATGCGGGGATGCTCACCGAGATTAGATAAGCAGACCGACGATGGTGCAGGGATGTGAGCTCGACTTCTGAAGGCGTTTGACTCTGGGCGACGCGACAAAACCACCAACGATATGCCGGCAGGTTCGTCAGCCAAAACAGAGTGTCAAGAGGGGGTACACATCTGATTAGCTGTCATCTCAACCGTCTTGCGGCAAGTTTAGGACTCCGGACCCGCCCCGCTAGGGTGCCTTGACTCGCCGCGTCGTATTGGTCGCATCCCCCAACTAACATGCTTTCCGAATCCGAGGCGACGCGGACTTTCAGATGAGGGGCCAGCGTCTCCGGGATGAGAGAAACACCACGCTTCTATTCTCACGATGAGAAAGCGAGCATGTCTGAAGAGAATGTACAAGATGACCTCGTCCCTGAGCCTGACGTGCCGGTGCGTGCCTTGGGGGTCTCTGGGCGATGCCGGAGATCACATCCGAGACTGCGTGACATGACTGACTAGGGCGACACGGATTCGACCATTGGGAATGTGAGTTGAGCCATACACCGGGTCGTCCTTCTGCTCACCTTGGGACGATTTCTCTGCTACGACAAGTCTCCGAAGCTCCATTATAGACTATCGTGTCGAAAACGGCAGAACATACCATCGCTACAAGGAAGACAGTGAGTCGCAAACCCATGCCCTCTGATGTCCCGCCCTAAACATCCCTCAGAATACTTTTCGCCAAATGACGAGCTGGAAGTCAACCGGCTAGACCTCCAGCACCACCTATTCCTCCTCACATTCGACAACAGGCTGGGATTCGCGCCTCCGAATAATCCGGAGTGGAAGGGCGGCCGTGTGCTCGACGTTGGGACGGGTACCGGTATTTGGTGTATTGACTTTGGCGACGAGCACCCCAACGCGGATGTCCTCGGTTTTGATCTATCGGCCACGCAACCAGAGTTGTGCGTTTCATGAGGACCACCGAGATGAAGTGTACTGACACTACGGTAACAGCGTCCCGCCCAACGTTCAATCCGAAGTAGACGACCTCGACAACGAGTGGATCTACGCTCGGCATTTCGACTACATCCACATCCGCGGCATGTCGGGAAGCGTGCGCAACTGGACCGAACTCCTTAAGAAGTGCTACGAGTACGCCGCCTTTCATCCCGTTAACCCGCCGATCCTACCAAATCAACATCGATCTTGTACTGACAGCAGCGCAGCAACCTCAACCCCGGCGGCTACATTGAGCTCCAAGAAGTAGAAGAGACAATAGTTCGCGCAGACAGCTCGACATCCACAAGCGACGCCTTTTCCCGATCCCTCGCCTACGTCTCCTCGGCCCTCAAAGTCTTTGGGTGCCCCTTCATCCCTCTCGACGACCTCACGACGCTCGTAAGGGACACGGGCTTCGTAGACATCCAAGACCGCCGCTTCATCTGGCCCCTCAAAAGCTGGCCCCGCGATCCACACCTCAAAGAGCTCGGGTCCTGGACTCGCGAGAACCTCGCCTGCAATACGGCCGGCATGATTATGGCGCCCATGACGCGGGTACACGGGTGGAGGGAGGAGGAGTTGCACGTCTTTGCCGCCGAGGTGCGAAGAGATCTCGCTGATCGTGGGAATCACGCGTACTGGCCACTGTGAGTTGACTGACTGTGTTGATGATGTTGAAGAGGTGGCAGCAGCAAGACTGACGTGCGGTAGTCGTGCTATTTGGGCTTGAAAGCCTGAGGCGTCCCAGTGACACAGCCCCCGCAACATCCATGCTTCGGTCATTCCCAGACCGAATCGACCCCCACGCGCCACAACCATGAACAATGCCAGTCACATGCAAACGCCACGCACACTTCTTTCAACTCATGTTCTCATTCAAAGCCATCATTACACGACTACATAGTTGAACAAATACCAGGCGCCGCATGAGGGTATCCAAGCAAACCCCCCTACTCCAATGAGCCCCTCCCAGTCTGAGAAAATCCTTCCGGCCGAAAACGCCGTTTCATTAACACACACGAAACCCATCCAGGAAAATCGAGCTTCCCTTTTTTTGCTCTATCCCGACTCCATGTAGTGCAAGTATGCTTCCAACCAGAAAATCCCATCGTGAATCTGCAAAGATGCTCCCAAAGGAGTCTATATGCGAGTGTTGAACCGAAAATGTAAAAATGCAAAGAGCGCAAAACGTGAGTTCATACGCATTAGGCGAGAGTGGCAGTTTCAGCTACACCGTCGTCCTTTGTAGTCGTGTCCACACCAGCCGCCGCCCAGTTCATGGCGTCATTCATGCCGTCCTCCCCAAAGACGTTCGCCATGAACCCGTCATCTGTGTTGTTGACGCCCTCTGGCGGGAACTGGAGCCATTGATCAACATCAAACTCTGTCCCCGTCATGGCATTCCAGTCAATCTCCTCTTGCGTCTGCAAGAACTCGAGGTCGAGCGGGCCGGGCTCCTCAGTGCTGCCGAAGCTGCCGTTGGCGCTGGGCGTCATGGCCTCAAGCGAAGACTCGTGATCCTTCTCCGTCGGCGGCGGGCTCTGGGCCGACAAGTCGAGCGCTGCGGCGTTGATGGTCTGCGGGAGGAACTCGCGCTGGGGATTCGGCTTGTTGGCAAAGAGGGCCTCGCCGGTCGTCATGTACGGCAGGTTATCGGGCGGGGGCGTCTGCGCGCCAAAGGTCGGTTCGGCGAGCTTGAGGTTCTGCTGCGTCATGGGCGCGGTGGTCTGCTGGAGGTTAATGTCAATGGCGGCCTTGCGGAGGGCCGCATCGAGGAACCCGGTAGCGTAGTCGGCGGCGGCGTAGATCTCGCGCAGCTTCTCCATGACGCGCATGCACTGGCGGAAGCCGCGAGTGGCGCGGTCTCTGGACTGCGAGACGGGATTCTTCATTTCCAGAAGATGAATGATCATGGCCGGCAGGATGACGGTAACGCCGGTGGTGGGGAGATACCTCTCGAGGCGGAGCTGGTGGAGCTCTGCCGCCATCCGGGTGACGTGCATCGCGGCGTCGCGGACGCGGAGCCGGGACATCTCCTGCACCTGCCGGGAGGTTGTCGGTGCATGGACCGGGGACGACGGCAGGAACTGCGGGCGATGCAGGGCCGAGATCGTCGTGTAGTACACCATGTGCAGCAAGGTGCGCTGAACTGCGACGGTCGACCGCCCGTTCTTGACATCGAGGGGCGTCAGGGGCCTGTACTGGCAGATGGCGGGCAAAGTGTCGGCCCAAGCCATGAGCTCCAGGTCCACCGAAGTGACACTCTCGACGTTATCGAGCTTCTTATTCGGGAACAGCATCATGGTGCTGTTGACGGTGTTCTCCGGGCGCATCTTATCCCGGATAAGGACAGAGTACTGCGCCTTGAGCATGTGGCTGATGCAGATGCACAGCTGAGCTTTGGAGATGCACAACGCGGCCAACTCCCGCTGCATCGAGACGTCGCGGAGCAGCATGCATTCGGCGGGGATGACCTTGTTCTCCTCGGACAGGATCTCCAGCTCAAAATCGTTCTCCTGCAGCATCGGCACGTCAAAGTCCTCATCCTTGATGCGGGTGGGCCTGCGCATGCCCAGGGCGATGAGGCGGTCGCGCATGAAACAGGACCACCAGATGCGCTTCCACAGCCTCTGTTTGCGAACCGGCATGCTCGTCGCGGCCGGGTCGCGGTGCAGGCCAATGGTGTGGGCCAGCGAAATGGCAACGCCCATCCAGTGCCATGTGTCCTTTTGATCGTCGGGGGTCTCGTACCAGTACGTCATCAAGAGAAGAGCCTGCACGAGGACGAGGCGATCCGACTCGTAGTCAAAGTCGTAGAGCAACTACACACGAATGTTTAGCATGTGAAGATGGTGGGCGTGGGGGTGACCCCCGTGCCGCTAGTGCGGTGTCAAAGAGAGTTCAGGGACGGGCCACTTACCCTCGTCTTCTGGAAGAAGGCCTTCCTGGCGGCTTTCCGCGTCGGGTATCCCGCCTCGCGAAGGACCTTCATGTCGACAAAGGCCGTGGCGGCAAACATGACTGCCTGGTAGAGGAACAGGCTGATCTGACCGCACAGCCCATCCTGAGCGTTGATGATGGCCAAAAAGTCGTACAGCTCGAGCAGCGGCATGTACGGATGAACGTATTCGACGTAGGCCTGGAGCAGAGCGTTCTGCAACGGCAGCGCAGGCAGAGTCAGGGCACCCTTTGCGTGCAGGTAGGTGACATCCTCCTGGGCGATCTTGGCGGGTAGTGGTTTCACATAGGCCGGGAGCTGGCCGTGGAGGTCGGGCTCCTCGAGGGAGGCGAGAAATTGACTCGTTCGGCCGTCGCCAGCGCCGCCTGCACCGCCCATGCCGCCAAAGAGAGAGGCCTGGGCGAGCAGGTTCGACAACAGGCGACGAGAGTTGCCATCTGCTGACGCTGCGGCCGCAGCAGACTGCAGCTTGGTGAGCAGCGCTGCGCTGTCATGACGGTAACCCGATCGTTGATCTAAGATTCACAAGGTCCCGTGGTCAGCGAGTCGTCCCAAAACACTGACCGCTTTGGTCTGGGTGGGTTGGATGTGATGATAATGACTGGAGAGGGCTGGCATGTGAATGTGGATTACGTGTGAGAGGCTAAGGGGACGTGGGAGGGACGGAGCTGGGGCGGCGGACGGAGTGCGGAACGGAGGGGGAGGGGTACGCTGAAGAAATCAGGAGAAACCGCCATGACTTGACGAGGAAAGGCGGAGAAAGGCCCCAGGTCACGGGGTAGGAAAAGTCCCAAGACGCCCCTCCATACTTTACCCCGTTCCGTCCCCTCCCCCAGTCTGAGCCCCCCGGACTGGGCAGCGATGGGCAAAACCAGGAACACAAAAAAATACGACGGGCAGAAGACAGACAAACAGGGGGCGCAATTTGAATGTGCGGTGCGGAATTGACAAAGATTCCCACGCTAAAAAGGTGTTCCAAAAAAACAAAAAAACAAGTGTTGCAGGGCCAAGAAAAAGAATTGTGCGACACAGAGACGAAAGGCGAAGAAAAAAAAGCTTACAGATCATGTGCGGAACGTGACCCTCAATTCCGTCTGAAGAGCCGCCGGGAACCGACAGGCCCCCAAGAACACCTGGGCCAATTCCAATTCCGGTTCCAATTGCAGCAGCAGCAGCAGTAGCAGATCCTGCTCCAGCGCCGGCACCAAGGCCAGACGTCGCATTCAAGGGCAGGCCGGAGGATGCGGGGACGGGGTTCGCGGCGATGGAACCGTTGACCGAGGCCACCGAGGCATTGCTGGGTCGGCGCAGTTCCGCGCTGCTGTGAATGTTGATTGGGTTCGCGCCTTTGGAGCGCAACTGTGCCTCGGCTCCCACAACATGGTGCCCCGCCGTGCTGGCAGTCAACAAGTTCTTCCTACAAACGCGCCAAGAAGTCAGCGGGGGGTCAACTTTGCGGGTTTGGGGATTTCCCCATGGGCGTCATGTCGTGCATCCCCAATTGTCCGCCTGCATTGTGCCTCGGCATTGTACCGAGGCACCGTGGTGAGCGCGAGGATGCGGGTTTGCGGCCTGCAAGATACGGCTCGCCGAAGGTTCCGCCACGGACACACGGGGGAACTGAGACGGCCGGGTCAAACTTACTTTCGTCGGCGGCTCTCCTGGACAACGCACTCGACATTGTCCCATCTGCAGTTGCCGCAGGGCGCGCCTTCAACCACGTCGCAGCGGACTTTGCGCGCGCGACAGCTCACACAAGCGCGGGCGGCTCTGCGTTTCGTGATCTTGGTTGGGGGAGCTCCGTCCTTCAGGTCCGCATCCGATGAAGAGCGCTTCTTGCTCTGCTCCTGGTCCGAGGTGTCGTTGGCGTCGTCGTTTTTCGGGTCCTCGGCAGCCTCGGCAGGCTCTTCCGTGGTCGCCATCGTCAGCGCCGATAGATCGGTGGCCGGCTCGGGGGCGGGCGTTGCCTCGAGGGCGGGCGCGGTGGTGGTGGTGGTAGTTTCGGTCGCCATTGTCGCGGCACGCAAGCAGTCTCTCCTATTTAGAGACTGCTCGTTGTTCAGGCCGGTTGCTTAGGGGTAAAGTAGACGAGGGGGTGTCGTCGTCAGTCTCGGGAAATGGGCCGAGTTTAAAGATGAAGAATCGTTATGTTGCTCCGGCAAAAGGACTTAATACGTATGGAAGCGACTTGCAGATGTAAGGGGCTCGCATATACGGGCACCAGGCGTCAAAGGTGAGCTCTGCGTACAAGTTGTCAAAGCTGGGGCGATAGATCCTCGTCGAGGCGTGGGACACAAACGTAAACAACAGAACAAGGCGGAACGAGGTTGCGTTGAGATGAGCATTGAATGTTTCCAAGCCTGATACTAAATGCTGCTGCTATTCGATCCGCGCGGAATGGAGTGCGGACGACTCTTGGTTAGAGATTGGAGTGTGGTGTGTCTGGGGCGTGTGTCTCGTGATTTGACGGTCGATGCTGTCTTGGGGATGGTCTGGAATTGGAGATGCAAAGGAGGAGGCAACTTCAAGCTCGAAATGTTTAGAAAAGCCGGAGCTACGGGCAAAAAGGTGGAAAAAGAGCAGCAAAGGAGAAGCGGGAATGTGGGGTCCAAGGGTGCGAAGGGGATGGGCGAGGTATTATATTATTCCATTGGGATCAATCTTTTTGCTACGAAGTGGCAGGCTGAGCTTGACACACCTTGGGAAAGTAAGAAACTGGGAACGGACTCTCTTTCTTTCGTCTGGAATTCCCACGAGGTATCCGTAGCTTTACTGTGTCTACACCCCCCCCTGCGGCCCTGGTCGGCGGCCCCATTGTCCATTTCCCCTCCTCCTCCTCTTTTTGGCTCCTTTCACTCTCCGATCCATTGACGAGACTAGGCCGGGCGAAGAAACGAGGGAGGCGGAACAACCCTGCTCCTCCCCAGCTGCCCAGCTGCACCATTCTACACCTGGCAAGGTCAGGAAAAAGGCAGGAGGGTAATAATTAGAGCAGGATCACCAGCGACCAGCACGACGTGGATCTTGTACGTACCCCGAATTATGGGGAAACGAAGCTAACGAGGAACAAGTGCAAAGCAGCAAAATATGGAGAAACAAGTGGGAAAGAGTTAGTCAGGCATGAGACAAGGATGCTGGATGAGACGGAGCGTCTGACTTTGGTACGGAGTACCTACTTACCTTTGGTGCAGAGTACGGAGTACGTATCGGGGAGATAGTACGTACTCCCCACGAAGTACCTCACCTTCCCTCACCTCAAGTTCTTCGACTGCTCACGATGCCACGATGCTGTTTTCCACCGAATTTTGTGCTTGCCATTCTCTCCCATTCCACGCCTTGACCCCGGGTCCCCGAGAGCTGTCAAATCTGTCTGTCCGATGACCCGTGACCTGCATCGAGCGCAGTGACACAGAGACCACGGGACGTCGTTGTGTTTTCCAGGCCTGCCGTTGGACCTGGACCGAGATTGGCCAAGAGAGGGAAGCGTGGAACCAAGCCGCACTGCGCAATCGCTGCGCAATGTCAGGGCGCTCTTACATGAGCAGGTCTGCATTTTGCAGTCTTCCATTGGTGACTGCTTACCTCACGGTACCACTGCCTACAGACTGACGGACGCCATGGGGATTCTTCATCCAGCGCCTCCCTGTCCGCCACGGCGAAGCTCGCGTGTGCTTCTCCTGATGGTGGTGTTGGTGTTGCATCCATCCGGCCGGTTTAGCCAACCACTTGCGCCGAACATCATAACCTCCAACTCTATCATTTTCACAAACGCAACCTGACCTCATCTTTCGACACCCGTCCACGTCCAGCGCATCAGCAGACAATCGACAACCGAAAACAGCCGCCGCGCCCGCTGTCTTTGCTTCGGCATCATCGCATGTGAAGTCTAACTGCAGATGTCGTAATCACAACTCCCACCATCCCTGCCCCCTTTCCAGCCAAGCTTGCATCTTTGGGGTTGGCCGTTTGGCAGTTGCGAATCTCTGGGGGGGGCTCGCTCGGGAAGGGGGTTGAACATGAGGGGCGCCGCGGCTTCCCATAGTGGGGTGGGTGCCTTACCTCTCTCTCACCGGGCAGGTTGTCACAGATCGTCGAGGCAAGTCATCCCTAAGAACCCAAAACTCTACTGCGCCCGTCAACTATCAAGTCCCCATCGTGGCAACAGCCGCCGGTCTGCATTAAAGATTGGTGTCGACTTGCAGTTTGCGGTCTCGTACATGAGCGCAATACCTGATTTTCCCGCCCGTATGCAACTGGCAGTCTGGCGCCGCACCCCGGCCGATCCTGCCCCCGATCCCCCTCCTGCCCTAGATGCCCTGTGTCTACACAGTACCTAGGTACGTCGTCCTTTCCCGTTACTCTCGAATCCACCCGCACTTGCTTTAAACAAATGACATTTGTTGCTTCCTTCCTTCCTGGGCCCAGACAAGATGGGAAGGCGGCCTCTTTGTCTCCCGTCGTTACCACTTGCCTCCAGGGTCCAGAGTCTCCAGTTGCCTCCTACCATTTCGTGTTATCAATGAGGGTCCCATAAAACCCATGCCTGCCGTACCTATCTATCCACGGATAGTGTGATGTGTCTCAGCAACACGTCGACCTTGCCGCATCGACGCTAGCCTCCTTGCCATGCCGCCATACCACCATGGTCCTCCATACCACAGCCTAGAACTTGACCTTCTCCAGAAAGAAGACCCGGCCCCAAAAACAACAAGCAGACCAGCAGACCGATCTTCTTCACCGCAAAACACCGACCTTTGTTATCGCTACCCGCTAGCTTCCTAGTCCACCTCCCGCGGCCCCGTATCCGACAGAACTTCTCCGCCAGATCCATTTCTCCCAATTCCGTATGTGTCAAGACGAGGCCCGGACGACAGCAGGAAAAAGGCAAAGCCTTGGCTTGATGAGGCTTGGGTTCTTGGGAACCTTGTTACTCCAGTCTCCAGAGTTCCTGGAACCCAAGGGTTCAGGAGGACGAATCGCCGTCCAGGGATCATGACCTTTTCCTCCACGGCCTCCAGCTGAACGCAGCAACCCAGGCCCTTGACCCCCCATTCTCTCCATCGTCACTCACACCTTGTGGGAACGGCCAATCACGAACCTGCAGCCGTGCCGTTGGCTGCCCTCGGAGGCTGGAAGAAGTACTCCTTGAGGCTTCTCCCTCATCAGTAGGTACCAACACCTCCCGGGTCACTATTTACCAGAGTCTACGTAGTAATATCACTAACCAGCGCCAGCCTCGCGAGTCAGGTCCAATCGAGTCAGCTCCGGTGTGGGCTCCCAGGATCACGCCCAGACACAAGCAGTCCACCTCCGCTCACCGCAGCATCCAACCACAGAGACGCCTACATAATCCTTAGCCTATCGTAAACCTCATTCCCCCAGTGGCCCCCTCCAACTTTAAAGCATCACGAGCCGCTCTGCAATTTTTCACACCTCATCTCAAACTGCACCCGTGCCATTGGGTCAATTGCGCCTGCCTTTAGTCACCACTCGTCACTCGCCAGTTACTACCAAAGGACCGTGTCCGATGCAGAATTCTGGAAAAAGTGTCCCAAGCCAGTCAAGCGCCTCCAGCCTCAAGCGATGGGCGGCGTGTCTGGCGTCTTTCCGGCGTCTGAGGACACCACTCCAGCCTCATTGTTCTGTCATAATTCTGCACAACGGCAGCATCATGAATCACTGGTCAGTGCCGTCACGTTAATTAACCAGAAGGTGGCCGCAGAAGCCCAGAAGCCGGCCGTGCTCAAGTCGGCTTCTTCAACCAAGTCGGCTTCTCGAATGCCCACACCCTCGCTCTCGCTTGCCCCAATCCATCAGGGTTTCGTCCTGCCGTCGTCTCGTTGGATCGACACACGACACACGCCCTTTAATCCGAAAGAACAAGATGCACAATTCCCGATTCAACCGCTCCCGTAATCAAAATCGATGCCCTTGCACCGGCGGGCGCCCAATCACGTCCCATTGCACACCTGGAAATATCTCCATTCGCCCAGCTGGATTCGGCAACAGTCGGGACTGCGGAGTGGATTACCCCTGTTGCAAAGGTAGCTGCTCTCTTCGTCCATCCACTCTTGACACACAAGATACAGGACGCGATCACGATCCCGTTTCCACGTCTCGAACTGCGAGCAGCAGCACCAACTGGCCCAAATGTCAAGACGGTTTGAATGAATGGGAAACACTGGTGGAATATTCACCCAAGTGCAGCCCTGACCCCGGTGGGCGCAATGTTTCGGTCAACGTTCCACCCCTGCGTCCTGTCCGTCCAAAACCTTCTCCCGGCCGAAGGTCCCTGGCGCCGACTCGACAGCACCGCGTCCGCGCATGCCGATGTCAGTACGTACTGTACAACCGTGCAATTCCCGTCCCTACATCCCGGCCATCCATCTCAAAAAAAGCCTGTCCTGACTGACTCCGTCCAAACCTTGACGGCAAGTAAAAATGTCCAACAGATGTAACGCATCAAGATTAAGCCAAAAAGACCAACGGATCCAATGGGCGTTTCGCAGAAGATCTGCATCGCGCCGTCTCGTCTGGTTTAGTTGTTATTGTGTCTGGCACTCTTCTTCACCGTCGCAGGTCCCAATATCCATTGTCAGCTAGACCCAGGAGCCCCAGTAAATCCACCTGACGAAACACGCACTCCCTTTGCTCCGATGCCACTTGCCGGGCGTGCGTGCCTCTTGGTATGACGAATGCCGTATCCAATGGTTCAGACTGCCTCCGTACCAGCCGGCCAGACCATCCTGGATGTTGACCCAAAATTAGGGGCGCTTCTGAGCCTCACTCACCGCACTTGTAACAGGACGGCATTGCCAGTTGGTCATCCATGACTTCACGATAATGCAACGGCAAACAACGGCCGCCGTCAGAGTTCCGCCAGATACTGTGCCTACCATCGCCACGGCACGCAGCCGGATCGGCAGCCTTCCCACGGAGCATTCGAGGCACTGCCATCACGAAAATACATTCGGCACAAAATCTAGCCTCCGCTGACAACTCCAGGGGCAAGCCGTCACGCTGTACGAATACAGGAGCTAGGACACGAGGAGCAAGCAAGCAGCTCCCCCACACAAGGTGGAGGGAAACCGTGGGACAGCATAGCCGGCCAATCAACGACGACGCCGGTAGATTGGCCCACTTCGTTGCGAAATCTCCACCCGGCCGGCGAAGGGTGGGGTCGCCGACCTGCTCCGATCCTGATGTCCGAATTCGCCCTTGCTTGCAGCCCTCTCACGCGGCACGCCCCTCCTCCACCAAGCAGCAAAGCTCACCCACCATCGCTTGTCAAAATCTCCAGCGACTTTCTCTTTCCGTCCTGACGTCTGCTCCACTACTCAACGGCAAGGACCACGGCTCCTCTTTTTTTTTTTTTTTTTTTTTTTTTTTTTTTTAGCAAATCAAGGCAAACCAGGGGAAAGAAGCACGGCAAGGAAAGAGGGGCACGATGGGGCTGGATGACAAGCCAAATAGATAACGGGTATGCTTCCGTTCGAAACAAGACTGATGGACAAGGCAACTGGTCAATACAGAGGACTCCGCTTGCTGTTTACAATGCCACAATGCCTGCATCACGAATGGTTGGGGCCGCACTTTTGAATGCGGGCGGATCAAGACTACAGCGGACAGTCAACAGAAGAGTGGACACGACGACACGAACGCGCGCAAGGGGAAGCAACAAAACGGGGTTAGTCCGCGCGGACGGTATCCGCACGGAAACCTGCCCCAAGGACAAGGTAGATTGGTGGCCTCTTTTTTGTTTTACTCTTCTGACTGCGCTTCCGCTTCCGCTGCCGCTTACCGCTCTCTGCGTTGCCTTGCCTTTTTTTCCCATGGGGAAACGCGGGACTCCAAGGCTCCAACTCCACGATCTGCTGAGCTTGGCTTTCCGTCGTTCGATACACTAGTCTCGACTCCCAGTGCTCCCACTCGGACTTGTGTATTAGTGATCCATTTTTTTTCTGCACATTCAGCTTTCGTAGTTTTGCCTCTTGACTCCTCGACTGCCCTGATGGACGACGGCTACATGGAATACAACTCGCCTCGCTCACCACGTCCTACACCTCGCGCACTTCCTACACTGGGTGGGCCAATCAACATGTAGTCAACTGTACAATGCATTGCTGATTATCGTGATAATCTCTGCCATGATACCTAAACCTATCCCATGCAACCCCATACGCAATCTAGTCAAATGCCTTTTCACACATCACGTAGGACCCCCCTACACTACAGCGACTGCACATCACTTCCCCTCCTTACCAACATTCCCAACAGCCGGTGCCGCCTCATTAGCCTTGTCCAACCTCGCAAGCGACTTGGCGTCCAGCCCGGCATACCACCGCCTAAGCAGAGCCGCATACCCCGTCTCCCCCTCAGAAAGCTCCACAGGCGGACCCCGAATCTGCGGCAAATCATCGTCTGCATCACCACCGTCCCCTCCTCCGCCTTGTCCTTCCCCTCCTCCTCCTCCGTGCCCGTGCCGTCTCTGCTCAAAAACAGCCCAGCTAGACCCATCATTCGCCCTCAACCCGAACCCGCTCCTCGTAAGCACCATGACACTAAAATTCCTCAACAGCACCGCGTCGCCCTGGTGCACGACGGGCAGCGCAGCTTTATGCGGTCTGAAAATCTGCACGGCGACCGTCTGTGCCGGCGCGACGGAGTGGTCTGTAACGTTGAACGCCAGCATGATGCCGCGGGGCCCGCCTTTGGCGCGCTTCGCTTCGGGGGGGTTCGTGGTGGCGACGGCGAGGACGTCGACTGTTCGGCCCGGGTGGCTTCGGAGGACTTTGAGGGAGATGCAGTCCGGCACGTCGGCGCGGAGGGATTTGGTGAGCTGGGCTTTGAGGGCGGCGGAGGATTGTTCTGGTTGTGCTTGTGGCGGTGCTGTTGATGATGCTGCTGCACCGGCCTCTTTCGGGAGTTCCTTTTCCTTGGCCTTTGGTTCTCTAGGTTCTTTCACCTTGGCCACCTCCTCCTTGGCGGCCTTGGGCGCTCGCGATGGTGACTTGATCGCGGCCCTAGCGAGCTGCACGCCCGTAACCTCCTCCGCGTCCGCATCAGGTGAATCGCTCTTGAGCGCCAGGCTCGCCGACCTGCCTCGGCTCGCCGCCGTCGTCGTCGTCACTCGAGCAGCAGCACTGTTACTATCAGGCGTCGTGCGATCTGATAGGCGCGTCGACCGTCGAGATGCAATCGACGCACGGGCCAGCTTCACGCTGGGATCCTGATCCTTGCTGTTGGTTCTGCGGTGCTGGCCGCGACCTCGCTTCGGAGTTGGCTGCGCGGCGGAAACGACTTCCTCCGACGGGTCCTCGGCGATAAGAGACGATTGCGCTTCGGACGGTTGCGCCGAGGGCTCTCGGATTTGTGATGACTCTTCGTTGATAGATGAGGTCGCATCTGCATCAGCTTCGTGTTGAGTGGTTGTTTTCTTCTCCATCTCCACCTCCTCCTCTTCGTCTAGCAGCGGTTCGTGGGGTTGGACTGGGGCAGCTGCGGGTGACTCGGCGGGGCGTTTGTCGTCGAGATGCGCCGCTAATTGCTCCGTCTGTGATTCGGCGTCACCCACGTCGTCAGGTATCGTCACCTCAGTGACTTGCGTCTCAACAAACGATTGCGAGAAAGATTCTGCGGTTTGTGTGGCACGCGGTGTTGTCTGTTCCTCAACCTGCGAGATCTCTGCCTCGGCCATTCTAACCTCCTCGAATGATTGAGGAGTGGGCGTGGGCGATGCCGTTGTGGACTTGCCGTCATCGTCAACGTCCATCGCATCCTCGACCTGTGCATGTTGTGCATGTTCTGTACTCTCCAGGGGGTCCGTGGTAGTCGTCTCAACAGTCACTCGTGAAGTCTCGATAACCTCAGTCTCGGCATGAGCGTCGTCGGCAGCATCACCTCCTTGGGAAACTGGCCGCTCTTCAACCATCTGCGTCGTGATAATGGAGGTCGTGACTGTCTGGTCGTCTTCGTACATCATTGACTCCTCGTACAGCTGGCTCTGGATGAGCAGGTCCTGAGTCATGTCGTCAAGTTCCATGTCGGAGTCTGACGCGTTGCTACTGACTTCGTCGACTGACATGTCATCTGGATCGCCCATGTCAACGTCCGCTGGCTCGAGAGAGCCCTCGTCGTCGGAGTCCATGTGCACCTCGGGTATAGGTTCTGGTGATGCTATTTTGACGTCCTGGACTGTAGTCTCGACAGGGACTTGCTCGACTTCCATACCTTCATCGTCAGGCTGAGGCTGTGTCTCTTCCACGTCCATCTTGGTGACCTCTGTCTCTGTGATCTCGACATGGTCCGGTGTGGCCTCTTTGGCTGGGGTGTATACTGTTGCTTCGACGGGGTGTGTTTCTTCCACGACTTCAGAGACTTCAGCCACAGTCACCTCGGTGTGTTCTGGTGATTGCTCCTCGGCCGTGACTTTGTCGTTGAGGTCAACTTGTTGCACTTCCTCCGGCCGCTCGGGCGCGTCAACTTTGCTGGCTTCCATCTCTGGTGCCTGTCGACTGACATCGTCTGCAGGGAAAGCTTCAGGCTCGGCAGTATTTTCATCCTCTGCTGGGACTTCGGACTCGGCAGCATCTCCATCCTCTACTCTTGCCTGGAGACTTTCTGCGGCGTGAGCTTCTTCCTGATCTGACTCCGGCTGATTCTCAGCTTCGCCTATGACCAGCTCCTCAGGCTCGACGGTTGGTTTCTCTTCCGGTGCAACTTGAACGTCGACAACCTCAATTCCTGGCTCCAGTGACTTCTTGATAGCCGAAACAGGTCGAACTGGGCTGGATTCCTCAGCTACGGGCGAACTGAGCGCCGCTTCCTCTTTAAGAGTCGGGACAGGCCGAACCGGGCTAGATTTTTCCTCAACGGCTGAGACAGGTCGAACAGGGCTGGATATCTCAGCCGCAGGAGATTCGACGGCTAACGCTTCCTCCACGACAGCCGGAACAGGTCGAACCGGACTAGATTCCTCAACCAAAGGAGACTCGACGGCTGGCTCCTCTTCTACAGCAGAAACAGGTCGAACCGGACTAGACTCTTGAGCTGCAGGGGACTCAACAACAAGCATTTCCTCCCCCCGCACCTCGGAATCCTCGACATCGATTCTAACTGGGCTAGAGACCGCCTGCTTAGGCGTTGCAAGCCCAGCAGGATCCTCGTTGAACGGACTAGACACCACTTGCTTTGACGTCGCTTGACCCACAGGCTCCTCATTAAACGGACTCGACGGCAGAACCCCCGTGTCTTCGACGACTTCTCCCGCCTTGCCATCAGACGGGGCCGGCGTCTGGCAGTCACTCCCGCCATCATCAGCCGCAATCTCCTCCGCCAACTCCTTCTCGAGCTCCGCCTCGAGATCATCAGGATCCCCTCGCGAAGTAGGCCGGGACGAAGTATTCGGAACGCCCGCCATGTGCGGCAGCTTCACCGGGCTCATCGTCTCGAAATCGTCGCCAACCGACCCCGTCGTCAGATCCGGGGCGGAAAATACTGGTCGTGCGGACGCCGCCTGGCGGGGCTTCGGCGTGGGTGTGCCGACTTGCGACGCCTCGTCCTCTTCGCTCTCCGCATCAGACGGTTGAGGCGACGAGCCTCGTTGACTGGCCTCATTCCTGACGCTTTCTCCCTGGCTCTCTTGGTCGTCCATGTCCTCGTCTTCCATCTCATCGGCGGATCCATCGTACTGCGGTATCCGTCGCCGGGGAACAGCAGCGGGCGGTGGCGGCGGCGGGGCTTCATCCTCATCCTCGGAATCCGAGAGCAAGTCAATGACTACCGGTGGCCCCCCTCGCGGAGCAGCAGGCGGCGGTTGATTCTCTTGATCCTCATCTTCGTCATAGTCCCCTTCATCGTAGCCCTCCTCATCGTAGTCCTCGGATTCAAATCCCTCTTCCTCGTCCTCGGGGTCCAGTATTTCTTCATCTTCTTCTTGTCCGTAGTCCGACTCCAGGTCTGTCCCCGCATCATCGTCCTGGTTGTTGCTGAGATTCCGAAAGTGGGTGATGTCGTAGTCCCCGCCGGTATCGTCGGCCTCGTGCTCGGCTTCCTCGTCGCTCTCTTCGCTGCTTTCGCTGCTGCTGCTACGGCTGCCCACGGGACTGCTCTCCTTTTCTATGCTTGCGGCTTCTTCACGATCCTCTTCACCCGGCTCAAGGCGTCTCTCGGCGTACGTTCTCGATGTGAAATTCTCTTCGGGGCCGTCTTGATCTTCCGACATTTGGTCCTCCTCTACCCTGAGTGCCTCATCCTCATCCTCGGGATCGTCTCGCACATCGCGCTCGCGGTCGTCATCCCATGTCTCACCAGGGGCATCCCGAGGACTAGACGCCCGATCCTCATGCACTTCACCAGACTCTGCAGGCTTCGCGGGCGATCTCGAGTAGTGTGCCGACGTGAGGCCCCAGGGTATTTGCTGAGGCTCAGCGATCCCGTCAACCATGACTGTGTGGTGGGGCTCTGCCTCGAGATCGTGCTGCTGCGGGTGATCCTGGTACGCAGGTATCGGCTCCGACAGCGGTTGTGAAGTGACGACACCATCTGGGCCGAAATGCGGCTCATCGAGGAACGTCGCGGGATAGTGACCATGCATAGGCGAGTGGTCAAGCCCTGCTTCTGGGTACGCACTGGGGTGTTCGTGAAACGGCCCTTCGGCACCGTAGTGCGGCTCCATGTCAGGTTGCAAGTCGTGACCAAAGACGGGACCCAGAGGCGGCTGCTGGAAGGCAGGCGGATACTGCTCGTGGGCGGACGTGAATATCGGCATAGGCGGTGGTCCAAATCCAAGCGGAGCCAGCCCAATATTGGGACTGGGAGGCAGATCAGACTGAACCCCTGAATCAATCATTGTCGATTTCGACGGCGTCTGCCAGTATGAGGGATCCTGCCGCGCCTCTGCCGCAACCTGGACATCTCTCGGGGGGCTCGTTGCTTGCTCCACTGTCTGGCAGGCACCGTCCACCATCGTAGGCCGTGACGGCGTGGCGATCGTCGGCTGTTGCTCCTCCGCCATTGGTGTGTCGTCGGCATCCTCCGCGGGTGCTTCCTGCTCAGGGCTCGGAGATCGACTGGCATATGTCCAAACGCTGCTGTACCGGCCCGTCTTTGGCTTCTTCTTCGCCCGGGCCTTTGCTCCATCATCTACCTCGTCAAAGATGTCGAGGCCCCCATCGAACAGCCCTCCGTACGATACTCTGGCGCGCTTGAGGAACGCGGGGGACGCAAACTCGTCGGCGCCAAGGCCCTGGTCGGCAGGTCTCTTGCTCGAAGACGTCTTCGCGGGCGTCGCTATGGGCGCCGGGGTCTCTTCGACGTCCTGGAACGACTCGAGGATGGACACTGGCAGTTCTTCGGGCTCTGGTTCGGGTTGCGCGGGGTGATCGACATCGACGATCTTGACCTCTTCGGAATCGCTAATCTTGGCCTTCAATCTGTGAGCAAACACCTCCTCAACGCACACACACACACACACAACCTACCTTCAGGAGCACCCTCTCCGTAAACCTCAACTGCCACTCCAAACTCGTCCCCAGAACGCGCGTCTTGGAGTCATCCGCAACGAGCTCGACCCCGTCCAACGACAGCGCGATCTCATCGCCGCTTCCCAACGCCGCATCCGCAATCGCCTTGGCGCTTGAGCCGGTGAACTCGACGCGCACCTGGCCCTTTGCCCGACGCAGGCGGAAGTCGGCCTCGGCGAGGAGGAAGGCAATGTTTTTCCTGACGATGCTGTAGGGCCATGTGATTGTCACGACGCCGCACACGACGCGCGTCTGGGGGTCTTGGAGCGCGGGGCTCAGTTGCGCGATTGCGATGGCCGAGGCGGTTTCGAGCTGCTGCTGCTGCTGCGCGGCGGGTAGCGGGACCTCAGACATCGCGTCATGAGTTTGTGAGGGGACGCGGTGGAGCTGACGGGGATGCAGTCTGAGATGTCGAGCATCAGCGGGATCTGTTGGTAATATCGAGGTGTGGTTGTGCTAAATGAATGTGGGATGGAAACGGTCGCAAAGATCGATTCGGTAGCACCGCATGGTCGGTGGTGTGGATGGAATGTGGAACAGGGGAAGCTCCTGCTTGAGCTGCACGAATTGCGCGGGAAGGGCCCCACATCTTTCTGGCAGAAAGAAGCAGGCGGTGTGCCACGACTGCCGAGTGGCTCCTTATCGATAAGCGGAGCTCGGAGCCGGGTGGCTTCCGGATCGTCCCCGAGTCACCTGATGACAATGCCATGGGTCAACCTTGTGCAGATTAAGCTTCTTCGCATCTTCCCTCCGGACCAGAAGAGGTAGGCCTTGCAGACATGTCATTATTGTTTTTTTCTCACTCGTCCGAGCATCCAATTGAATTTGTTGTTGCCTTCGCTTTGCAATGCGGATGTGCCAATGTGGTAGGGCGGAGGGATCCCCGTTTTATCCGCCCGGTGTCCACCACTCTGTCCGAAAAGGAGCCGATTAGGTGATTTCCCGCCGATATAACGCACTACCTCTCGTGGGTCTTGGGCACGTTGCTCCGTTGTTTAAAGGGTGGCCATTAGATCTTCCCATTCTACCCCGTAAGGCCATCCATGTTGTCTCACAGACCGACATGAGCACAGTTCCGTTCAACGTCAAGAAGATCGCCGTCATCGGCGCGGGGCCGACGGGTCTCGCCGCCGCTCGGTACCTCACAGCCCAAGGGGCCTTTGACTCCGTCGTCGTGTTCGAGCAGCAGGCCGAGGTGGGCGGCGTCTGGAACTACAGCCCACACCCGACCACGTCTCGCCATGTGCCGCAGACGGACCCCTTTTGCCCGCAGGACCCTCCGCTCCGGCCGGGGGACAAGCCCGGTGCGCCACCCGTGTTCCCCACACCAATGTACGGGACGCTGCACGCCAACACCATCAAGACGACAATGAACTACAAGGACACGCCGTTCCCATCCGACGCGTGGGTTTTCCCGTCGCGGCAGAGCATTTACAACTACCTGGTCGACTACGCAAAGGACGTCCGCCACCTCATCAAGTTCTCGCACCAGGTCACGGCGCTCGAGCTCCGGCAGGAGGAAGACGGCCGAGACAGGTGGCACCTCGCGGCCGCGTGCACCATCACCGGCCGCTTGTTCAGCGACACGTACGACGCCGTGGTCATTGCCAACGGGCACTACGACATCCCCTTCATCCCGGACGTCAAGGGCATAAAGGCCTTTCACGAAGCGCACCCGTCCGCGATCCTGCACTCCAAGAACTACCGCGTCCCGGAGCCCTTTTCGGGCAAAAAGGTGATTGTCGTGGGCAACGGGCCCTCGGGGTTGGATATAGCCCGCCAGCTCAGCCCGGTCTCGAACAGGGTGTATCTATCTGTACGACATGCGACTCCACCGGACAAGGTCGTTCACATTGGGGTGACGGAGGTTCCTGAGATTGTGGGGTTTCTGCCAGAGAAAAGGGCGGTTGTCTACAAGGACGGGACGGTGGCGGAGGACGTTGACGCCGTCATCTACTGCACCGGCTTCTTCTTCAGCTTCCCGTTCCTGCCGGCGCTTCTCAAGCCTAACCTCTTGACAACCGGCAAAGGCGTCAGAGGTCTGTACCAGCATCTGTTCCTCATCAAGCATCCCACTCTGGCCTTTGCCGGGCTACTGGTCAAGACGGTGCCCTGGCCAGTGGCAGAGAATCAGGCGGCGGCTCTGGGTGCGGTGTGGTCCAACGGGTTGAAGCTACCGCCCGTGGAGGAGCAGGAACGGTGGGAGCTTGACTTGTTCAAGAGGCGCGGCGACAAGAACATTCACGTGCTGCTCGACGACGGAGACGACGGTCGCCACCTCAACATGCTGCACGACTGGGTGGCGGAGTCGACACAGACAGGCAAAGAGCCGCCATACTGGTATGACGAGCAGTTCTGGGAGCGCGGCATCTACTGGCCGAGCAAGCAAGAGTTTGAGAAGCGAGGAGGGAACGCGACGACGCTCCGGGAGCTTGGCTTCGTGTACCCCGGCATAGGGAAATGGAGGCACGTTGCGCCGAAGCTGTGACGGCGAGTTTCGCTTTCAGGCGTCAAGCCACAAGCATAGAATCTAGATTTAGCGAATGCAAGACTTCAGTTCTGTTATCCGGGATGAGCAGCGTGGCAGGATCAAGACCAATGACAATCTCTCCGATCGCGAGACGATGGCGCAACGTCCAAACGCTGTCACTGGAGGTGACATGGGAGGTCCAGCAGAGCTCCCTTGGAAGCACTGGAGTCTGGAGCTCCCTTGAGAGTCAAGCTCAAATGACCCCTCGTGTTCAATCTGAGAGCTCCAAGGATGAGGTAACCGAATGCAGGGTAGCGGGACAGGGGGAGCTGTCAGGCGAAATGGTACCGAGCGCGTTTCCGGGCCAGCGAGCGAGTGTTTAATGACGACGGGTGGGACACTTTTGTTGGGTGGGCAATCTGAGGAAATGAGCAGAACCGGACCCAGACCCAGGAGTCAGTCGCGTCTTCGCCGTGCGGTGGCTAAATTCCGACCGATGGAATGAAGCTTCTGGTCATGTGTCGCGATCCCGATGGCGGCATCCGTACGGGATAGAGGTCGAGGAGGCTCCCAGGCATGCAAGTATCCCACGGTTCGACGGCTGGCGATGCGTCTCTGTCCAAGCATTCCGGGTCCGCAGCTGGATGCGTGATAGCAGGGCAAATAAGGTCACCGCAGTGGGGGGATGATGATCGCCGGAAGCGATGGAAGCAGCCGATGGGCTGGCGCCACGCTCTGACTTTTCGTCCGCCTGGCGTAGGTAGCAAGCGTGCAAGCGTGGCTGCGAACACAGTAGGTAGCTAGCTGATCCCAAAAGTCTGAGGCTTGCGTGTTGCCAGCTCGCGCCACTAGTCAGAAAGCTTGCTGACAGCTTTCAGAGCTTCTGGTTGACATTCGCCGTCCGTGAGCCATGTTACCGTGTCAAAACATGCACGTCTGGCAGGGAAACTGTCTGCATCCGAGCGTCGATTGACAGTGTCGTGCAGCATGCCATCTCATGTCGTGGAGAGAACGTGCGAGGGTGGTGTCTGGAGGATGGTCAATGTGTGTTCACGTTAACCTACTCCGTAGGCGGGAACGCGAAATGCATCGCGACTGTGGCATCAAGAGCCCCCTATCAAACCCATTCAACTCTGTCAAGGACTCCCGGGCAGCGACCTCATGCTGGTCCAGGCGGTAGAGGCTGAGAAGAGTGGCCGCATCAAGTTGAGACAGGGACACCCATCGAATTCGCAGCATGACGAGCGCGGAAGGACGCCAAGATGCGGCAGACGCATCACATAGCACCACTCTAGGGCATGGATGTTCTTTGCAGCCATGCAGGATGCGGCTGGCAGGGTCCTCAAAAGTCGCAAGGAACAGCCGACGCGCAGTCCGGTCCCTTTTTAACGCGCCCCCAATGCGAACGGCGCAAAGCCCGTCTCGCGACACGTCAGGATGTGCGGTGCTAGAGACGAGTTGCCGGGCAGAGCTCAAGCTCGACAGCTTTGGCGTACTCTGTAGGGAAGCCTAGACGATATGGACGATGCGGACGATGCGGATGAACGTGGAGAGCTGTCGGTGGGCATAATCGATAGTTGTGATATTATTAGGAGCGTGTGTTGGATTGCCGAGACCAACTGGGCTGGACTGGCTGGCGAAAGCCGCGAAAGCGCGTTTGCATGACGGGGGGGGGGGTGTTCTGGAGGCCTATTAACTTAACCCAGAACAGCGGCCAACTCCACACGAACCGATCAAATCCTCGCTCACCCACACCATCGCTCCACGACATTCAGGGCAGTGCCAGCCAGGTATCTTTCCGCCTGTCGTGTCGGTAAAAGGTACCTCGCCCACTGTTGTCTCTGCCTTCGGGTACCTGACTTTCGTCCGCATTCCCACCTGGGTGGTGGAGGCAAGGTACCTACCTGGCAGGCATCCCCGTATGCGGCAACCAATATCCATCAACTCTCATTAATAAATCTCCTCTTTCTTTCGACAACGCCAGACACCTAATCTCCTTTTGCCGACTGCTCCTTTGCGCCTTGCTGCCCTTCCCTTCTTCCATCCATCCCCCGGTGCCATCTCATCGCGCCAGCTTCAATTCTCTAACCACCGCGAAACATCCTGCGTTGCCTCGTTCTTTCATCCCATTCACCGCCTGCACCTACCTTCCTTTATTCCGCTTCTCTCTTTGAATACTCACCAGCGACCGATTCACCTCGTCTACCTCACCTCATCCGCTCTTTCTTATTCTTCAGCAACATCTCGCAGCTACCTTTGAACCCTTGCGCTCCCTTGCATCTCCGGGAACCCGCGCCGCGCCCACGACCACTGACGTCGCTGCCGTCTGGAACATCCTGCAACCACCCGAACGAACACTTTCCAACCCGAGCATTCGTCTTCTTTCCAGCAACCTCCAGAGTCAGGAACGCGAGACACCACCGAGACATCAGTCAGCCGGATCGGGACGTCCATGATTGTCAACAAACACCACCGATGATCCACGACATGGCCATACTCATCCAAGACGTCTTTTTCCCAGGTTCATAGAAGCAAAGTCATGCCTGCCTACTCGACAGATCAACCGCTCGCTCGACAACCGACAACTACTATCCAGCAATCAGAATCATGACCGACCCTCCGCCGCCCATCACCCCCGGGCCGGGCCACCAGCTTCGCCCGGCCAGGCGCCAGTACCGCCACTCCGACGAGCACTCGCCCACCCGTGCCCGAACCAACGACGACCTTTTGAGCCGCCTTACACCCATGACCGCCGTCGAGATGCTCCAGACACCAAACACAGAACTGAAGCAATGCCTCGACAACTCTACCGTGAACGAACAGGAATTCGCCATGCGCGCCGCCGTAGCCAGCCGGAAGATTTACGAATGGCTCGAGGAGCTTTCCGATTGGCCGTGGCCTGGCACGAGCGGCTCGGCAGGTTTTGAGATGCCAGATGCAAAGCGGACGAAACTCGACGAGGATGCCGACGAGTCGGTATACCTCGGCAGCCTGCCCGCCGAGAGCGTCGCTCAGTACGAGCAGCGCGTGGACGGCATCTCTCACGACATGGACGAGCTGCACATTGAAGAAATCAAGACCCACGTCATGCATACCCACATCATACCGCTATCGAGACCCGGAACGCCACTGGCACCCACGCGGCCCATCGGAGGCGGGGCACTTTCCTACAACCGAATGGACGACTTGACGGCTCTTCTCACGGCAATCATCGTCCAGGCACTGCCGAATCTGTCCAAGCTCTGCCGACTGCTCAAAGTCTGGCACATCCGCCTCTCTGTCCTCCGCCGCATACCCGACTTGCTGTCTGGCATTGCAGAGGCCGAGTACGCACTTGAATCTGCATGGAACGTGCTGTCATCTCCTGCGGGTACGCCGTCCGCCGAAGATGGAGCCCAAGACCCCCTCTCCCAACTCAAACATGCCTTCACTGTTGTTAAGTCGTTGTTGGAGACTCAAATCACAAAGTCCGGACGCAGCCTCGACGTTATGCTCGACAGCCTCGAGGGCTTGCAGGATACACTGCCCGACAGCTGGCTTGACCGTATGGAGGCCGTCGAGCGCAACTACGCCGACTGGGTGACATCTGGCGAGCAAAGGATCCGACAAGGTGACTGGGCCAGGGTGCATCAGCAGAAAGCGCTTCCGCCGGTGATCAGAGAGGAGACGGAGGCAGAACCCACAAAACCCAGTGGCTTGCCTGTTGTGGACGACGACGTGAGGACTGTCACTTTGCCAGTGCCCATCACCATCAACCCACCGGAAGAGGACTGCCTGCCTGCCTCTGCCGACGAGGCCACTCCGGAGCAGTCGGATGGTTCCGACGACGACACATTCGAGATTTCTCCCTCGCAACTGCAAGCGCAGAGGAAGACACAGCCAGTCGCCGGCCTCGACGGCTCCAGCGAGGTTACCAAGCCCAAGCGTACGCCACTGGGCGAAGTCCAAAATGAAGAAAACACCAAAAGAAAGGTGTTGGGGGCGCCCAAGGACACCAAGAAAGAATCCGTTGTGTCGAAGCTTAGAGCAGTCTTTGAAAGCAACGCCAGGTCCAGCTCGTCTTCTTCCGTTGACGACGCGGACGAGATTTTGCCCGACACGCCCGAGGACGAAGGGGAGGTGCAGCTGCCGCCGCTGATTCGACCAGACCGACGCGGTAGCGACGCTTCAGACCCGTCCACAATCATTCACGGCCACACAAGCCTCCTGGCAGATGCCTCGAGCGACATGCCCGAAGTCTCGGCGTCGCCTCCTCTGCCACGCCAGAAGCGTGCCGAGACCCTGAGCCGCAAGTCGGCTGCTGACCGCTTCATGAGCATCAGCCCTCCCAGCTCTCCCCCATTCCGGCCGAGCTACAGAGAAGACAGCGCGAGCCCCATGGTGAGGCCCCAAGATGAGGGTCTCCTACCTGCCCTTCCCCTAGAGTCGTCATTCAACGAGGACGATTTCGACCACTCGTTTATCAGCATGGGAACGCCCAGAGAGACCGGCAACAAGGAAGACGACCACCTTCGACAGCAGATTAGCAACATTTTGGAGTCCATCCCAGCCAACATCAAGCTGGCCAGAGCGACGCCAAAGGTGGACTTGAACCCGCCGCCTCCCGATCTTCCCACCATGCCCGCCAAGAGGCTTAAGAAGCCGTCACGGGAGACCATGCGGAGGAGCGTCTCTGCCATGTCGACGACATCGCGGACATCTTCGCGGGCGACCACACCGTGGCTGACGCTCGCTCCCGCGTACGCCAAGAACCCCAGACCCAGACGCCCTCAAAGCGGACAAGACATTAGAGTCTATCACCTGTCGCGTTCCACAGGCGAAGCGCCTATCAAGCTTCTCATCCGCTGCGTCGGCGAGCACGGCGAGCGCGTCATGGTGCGAGTTGGGGGTGGATGGGCTGATCTCGGCGAGTACCTCAAGGAGTACGCCTCGCATCACGGCCGACGCTCTGCCGGACCCGTCGAGACTGCCGAGATCAAGGTCCAGGACTTGCCACGCGCGAGCAGCCGTGCCGCAAACTCGAGCCCGCCGAGCCGGCCAGCTTCCGCGTTGGAAATGTCACCCATGACGCCGCTCAACGTCCGAAAGTCTAGGAAGTCTTTTGGCGCCGGCGACTCATCGGTTCCCCGGCTTCTTCCCAACACGCCGGCCGTTCCGCCGATCCCAGACAAGTTCACGCCGACGCCGTCTTCGGAAGACTCCAACCGGTCTAGGTCGAGCTCCCACATCAGCTGGGAAGAGGACGAGAGTTCGTTCCTTGGCCTGGCAGGACCTACTGGCCGCAAGGTCGAGATGAGCGAGGAGAACCGGGCGTGGGTGGAGAGCGTCAAGGAAAAGGTGCGTGCCGCTAGCGGCGAGACGCGCAAGACTTCAGAGTTTGGCGACATGGGCAAGGTCGGTGGCACGAAGCGTGTGTTTCGGAAGGGCTAAGCTGGGGCTTTGATTTGGCGTTTACAGCGACGCATGAGGTGTATTTGGGGCGCTAGAAAACTTTCGACACGGTGGGACGGAGGCCAAACGACTTGCATTGCGTAGAGCATGGAGTTGGGAGCATGTCTTTTGCGCCACACGAGTCGAAAGCGCATACCATGACGAAAACATTTCATTACATCATATCGAGGCAGAGGGGGGAAGCTTCATCACAACGGCATAGCATGGCCTGGTTCTTCACACATTTTCTTACCGGTTGTCTTCATCACCTATCCCCTCAAGCAAGAATTTCCTTTTTGCTGTCCCGTCATTCTTCGTACGAATACCCCCTTTTTTGCTTTGCCTTTGAAGCATGTGCTCGGGCATGTGCTAGGCATAGAGAGTCAGATAGTTGAAAATACCAGAAAACCAATTTCTTACATTACCGAGGTGTTGCGTTGAAGAGTTGAAGGTGATGAAAGGAGTGATGGTTGGGGTCGCATCAGACTTGAAGTTGCGTCTACAGTCGGAGGAGGTCGGGAGAGATGTTGCAGCTCCGGGTATGGTCCCGCGTGGGGGCCGGGGACCTGACATACCTTATTCCGTAGAGTAGCACCGCATGGGAGGAGGAACGTCGTTCCACACTGCTTCTTATTCCTCCCCCCTCTCCCCGGTCCAGATAAAACAATCCCCGGACTAACGCAACTGCGGAGGATCACGGGCATGACGGCAGATCCTCCCACCCATCCATCCCACTACCCCTGTCCGCCTTACCACCCACACATCTTACGCCATCCTGCCTAGGTATTCGCGAGGGTATCCACAACTTTTTTTTACCTTGCATGCACTCCGCGCCCACTCCATGCCCCAGACAGTAGGCAGACAAGACCGGGGCGGCGTAATCAAGCTTCGCCGATGGAGGGTGGAGGGCATGGGGAGGAAACGAATTGGGGTTCTTTCGATTCTCGGTTCGGTCAGCGATTCTCAGCCCCCTGATTACCGGTACGGTGTACCTCAACATCTGGCCGAGGCACCGGCGCCGCGGCGGGGGGAGCTAGGGGGTGTCCGTGGAGTAAATCCCGAGGCGGGACCGAATTGAGGTGTGTGTGTGTTGAAGTGCTTCGATGCTTCTTGACCATCCGATGTTTTCTCTTCAAGTGCGTAAAGTTGGGCTGTCGTTGTGAGTGGTGGTTTGGGGCGGATGTATACTCTACCTGCTTCACCCGAATACCTCGAGTCCTTCAGACACAGAAGCTGCAGCGGGGGGGACTGGGAACGGGGAAACGAGGGGATGGAAGGAGGGGGACGACGCCGTTGAACCTCCGTTCCTTCGCCGAGGCATAACCTTATCCAGCGGGCTCATCGTTCAGCACTCATCGTAGGTAGGTAGGGTGACAGGTCGGGGAGATGGGGGAAGGGCGTGGATGTGACTCTCTCTCCAACGCGATACCGAGAATGAAACTGCCCTCTCTATCTGACTTGCATCAACGCGTCCGCGTATGACATTGATTGGATTTACAAACCACGTACTCACTCTCTTCAAGACACTCCCTACCCAACACACACACACGCAACAATGTGCCCTTCCTTCCCCCCCCTAAGCCTCGCATGCGTGTGTGTCTCAATTCCCAAATTCCCTAGCGCCCGGGTTTACTTCGTCGTCTGTCTCATCCCGAGACTTTTTTTGAGATTCGTAGAGGCGCAGACGTTAGGTTCAGATACCTACCTACCTATCCCACATGCGCACGAATCGTCATGTCTATCCTCAGATAGACTATCTCGTAGACAAAATCCGTAGACAAGCGCACAAGCAAGCAAACAATCGAGCATGCGCTGGCTTACCTAGTCCGGTCTAGTTCGGACTGTGACCCCCCCCCCCCCCTTTCCAAGTTTTCCCCCTCCCAACACCTTCCGAGCTATCTCCCCCCAACACACTTCGGACGGGGTTGGAGAACGTGCTTCTTCTTTTTTGGGGCAAAGCTATTTTGGAGGGCGGGTGGGGTTCGTCCCTATGCGCCGATGCGGAGAGAGAAAATTGGGGGATCTACGCTACCCCCCCTAGCAAAAGTTGGGGACACTGGACACTTGGTTCAACGTCGTCCAGGCTTTTGGGTTCAAGCTCAAGCTCTCGAGCCGAGGCACTTCCACAACGAAGCTCGGGAAGCTCTCCAGAAACTTGTACACTCTCACAGAAGCAGGGTCAGGTCACGATCCACGCACAGTAGTACAGGCATCCAAGTCTATTTCTAAATCGCGATTCCATGTAGCCCATGTAGCCATGTAGCTTCATCAGGAAGTATTACCGCGAAACCTGTCTCCCCCACAATCTCCTCTTCTACTTCGTACTCTAAATTCAAAAACTCCGACGCAAACAGGCGTTACGGAGACGATAGCCACATAGGGGGCGTGCTCGTAGTAAAAAGCGTTGTCGTCCTTTTAGATGACGATGATGTGTGTTTCCCGTTGCTCAAATCTCGGGAAGATTGAAAGCCAAGGCCCTTGATGCCTACCCCAACGCCGAAAGAAAAGAAAAAAAACCAATTTCGCTCTGAGAACGTCTCAGGTATTCCCTGTCCAAGCCCTTTTGATCCGTAAATGCAAGTCAATCTGTGCGTCGCAATTTTGGGGCGTGGTTCGTTCAAATCCGGCTCTTCTCGGAGAAGCTGACGGGGTCGTAGACGCGCTCCTTGATCCAGGCGTCGAGGGCGACGTCACCCCACTCCTCCCACTCGACCCACTGGGACTCGGGAAGCTTGGAGACGCCGGCTCTCCGGGCAGACTTCATGACCTCGCGGGCAACGATGACGCTGGCGTCACGGACACGCTCGATGCGGGGGTAGATGAGACCCTTGTGGATCTCGTCAACGTTGAGAGACGCGGCGAGAGCGGCAGCCGAGGTGTAGACCATGTCGTCGGTGACCTTGGAGGCCTTTGCGAGGATGGCACCGAGACCGAGACCGGGGAAGACGTAGACGTTGTTGCCCTGGTTGGGGTGGTAGGTAATGGCCTGGCCGTCGGGGCTCTTCATGGTGAAGGGGTTGAAGGGGGAGCCGGAGGCGAAGATGACGGTGCCGTCGGTCCACTGCACAGCCTGCTCGAAAGTGCACTCGGCCTTGGTGAGGGGGTTGCTGAGGGGGAAGAGGACGGGGCGGCGGCCAAGACCGCCAGAGTCGACAGAGGCCTTGAGGGCGCGGACGACGGACTCGGTGAAGACGCCAAAGGTGGCAGTGAGACCGACGAGAGCGGTGGGCTTGACGTACTCAATGACCTCCTCGAGGGTGCGGAACTGGTGGCCGTTGTTGTCGGTGCGGGCAAAGTACTTCTTGTGCTCGGCGAGCTTGTCACCGCGGTCCTTGGTGACGAGACCCTTGGTGTCGACCAGCCAGAACTTGTCCCTGGCGACCTGCTCGCTGAGGCCACGCTTGGTGTAATACTCGACGAGCTGCTTGGCCACACCGACACCGGCGGAACCGGCGCCCATGAAGACCAGGCGCTGCTCCTCGAGGGGAACGCCAGAAAGCTCGACGGCGTTGATGTAACCGGCGAGGACAACGGCGCCAGTTCCCTGGATGTCGTCGTTGAAGCAGCGGTACTTGTTGCGGTAGCGGTCGAGGTAGTTGAAGGCCTTTTCGGACTCAAAGTCCTCGAACTGGACAGTCATCTCGGGGTAGACCTCGGTGACGGCCTCCATGAACTCATCCATGAACGCCTGCTGCTCGGCAACGGGCACACGCTTGGAGCGGATGCCAAGGTAGAAGGGGTCCTTCAGGTTGGTCTCGTTGTTGGTGCCGGTGTCGAGGACAATGGGCAGGGTGTTTTCGGGGTGGATACCGGCGGCACCAGTGTACAGAGCGAGCTTGCCAATCTGGTGTTGTTAGTTGAGTCACAGAGAGAGAGAGAGAGAGAGAGAGACTGGACACCTACAGAGATACCAACACCGTTGACACCCAAGTCACCAAGACCCAGAATGCGAGAGCCGTCAGTGACGACGCAGATCTGGGGGTTGGGGTAGGGCCAGTTGCGGAGCATGGTGCGGATGGACTTTCGCTGCTTAATCGAAATGTACAGAGCCTCGGGGCGGGTGTAGAGGGTCGAGTATTGCAGGCAGACGTCGCCAATGGTGGGGGTGTAGACCAGGGGCATGAGCTCGCGGACGTTGTCAATGAGCAGGCGGTAGAAGAGGTCAAAGTTTTGGGCCTTGAGCGAGGACAGGTAGAGGTACTTGTCGACGTCGGTCTGGCGGGTGTTGATCATCTTCATGGCCCGCTGGCATTGCGTCTGGAGGCTCTCCATGGTGTGAGGGATGAGACCGGTGAGGTTTCTGGTGACGCGCTCTTCGGGCGTGAAGGAGAGACCTGATTCGACCATGGCGGTTAGTTTGGAGGACGAGTGGATGGAAGCACGAGGTAGAGGATTGAGCAGTCGAGAAAGTGGTGAGGGAAGACGACAAGCGCGCCCAGAGAGTGAAGAAGCCATTGAGGGGGGGTGGTGAGGATGCAAAAAGGACGATGGTGGTGGGAGGAAATAAGAGGGAGGCTATATAGAAGGGTGTAAACTGAAGGGATACGCCATGTTGGGGGAAGCCGGTGCGTGCAGAGTGCAGTAAGGTTCAGTGCGGACGCAGGAAAGACGGTGTAAGTGGGGTGCTGCTGTGATCAACTCACCTTTGTTCCAGAGGGGCTCGCGCAGGATCTGGAAAGCGGTGGCCTGGGTCTTGGGCACGTATTCCGTGTTACGGTATTGCTGAACCTCACCAAAGGTGTTCTGGGAGTAGCCACGGTGCTGGTCGAGGGAGGCCATTCTCATCTTGTCTTCAATGACGGAGATGTCGACGGAAGACATGGGGTTGAAATCTGTCATTCTGCGACTGGACATGGACATGCGCTTGTTAGATATAGAAGAGCGAGAGGAGCGGGCAGAGGCGACGGACGATGGCGAAGGCGAGGAGGACCGGGGCGTAGAGATGTCTGAGGAGCTGGCTGAACTGAAGGGATACGACGCCATTGACATTACCGGCGCATGTGTCGGTGGGAGAGATGCGGAGAAGAAAGAGGAGGCGGGAGTGGGCGACGGAACGAGGCAATTAGTAGTCGTTGGAGCTCCGAGGCGAAGCAGACGAGCGTGATGGGTAGTGGTGCGTGTGGTGTAATGATGGGACCGGCCGGAACGTGATATTAGTCGTTGATGAGGTAGACGTGGGAGAGCAGTCTTCGGAGAAGGCGCAGGAGGGCAATTTAGAGTATGGTGAGAGCGTGGAGTCGCAAGAGTCGCATTGAATGGACCAACAGAGGGGAAGGGCGTTGTGTTCCCTGCAACTGGATCGCGGACGAGGAAAAGTCGGTTTAAAACCTTGTGAACTGGTCTGGTCGTCGATGGAGGCTTGCCGGGCCAGGTACAGCGACTTAGACCCATGGCCACGGAGGATCTGAGAATGATAGGGAGAAGGGGGTTTCAAGGCAGTTTCACAAAGGAGGGATGGCAGCAAGGCCAGGCGCCGGCAGAGGTGTCGAGGTACCGGGTACTTGCCTGGACGACGGACGAGCGAAGCCTGGAGACGGGAGACGGGATACGGGCGGACGAGGAACGAGAATTGGGAAAGTGACGGAGGGATGGGACGGCGCACACACACACACAGAGAAGATGGGATGGCAGGGACAAGGGAGTGCTCTGTGACTGTGCGTTGTGTGTGTGTGTGTGTGTGTGTGTGTGTGTGGCGTGTGTTGGAACTCGAGCGTGCGCTGGAGGAGCTCCAAGCTTTGATTCGAATCCAACAGCCAACTGTGTGATGTGCTTCCAAGGTTTCCAGCCTAGGTCCCAGGTATCCGTAGGGAGCCTACTGAGGACTGGGAGACAGACTTGGTACCCGAATCGGGGGTCAGATTGTGCAGAGGGTTCGCTGCAGGTGGTAGCAGGGTGTGCGGCGTGGAGCCGGGAGACCAGGATGGTTGAATAACGGGGGCGACGAGGGTCCGTCGACGACGACGACCGGGGTGGTTAAGGGTTGAGACGGGGGTGTCGGTGTGGAGGGTGGGAGAAGACGGAAGCCAGACCCGATCCTAGGAATTGGCAATTTCTTTTTTTTCTGGTTGTCGTTTTTTCTCTCGATTTCGTGCAATTCTGGCTGAATTCACACAGAATTGGAGAAGGCCGATGAAAATTTTCAAGTTGGGGTAACTGGGTACCTCGTCAGGTTCTCCGTATACGGGAAGCTCTAGGCGACACAAGAACGGGGGCGTGTGTGAACGCCAATGGTTGGGGCCGAGAGGGGCGTCGGTGAGGCGACGGGAGGGCGGCAAGGTGAAGACGTGGTGACGCCGGGACGGTGTATCCGGAAGCGAAGGACGAGGTCCAAGACCCAGGAGGTGATTCGCACTCCTGGGTAGCAAACGGGCAATTAGCCTGAGAGAACAACTCAATGGTGATAGTGGACGGCCCGTTTCTGTCAGCTCACAATGGCGTACGGTGGTGATGCTATCTTGGTCTTTCGACGAGCATTTGGAACTTCGCATGGAAGCTGACGAAGTACTGAGATGCAACGTGGCGGGCGAAATCCACCGTGGAAAGGGGCCTGCCTACCTGGGAAACGAGCTGCAGTGGAGACTCGAAAGTGTGCTGTCCGTCACTTGGAGGATAAGGTGAGCTGACGGAATGCGGAAGGTTTAGCTTCGCTTCGGCGTGGGAGGGTGTTCGTGGGCGTGGAAGGCGTGGGATGTCAGCCCAAGCAGGAAACTTGCAAGCAGCGGCGCAGCGGCAGTCGAGCCCAGTCTGTCCGGCGGCGAGTGGAGACGAGCTATTCGTGTAGATGTCCGTGGAGTGTTGTTTCTTTCCGAGGCGATCCAAATTGATTCAGTTCGGTCTCGTAAAGAGGATTGGATGTCGTCAACTTTCAGATTGTTTCCCCTTGATGGATGAGGCCTCAGAAAGGAAAGAAGCAACTGGAAGTCTCTCTTGCCGTGGCTAATGGAATGGAAGGTACCCAAGGCAGGTGGTTCCTGCTATTTCTACACTTGATTCAACGGAAGGCAGCTCCGACTACGGGATCGGTCCTGCCTTGTTCATTTGACGATGCAGAGTCATAGGGCAGGTACTCCGTACTGACCAGGTGCTACTGGTCGTTCCTGGGCGCTGAAAATTGCGCGCTGAATCTCACCAAATCAAAGAATGGGAACACGCACAGAAAAGGGACATTTCGAAGAGTCATCGTCACTGCCAATCGGCCCTGCCCCCCGACCATTCTTGTTTACGGCTTCCTTCATGCTTGGGTCACTCCACATTCTTTCCTCTGTTTGCTTTACCATCGTATTTTTATTTTATTTTTTTCTTCCCCTGACCTAGCGACTATCGTCCATCGGCCATCCCCCTGCGCCCTGGTCCCCATCGACTCTTCCACCCCAGTGAGACACTGCAACACATCGCACAATTCTCACGCGAGAGTCGACACCCAAAGGCTCAGACGCCCGCAGGCCGCAGCTGCGCAGCAAACGTCCACGGCCTCTTGTGCAGACGTCTTACGTACAGTCATCATCCACGGCAACTAAACGCATCCAAGCTTCACCTAGCTGCGGCTAAGCTGTACCTACTGCGTACCCCAAAGGCCCAAGGCACCTCTTTTTGTTGGGATGTCTGATCCCTCCCGCCTCTCCAAAAACTCCAACCGGTGAGAGAGAGAAGAGAGGTGCGACGTCGGCACAAACACTAGAAATCCCCGACAAATACGGCACAATGTGTCAACCGTCGGCACTTTCAACCCCCAAAAAGTCGTCAGCCATGCAGCCCAATGTACGTTGTCGTCGCACTCGAGCCCACGACCCTGTCGCGCCTTGCAGCCCGCCAGCACTTGCACTTGCACTTGCACCTACATCCCATTCCCGCCTGCCGCCCCCCTCTCACACCCAAAGACGTCGACCCTTGAGCCAGCTCCACCGGAAGAACAGAAGAACATCCACTTGGGCTTCCCTCGCGAGGTGGAACCGTGGAACTTCCTCTGCTTCTCCATCACCGGCCGGACATCTCGCCGACGCTAGCTGTACCTAGCAATCACCCGTCCGGGCCTCCTCCAACCTACAATGTCGAATCCGCCCTCCGACGGTCCCCGGAACCGCCACGGCCTCTGTCCGTACAAACTACGAACACACAGCTTTCCGTGCGCACGCGACTCACCAGCCTGACCAATGCCTTTGACATCGCATTCCCTATCCGTCTGGCTGACGTGCTCGCTCAGCAGACAAGGGACGAACGAAGCTTTGCAGAAAGACACACCCCCCGACCCGTGAACGCCAACAGTTTCTTCGTTCCATGTTTCCATCTTGTCCGTCGCACTATTGCTTGGTGAAAAGCAAAAAAATCAGGGGCTCGGCTGGTCAACGCAATGTCCAAAGTCTAATAAATCAACAACTACTATTGAAACGAGGGAACCGAAAGAGACGGGGGATATCTTCAACCGCCAGCCAATGACGGCTGTCACATTTGTTGGCCAGCGTCCTCTTCCGGCTAGTCTCTGTCACAGCGTCCCGAACCGTTGTCCTCCAGAGCTGGGCGTCCGTTGTCTGTGTGTGTTGCACTCAGTGGGCGGCGTGCCTCCGGGCCTTCCACAAGCTGTTGGGGTACTTGGATCCGGGTCGGCCGTCGGAATTCAACCACATGCTTGTCTTTGATGCGACGCTGCAGTGCCTGCAGGTACTTTTCGCCCCTTGGCAAATTCCGGGTCCCCTTCTGGAATATGACTGAAGACACAGGCCTGAATAGACGACGCTCGCGAAATCGATTTCCCCAATGGATACGAAATGACGCTGTGACGGAGGGCCCAAAACTTCGGCGGGATATCGGGTTAAAGGTTCATCGTGCGATATTCCGCCCTATCAAAGGCTGGAGCACGTCAGAATCAAGCCTCCCGCGGGAGTTGCTGCGATATCCCGCCGTCTGAGCCCATGGCGCAAGCTCGCAACTCGTGTTCAACACCCGATACGGCCCCCTTTGCTGCCCATCATCTTCCCACCATCCCGTGAGCGAGGTGGACCGGAGCCCCCAAGTCTCCAATTCATCAAGATAAGCAAAGGCGAACAGATTGACAACCACACCATCGACGTCTGCATACCGAGCATGACTCTCCCTGAGTCCCTCCAAGTCTCAGACACGACGAGCTCCCGACTTTTCCCGATCCCTCCACAGGGGTTCCGCTTAGCGGCAAGCCACAACAAGGCGAACCCACACCGCACGCTGACGGCAGACCCACCGGTACCGAATGCCAGGCCTGGCTCCAAAACTTTTCATACCCCCCCTGGTCATGGCTCCCTCCCGACTCTGTTCATCCACTCCTCGAACTTGGAAGGCTCGAACTCCCCCTTCTCCTGGCTGTTCATCACACTCGATGAGGATCTTCTGCGGATTGAAACAAGGACCTTCCACGCGTCCAGTCTAGTCCCTCCTCGACGCAGTAAAGTCTCGAGTCTCGACGCCCGTCCCCCACCCGTCTCAAACACGACTTTGCTTGCAAATCACAGTTTCGGCCGTTTTGAACCACGCGCAACAAGTCATGCCCGAGGGTTGCTCCCACCGTCCACTGGGCAAGACAGGGTCTGTTGTTGATGGTACTTGAGATCGAGACTTCAGACGAAACCACGTTAAATGGACGTCAGGTTGCAATGCCTGCCGTTGGTCGACCAAGTTCACGGTACTTGCGATTGCGCATGGCGTTCGTCTCGGCGCCATGGCAGCTTCGGTTTCTGCATCGCAAGCTAGGCGATGGCTCGGAGCGGTTCGGGACGTACGTCCCGAGGTCCGTCCTGAGGTCCGTCCTGAGGTCCGTCCGAGCTTTGATGTCGTTGAGGTTGGTGATGTCAAAGTTTGAAGTCGGGACTTTTCTCGTCGACCCCATCTCGTCACTTTGACTTTGGTGACCTCTGCAACCTCGTGAACTCTACGGAGTAAACAACACCGAACTTGGCCCGCTGTTCATCAACAGACAACAGTATCTCGATCCCCTCCGAGACACCGTAGTAGTCTGGCTTATCTTGATTCCCCCGGACTTCCCACACGTGCTGAGACAACCTTCTTCACCCGCGATCCCATTCTCGCCTTGGCAACCTTGGCGTCTGGACAAACGCCGCCAAGCTTCTTGTCAACACTGATCAGACGCGTCAACCTTAACCCAACACTTTGGCTCTGGGCTCACCGCTTGGACCATGGCCGTTCACCGGGCACCTGACCAGGCACCTGACGTCGTCTGCAATATATCTTACCTAACATTACCTAATGGCAATCTTGCTCTGCATATCTCGAGAGCTTGACCGTCGCGGTTGAACTGTCAACAAGCTGCTGGCAAAATCGCAATGTTTCATCCTCTCTTCTCTTCTCGTCGCTAGCTGGACCATGGATGTCTCGTGGAGTTGGACCTAGTCGATGCGGGTAAACGCCGGCCACCAGCGGACGATTGCCGTCTTGCGCAAATGTCAGCCATCCCGCACCTCCAGAACCTGGCCCGGCGTCGCTAGCCCGCTCCACTGGCGGCTCTTTCAAGCTAGAGGCTAGAGCTTTCAAACCTCCCCGGCCCCGCATGGAGCTAAAGACGGGGGCGTCGCACCCCGCACGATGCAACTTTGGAGCTGTCACGCTTCCGACAAGCTCCGTTAGTCTCCGTATTTCGGAACCGGTTCCTCTGACGCGCGCCAACCAGTTTTTTTTATTTTTTTATTCTTCCTTCCTCGACGGTCGTCTCCATACGGAGTATCTGTCGTCGACGACGTCTCCATGCGTCCACGAGTCCCATCCTACCCCGGTTTCCATCTCTCGGGCACCAACGAGGTGCCGCCAGATGCAAGATCATCTAGAGATTGCCGCCCCTGATTGGGCCTCCCTCTGCAGCAAGCTCTTCTCTGGGGAAAGGCTTTCGGACATTGCCCGAGTCCGCCATGGGATTGTGAATGGTAGTACGGAGTAGTGACGGTTAGAGTTTTGTGCGTCCACAGCCTCGTCCAGATCCCCCACACCAACCCTCACCACGACAATCACGCCCCACGGTGGAGGAAAGACTCGGAGAGGGCGCGTGTCGGGGTCTCCGAGTCCTCCCGAGGGGGCAGAAGCTAGTCCGTATAGCTCCTCATCGTGCTCCAGCATCAAATCCTCCCTTTGATACTTCGCGTCGTATATCGTGGCCTATGAGGGCAACGAAACCCACAAACCCTCAATTGGGAAATTCACACCGGTCTCCTCATAATGGTAGACAGAGTCGAGTTTGAATCGACGATCGTGGAAGTTTTCCGGCGCGGGAGTCATGCTGGCGAAGCGACATCGGCCATGGAGCAGACCAATGGACTTACACAGTTCCTGCTTCACCCGATTTCTTTCCCTGCTCGCATGATTTCTCCAATTCCAAGGCCGTCACATGGGTATGCGGGCAGCAAGGTGTCTTTTGGGCGTTTAGATGGGTGGTGTACACTACACGGGATCCCGAGGAATGCTGGCGATATGGTCGTCCACAACTGTGAGTCGTGGGCAATGGCGTCAACACACATGCAAAACGAACCGGAGCCGTCACTTTGGATGACATGTGGAAGCAGTGGTGTTTGGCCAGACCACCTCGCATCTGCAATGCAACATTCAGGCTGATGGAGCTCTGTTCTGATAGACCAACGCCCTCGTGGCCGCAGACTGGTGGATGGGCTCTTGGAGGGCTTCGACGTTGACTTGGTCGCGGTCGATGGCTTGCATCTC